GCTGTTGAAAAGACGGCGACAACGGCAAACAGGTTGCCGTTTCTACAAATTCCTGGAAGTTGCTTGCTCTCGGGTGGAGAAGCGAGGAAAATCAGTCCAAACGTGCGCTTCCCACCGCCTAACATATACATCGAGCAAGCTGAGCGCCTTCACCACCGAGCACACGAACCTGCATTTGACCTGCTTGCTGGGGTATAACTACGATTGAAGTGGGTCGTGGGTGGTGGTACTAATTTGTATATGTCTATGTAGGATGGCTACATCAGCAATCTGCATGGCCTGCACCTCAATCGCAGTCATATCGCAATACCATCCGTAGCGAGCACGTCGATGCTCTGAACAAACTCGTACAATTCCAAACTGTTGTTATTTGTGCAGCAATATTTTTGTGTTCGTGATAAACGGTGCTTCCTCGCACGCCACACGGGTCCCGTAGGCCACCACACACGATCTCCATGAGCGTCACTGCTAGGGTCCACCGCGCCAAAAACCCACGCGTCTCGGTGGTTACCAGCACGAGGCCCTTGTCCGGCACGGCGCACTGGTGCTCAACCTGGATGTAGTCTATACAACCACATCAGCATCGTATCGGAACCATCGAGGGCTCGGAGAACGTTTCAGAGGTTGTACTCGAGCGGTGGCCCTCCGTGCCACGCACTCCCCCGAAGCCGCCAAGATGCGACGCACCTGGCCGTAAGACAGCCGAGTCCGATGGCGCCAAACTGCTGAAGGAGGAGGCCGTGGCCTACTTGAACGCGGACTTGCTAGTTGGTCTTCTCGTGGGCGCAAGCCGATCCATCATTGACAGCTTCGTGTAGGATACGACCAGTCTGTTGCCGGCAAACGCGTTCCACGGCCACAACAGCTACCAGTACCTGGGCGTTATCTGCGTTCGGACTGACCTACGTGTCCTACGGGACTTACCACAGCAACATGGACAGACTGCACTACATGGAGACGCAGCGGGCCGCACTACAAGTCCCGCTTCAGTATGGTCCAGTAAGTGGTGGGTCGTGCTCGCCATGCATTTCGCCAACGACGACGTCATCCCCTTCGACTTTTTCTCGTACGCGCTCGTCATGCTCATCATGCTTGGTGGGAGCAGCGTCTGGTGACATCGATAATTTCGGCGCAAATGCGGATGCATTCCAAGCCACGCACTTAGAGCTGCAAACCAGCACAGTTGCGCCAGCGCTGAGCGCCTGAAACTAAATTATGGTCCAGGTCGAGCGGCAATTGATCTCAAGCGACGAGCCCCACCGTCCGTGGTAGAAGCACTTGATCTACGGGGCGAAGCGATCTCGGCATTGCGGACGGTCTCGCCTACTCGGCACGATTCAGACTCACGTCGACGACATGGTCAACTTGGCAACTGATGGTTAGATATTTGCCCGCTTCAATCGCAGCTCTGGTTGCCATGCAAGTTTTGAAGAACGTCAAAGCTGTTTAATTTTGCAGCTTCTTTACATTTTACTTATCAAGTTACCTATTTTTTATGGCCAACATCTTCAAGATCAACAACCTCTTTCTCGTGTTTCATTATTGAAGTAGAATGTTGAGCCGCCTTTAGAAGTGGTATGCCGTCGCACAGCTACCTAAACGCATAATCGTCACATAAACTAAAGCATGAGATTCGACTCAATTGTGCTAACGCTTCTGTAGCGTGTGCTGATGACCTTCGTTCCGTACGAATGCTAATCAAGCAAACATACAACATGAAATCGTAAGCGATACAAGAAACTTTAAAGTGACGCATAGACAAACACTGATAGCAACGCATGCATTATCATTTTACAGTCTGCGACGAAGATTTCGGTCTTTGCAAGCCGTCTTGGTCATTTGTGCCAGCCTAAACTCGATCTTCTTGCTCAAGGGCAATGTGAGGAATGGCACAGTCGAATTCTTCCAATCCACAAACGCTGTTTTCCCGGACTGGTCCGTATTTATGATGTGATCAATCTCGAACAACTGAATCCGTTCCGAAGCAGGTGCGGTACTCTTCGATTCTTGCACGGACACCTCAGTGCCGTTTTTCCCAATGCCGCTCTTGAGGAGGTTTGCTGTCGTTTTCTTCTTCCTGACACTGCTCACGTACTGGTCTTCTAGGACTGTTGTAATCACCATCTCCAGCTCTTCCGCGGTCGTTGCCTTGCTCACAGCAAACAAAACAATCGCACAGGCGACGCAATCATTCACGCGTAGCCCTTTTAGGTGGCCTTTGCAGAATCTTTCACAGAGCGGACGCGAATCATGGCGGCTCACTTTCATGTAGGGAGGTTGCTGAGCGCAAATTTAGGTATGGTGGTAGTGAGTTCATTCTTTCGCGACAAAAATGAAACCTCTGTGGACTTCAACTTGTGTTTCTCTCAATATATATATATATATATTGAGAGATAGATAGATAGATATCATCGTCCTGGCAACAGAAACTGGGTGCTGCTTTCGTCACAGACTACCCCGTGTCATGAGAGGAAGTGGCGCTATCTTCACATGAACCTCGGCACGTTAGTGTTTCTACATATTTTTCAGCTATGAGCAGCCGGCAAAGTTAGGCTTGGCCTTCTCGTGATCTCGCACGTGCAACTTGCCGAAAGATGGCGAACATACGGTATTGGAATGGTCCTCCAGCCGTTTATACATGAACGGCAACAGCCAACGGCGTTTTGCTGTTGAAAAGACGGCGACAACGGCAAACAGGTTGCCGTTTCTACAAATTCCTGGAAGTTGCTTGCTCTCGGGTGGAGAAGCGAGGAAAATCAGTCCAAACGTGCGCTTCCCACCGCCTAACATATACATCGAGCAAGCTGAGCGCCTTCACCACCGAGCACACGAACCTGCATTTGACCTGCTTGCTGGGGTATAACTACGATTGAAGTGGGTCGTGGGTGGTGGTACTAATTTGTATATGTCTATGTAGGATGGCTACATCAGCAATCTGCATGGCCTGCACCTCAATCGCAGTCATATCGCAATACCCCCTTTAGCCTGGTGTCGCTGGGCTCACATCTGCACGGCTGCGTTGTCGTCAACGAGTTGATCTGTGACGTGATGCAAGTGGACGCCATCTCGCTGTCGCTGCCTGCGACTACGGCTGAACTGGGCAACGCATGTGACTGGGCTCTGGTGAAACTCAGCAGGATGGCTACATTCACATTTTCGTGGACGTGCTGGTCTCGGGTAGTGGATTGAGTTAGTCCTGCTGCCTGGGCTATGATTACAATTAAAATTGCTCTTGTGGCTACTACGACAGTAATGTTACTGAGTGAGCGCATGGCGGTGGAAGTGCCTGCATCTAATCTACATCGAGACAGCTTCGGGCCTTCATTGCTGTCATCGTTGACTTGTTGGCAAGCGCACGGGCAGTGACGCATGGGTAGTATGAGCTATCGGGGCTGGTCCCTGTATATGCATTGCTACTTGGGGATAACCGCTTGAGCTGACCGCTTGCGGCTATGCGTAGCGGTTAGACCTTAGTGCCAAGTTGTTCGTGAGTTGGTCAATATCGAGACGATGTCTCCCGTGAGGGTCTCGCGTGCGTAACCCAATGGCGTCACCACCAGCCCAAAAAATACAATAGGCTACTGCCGTAACGAGAGTGGATATTAAGCCAGTATTACCATTGGTGTTGGTATTTTGGTGCTCCGGCATGGCTACAGCTACACTGCGGTGGATCCGTACGTTGGTGCAGCGCTCTCAGTGGCCTGTATCTGACCTGGTTTTGGCGAGTGTCTAGTATTGTGGCCAAGTTGGTCTATACCTACGTTTGAAGTGGGGACACGGATGCCTGCATGGTTGACTCTCGTCTACTTGCTGCAACAGTTTATGGGTTCTGGTGGGGCCCTCGAGTATGGCTTCAGCTACGTGTTGCTGACCGCGTGCGTTAGCGCCTTGGTGGCAGTGGCTCGATATTTGGGCTGCGACTTTGCGTATGCTACGGGTTTTATGGCACCATCTACGTATCGCGACCAAGCTGGTCTGTGAGGTGGCGGCAGGGGTCTCTAGCTCGGTGGTCCTGGCCTATGCCTAAGCTTGCAGTGGGGCACTCATGGTGGTCGCTAGCCTACTAGTTGCATCGATCGCAGCGCTCTGGTGGCGCTCTCCGTCGTGGCGGCCGCCACAATTTCGTCAATGCGTTCGCCTGCAAAGTAGCGGCAGTGGCCGCGGGCTCCTGGTTGCTGGCGTACGACGTCACGTGAGGTGGTGCGCGCCCGACGCTCTTGCTGCTTCGTACGGTATCGGCCACTGGGCTCTTGTTGGCGCCGGTAGGCGGCGTGCGGGCAGGTTGTAGTGTGGATGGATTTGCAAGTTTGAGAATGAATCAGAAAAAATAATAGGAGCAATACGGTTTTCGCACTGTCAAGCGGACGTAATATCCGTGGCGCAATGATGCAATCAAGCTGTTCATTTGCGAGTTGTAAGCGTCGTCTTGTAAAATGTATCCCACATACAATTTGTAGGAGCCGCATACAAAACACGAGACACATATGAACTGGGCACGTGCGGTTGTCGCATCCATACCCAAAAATGAAACCTTCCCCATTTTTGAGCAAGGCATACAAGCCGAAGGTAAAATCCGCAGTGTAGCAAACAACAGCGCAAACGTGAGAGTAAACATGCCGCCAAATATTACGCCGCTCAATGCGTTGTCGTTCTCTTATTGGCTGTAAATTGCCCCCTCCAAAGTGATATTTGTCTCGGTACATGCTCACCACTCATCAAAATTCTCTCGCTCGACGCTGTGCCCCCTCCGACTTCTTATCTATACCGCTCGCTTTGCCCCTCAGACCTCCTCACAGAGCTAGCCCTTCATGCCGACGATTGAGGAACTCCAAGCTGAAAACCAGCGTCTTCGGGATGATCTTCAAGCCTGCGAGAACACTATCGTGGCCCGAGACGCTACTATAGTCACTAGAGACGCCACCATCGCTAACCTCAGAGAGACTAATCGCCTCAAGGACATCCAGATTACAGGCCTAATTACCTCCCACCACCGCGAGAAGATGCTTCTACTCAACGGTGTCGAAACCCGCCTCAACCAGCTACTCCAACTACACAAACAGCTTGCGCGCCAGCTTCGTCGTTGTGAAAACAGAGTGACCACCGCGCCGGCTCAGGAGGACAACGTGCGCGGATTCGCTATGAGGCTTCGGCCGCTACGTGAAGGAGCCCACGAAATCCGCTTTATCACCGGCCAAGAGAGCTACGTCTCCCGACAGGTAACCAACGCGAATGCATTACTTTTCGACTTCACCCAGACCGGGAACCCTATCGATCTTCGTCAAAACTTCCAACGGGTCGCCAACGAACGTCTACAAGCCCGTATTGCAGACTATCTCGCAGTGAACCCGGTAAGTTTTCTGTGTTGTTATGGTTTACACTACTGTCTAACATTGATATCACGTTGTCTGAGCAGGAAGCGGAAACTCCCAATTTCGGTTTCCGTTGTTGCCGATCGCGCTGGGTCGAGAACGACACCTTTACGCTCCAAGAAGTTGCGGAAATCGTGATCGAGCTACTAAATGAAACTAATTCTGGTTTGCATTTAGCGAGATTGTACACTGAGCTCCACTCGCAAGTGCAGCGGTTCGTTCGAGCCCAACGCTTTCCCTGTAAAACACGCGATCGATAAATGCAGCGTTCCAGAATTTTGCATCTAAACTTCAAACTATACAATTCAAATTAGACGATTGCTATGACCTTGCCGCCATTTCAAACAGGTAAGGAGTTGGTACTCTGTGGCACGGTCAAACTGTCCGCTCCTCGATAGTCTAGGCTTCAATGTTCTTGAGTCGGCAGCTCCAGGTTGGATAACGATGTGATGGACTTGTTCTGACGTTTACGCGTTTTGAAGGGCGCGTTTCCATTTTTGGCACTGCGAATGGCCTCCAAGGCGTGCGCGACAGTATCGGTAGAGGCTTGAAACGCATCTTTGTAGTGCATGACGCAGAAGCAAGCAACGTGGTAACCTTGCTGGCACTTCGTACATCCGTATGAAGACTTGGACTGAATTCCCCGCAAACTACACAAGTAGCATGTCAACTTGCCGCTTGAATTCTCGTGGCTGTTCGGAGTCAAAGAATGAAGTGCCGTATCTTCGACCACCATGTTGGAAGGCGAAAGGCATCTTGGCCGTTTTGATGAAGCGCGTTTCCGTTCTCGCGAACGGCGGTATGGTTCAGTGAGAGATTCACATACCCTCCGCTTGAACTCACGAAGGGTTTTGGGCGTGTCTGCGACTCTGGGGCAACCTGCTTCATCAGCGCAAAGGCGTTGATGATTGACATATCCAAAGCCCAAGTGAGTAGGCTCATCGATAGTCTAACCTCTTTTCGTCGTGTCGGGTTTCTTGACCGGAGCTGATCGACACGATCAACGCCGTTCATCGCCAGGTTGTAGGCCGCTACAACTGTAGGAACCAAAAATGTCGTCCGATGCATCACTTCGGTACCGGTCCATCTCCGCATCAGGTACAACCCATGGCAACAAGCAATAGCTTCCGGGTTGGTTCCATCCAAAACGCGAGCAGAAGGCGTCTGTGCCAAATCATTGATTTAAAACACCACCGGCTTTTTATCCTTGAACACGATGAATCCAGCACACGCTGCGAACATCACGCGGGGTGTAAATGCGACCCGTAGGTGTCGAGGGAGCTTGGATTGAGCTCGTTTATGATCGGCTCTTGCTTTCTTGGTGTCATCAACGCTATCCACCGCTCCGATTAACTCCCATGTTCCTCGCGCTGCCGACTTGAGACGCGAAATAGAGTCCGCCACGGCCGCTTTGTTTAAGCGACCAACCCAGTCTCGCCGGATTGTCCCAAGCATGCGGACTTCTCCATTCGTCAACGCAAGAACGGCATTGGCAAGATCATGCCGTGTATAAAAATTGTCGCACACAAGCAAGCGCCTCTGCGATGGAGCTGGAAAGAGTTTTGTTTGATGGGCTATCATAGCCATCCACAGTGCACCGGTAGCATCCGACTTAATCCGAACATCCGCCCGACGCAGCGTATTGTCCACCGGAGTTCGCATTCTTGGGAAAAGTCGAGTGTACCGCTGCGCGGGCGTTGTCGGCAGCTTATTTCCTGATCCATTGTCCCATAGGCTGTGTACATACAGAGAGCCCCAGCCCACTACAGCGTAGAATCGAATCGCAAACTTGTCTGGCTTCAGTGGCATGAAAAACTTCGCTGCACTCCGAGCCTTGGTTCGCACACCGTTTTCGTCTAGACTGCTCACACCAAACGGAACTGCTGTTGCTGCAAACTTGCGCTGGAAGTGCTCTAGTAAGTGGCGGCTGTGCCATAGCGGATCCTGACGAGCAAGTCGGTCAGCCTCCGATTCCACTGGAGCTGCGTTCTCCGGTGCAATAGGTGTCGAGGCCGAGTTATCTCCAGGTCCGACTCTTGCGTTCGCCTCTGTAGCATCGCCATCTGTAGCTTCTACTCCTGGATCAGCACAACTTGGGTCCTTGTCCGAAGATGAAGCTGTATCCTCGGTCTCGGTTGCATCAAGAGGAGGGTGGATTTGGAGCGACCCACGGATAGTTTGGAACCGTGTTCAGCTCATTGTCGCTTTGAAATCGTGATGGCCTTGAAATTTCTTGTCAGACCACAGTTCCTTCATATCCGTTATGGGTACCAGGCTCATAGCCAGCTCGAGTCCAATGAACGCATCCAGCTCCTCTGCGGTAATTGGGGTTTCCCCTTTCGCCACCAAGACAGCGTTTGTCCAGATACGCCACGCCTTCTTCAGTCTGGTGCTCACAAATAGACCAAATAAGCCCTTTTCAGCATGCTTGGTGTAGGCTCGCTCAATCTTTTTGGGCTTCAACAGGTGCAATCCGCTCTCGCTAGTCAGCCACTGAATGTACTCCTGGGCTATCTCACTTGGTGCGATCTGCTCCCCTTCTCCCTTGTCCGGATCGGTGATATTTTCCCACTCGGTTGCTTCCCATTCCATCCCACACAACAGCTCCGAAATCTCCATTTTCGCTCTTGCGCAGAGTATGTGTTCTTGACCTGTAAACTTGCTCCAGGAGAAAGTCAATTCAGAAATGAGCAGCCCATGCAACCGCTGACCATTTTCTGGTTGGCTGAGCTGCCTCAACAGTGTAACATATGTCCAGCACATACCGAATACATTCCCATAAGTACGGCGTATATTTTGCATCACGGACGGCCAACGTACGGATCCACCGCAGTGTAGCTGTAGCCATGCCGGATGGCGCCAACAAGAGCCCAGTGGCCGATACCGTACGAAGCAGCAAGAGCGTCGGGCGCGCACCACCTCACGTGACGTCGTACGCCAGCAACCAGGAGCCCGCGGCCACTGCCGCTACTTTGCAGGCGAACGCATTGACGAAATTGTGGCGGCCGCCACGACGGAGAGCGCCACCAGAGCGCTGCGATCGATGCAACTAGTAGGCTAGCGACCACCATGAGTGCCCCACTGCAAGCTTAGGCATAGGCCAGGACCACCGAGCTAGAGACCCCTGCCGCCACCTCACAGACCAGCTTGGTCGCGATACGTAGATGGTGCCATAAAACCCGTAGCATACGCAAAGTCGCAGCCCAAATATCGAGCCACTGCCACCAAGGCGCTAACGCACGCGGTCAGCAACACGTAGCTGAAGCCATACTCGAGGGCCCCACCAGAACCCATAAACTGTTGCAGCAAGTAGACGAGAGTCAACCATGCAGGCATCCGTGTCCCCACTTCAAACGTAGGTATAGACCAACTTGGCCACAATACTAGACACTCGCCAAAACCAGGTCAGATACAGGCCACTGAGAGCGCTGCACCAACGTACGGATCCACCGCAGTGTAGCTGTAGCCATGCCGGAGCACCAAAATACCAACACCAATGGTAATACTGGCTTAATATCCACTCTCGTTACGGCAGTAGCCTATTGTATTTTTTGGGCTGGTGGTGACGCCATTGGGTTACGCACGCGAGACCCTCACGGGAGACATCGTCTCGATATTGACCAACTCACGAACAACTTGGCACTAAGGTCTAACCGCTACGCATAGCCGCAAGCGGTCAGCTCAAGCGGTTATCCCCAAGTAGCAATGCATATACAGGGACCAGCCCCGATAGCTCATACTACCCATGCGTCACTGCCCGTGCGCTTGCCAACAAGTCAACGATGACAGCAATGAAGGCCCGAAGCTGTCTCGATGTAGATTAGATGCAGGCACTTCCACCGCCATGCGCTCACTCAGTAACAGTACTGTCGTAGTAGCCACAAGAGCAATTTTAATTGTAATCATAGCCCAGGCAGCAGGACTAACTCAATCCACTACCCGAGACCAGCACGTCCACGAAAATGTGAATGTAGCCATCCTGCTGAGTCCACCAGAGCCCAGTCACATGCGTTGCCCAGTTCAGCCGTAGTCGCAGGCAGCGACAGCGAGATGGCGTCCACTTGCATCACGTCACAGATCAACTCGTTGACGACAACGCAGCCGTGCAGGTGTGAGCCCAGCGACACCAGGCTAAAGGGGGTATTGCGATATGACTGCGATTGAGGTGCAGGCCATGCAGATTGCTGATGTAGCCATCCTACATAGACATATACAAATTAGTACCACCACCCACGACCCACTTCAATCGTAGTTATACCCCAGCAAGCAGGTCAAATGCAGGTTCGTGTGCTCGGTGGTGAAGGCGCTCAGCTTGCTCGATGTATATGTTAGGCGGTGGGAAGCGCACGTTTGGACTGATTTTCCTCGCTTCTCCACCCGAGAGCAAGCAACTTCCAGGAATTTGTAGAAACGGCAACCTGTTTGCCGTTGTCGCCGTCTTTTCAACAGCAAAACGCCGTCGGCTGTTGCCGTTCATGTATAAACGGCTGGAGGACCATTCCAATACCGTATGTTCGCCATCTTTCGGCAAGTTGCACGTGCGAGATCACGAGAAGGCCAAGCCTAACTTTGCCGGCTGCTCATAGCTGAAAAATATGTAGAAACACTAACGTGCCGAGGTTCATGTGAAGATAGCGCCACTTCCTCTCATGACACGGGGTAGTCTGTGACGAAAGCAGCACCCAGTTTCTGTTGCCAGGACGATGATATCTATCTATCTATCTCTCAATATATATATATATATATTGAGAGAAACACAAGTTGAAGTCCACAGAGGTTTCATTTTTGTCGCGAAAGAATGAACTCACTACCACCATACCTAAATTTGCGCTCAGCAACCTCCCTACATGAAAGTGAGCCGCCATGATTCGCGTCCGCTCTGTGAAAGATTCTGCAAAGGCCACCTAAAAGGGCTACGCGTGAATGATTGCGTCGCCTGTGCGATTGTTTTGTTTGCTGTGAGCAAGGCAACGACCGCGGAAGAGCTGGAGATGGTGATTACAACAGTCCTAGAAGACCAGTACGTGAGCAGTGTCAGGAAGAAGAAAACGACAGCAAACCTCCTCAAGAGCGGCATTGGGAAAAACGGCACTGAGGTGTCCGTGCAAGAATCGAAGAGTACCGCACCTGCTTCGGAACGGATTCAGTTGTTCGAGATTGATCACATCATAAATACGGACCAGTCCGGGAAAACAGCGTTTGTGGATTGGAAGAATTCGACTGTGCCATTCCTCACATTGCCCTTGAGCAAGAAGATCGAGTTTAGGCTGGCACAAATGACCAAGACGGCTTGCAAAGACCGAAATCTTCGTCGCAGACTGTAAAATGATAATGCATGCGTTGCTATCAGTGTTTGTCTATGCGTCACTTTAAAGTTTCTTGTATCGCTTACGATTTCATGTTGTATGTTTGCTTGATTAGCATTCGTACGGAACGAAGGTCATCAGCACACGCTACAGAAGCGTTAGCACAATTGAGTCGAATCTCATGCTTTAGTTTATGTGACGATTATGCGTTTAGGTAGCTGTGCGACGGCATACCACTTCTAAAGGCGGCTCAACATTCTACTTCAATAATGAAACACGAGAAAGAGGTTGTTGATCTTGAAGATGTTGGCCATAAAAAATAGGTAACTTGATAAGTAAAATGTAAAGAAGCTGCAAAATTAAACAGCTTTGACGTTCTTCAAAACTTGCATGGCAACCAGAGCTGCGATTGAAGCGGGCAAATATCTAACCATCAGTTGCCAAGTTGACCATGTCGTCGACGTGAGTCTTTCTGACTTCCTCTAAATGTAATATTCTAAACTAGGAATCTGCCAACGGCTGGTTGGCAGGATTCTGCTAACATGCAAGTCACTCATTGGCTAAAAGATGCTGCTTTCAGCCAATAGGAATCCTAAATGTGTATGGACCAGTCGTGGTGGTCGTAAATGTATGTAGCCATTGGTGTACCTTACACCAAGGTCGAGGAAGTGTTCAAACCTCTAACAGACATGGCATCTGTTAGAGTAACAAGTGAATGTAGCCACTTGTGCGTGTAACCCCGTTACAATTGTTCTGTAGCTGTGCAGCTTGTGCTGGTAGTATAATGCAACTTTTGCTTGACTGCGTGCATACTCGTATCGATACATACTTACGATAAATATTTTAATATTAAAAAAGGGATAATGAGGCTTCATACCACAACGTTACAAGCTCTTTATTATATTTACAAGATAACATTCTACCGCAGTACCAAGCTTACTGTAGAATCCTGGTGCAGCTTCCATGCATTCTTGTAATTCCGAGGCGCATTTAAAATGTAGAGCGCACTAACAAGATACTTACCTCAATTCACGTGTCAATTGAAAACAAAACAAAAATATGTTGAACCACGAAATGCTGAATTCCCTTTGCAGATAGTTTGCAATATCCAGGTATTTCGATCACTTCTTAACCTAGAAGCAAAATTCTACTCCTGGGTGAATAAGTGATTGGAATCCCCGGATATTTTACCATGGTATAGATTATTTATGATTAAATCATGTACATGTACTGTAGCTATGCAGCGTACCTACGTACATGTGATTGTAAGCACCGTATGGATGCATTTCGACGCGGATTTTGAACGTGAACGCATCGCCTCGTTGTTCTACCGACAGAACTGCAGCCATGCATTTGAAGTCCAAGCTGTTTTCGAGGATCACCGGCTGTATATAAAGGGGTTTACAGTAGACTCAGCGTACAGTGCCGAACTGCTAAAGCTTGATTCAGCAGATTTACGATGGTCTGAACAGAACGCTCGTAATCAGCGTATGACTACAGTAATCAAAAGAACACCGCACTCGCTCAGGCGCAATGCTAACTGTAACAAAAAATAGTCATCTTTCTTAAATAGTTATTTTTGCAGCTACGGAGAGGTTATCGATAACAAGGTAAGTATATTTTCTTTCCGAACAGACCGATGGAAAAAAAAATCCCCAAAATGAGCGACGGAGGTTCTATGGGGTTAAATATGCCAACTTGCCCACCCTATCGTCGTATGGTAAAGGGCAGCTAGTTCATAAAAATGCCATGATAAAACAAACCAATACAATCGGGTCGATTGAATTGACTAGCCACAATTCAACGTATATAGTATATAGTATATTGTACAATATTCGTTTCTTTCTCCCTGTGTATATTTTGCATAATAAATACGTATTATACGGGAAAACAAATGTGTTCGTATTGCGAAGTCACGTTCGCAAATCTTGCACAGCTTCACCGTTTGATGCACATGGGGGCTCCTAGTGTCCCTGTGGGTAAGGCCCACGAAGATCAAGCGTTCCACTGAGGGTTCGAGTCTCGCCCGGAGCGATTCCGATACAAAAGCCACGTAAGTCTATTTCCGACCCCCGACTACCTCCATCGCTACATCCCTTGGAACCCCTAAGTCACCCCCCTAATGGAACTCCCGATTCACCTCCGCAACCGCATCCCCTCAAACCGCCGCCTCACCACGGCCTCAGGAAGGGAAACCGATCAACTAGGAATAGTTTAGGGTAACTCACTTAGACGTCAAAGTGCCAGTTTCCAGCAGGCTCCGAAATAAGTGCCTAAATATACGCCATCAGGTCAAGAACCTGGGGCCTTCTCTCTCTCTCTCTCGTGGGCTACTACCGCGGGCTCGTGCCCCGGAGGCACGTGATCCGTAGGCGACGCTGCAGCAGTGCGCGGCATCGGGTGTAGTTAGCCGTCTAAACCGCAACAAATTCAAATTCAAATCTCTCTCTCTCTCACCGTTGGATGCACATTGCATATGCTTCAACTATTATCGGCGCGCCATCATGATAACGTTTATGTAGAGCGGTCCTTACACCGTCGCTCGCTTCTGTGGTGCCGTCTTTTACATCGCTTTTCTCCGCGATGGCGACAAGACACTCTGCGCGTACTTCAGCTCGACAGCTACTTGTTAGCGCTCATTGTATGCAGCTCGTTCTCAACGGCAGCAAAATGCAACTACTCTAGGAAGAAGTCACCCGACACCCCTGCTGTTACCCCTCCAACCGAAAGTGACTCGTCCACGGCGACGGAGACGCCTACTGTGGTGGCAGCTGAAGCTAACGAAGCGACTAAGACGCAGGCTGAGACCGAAAATGCATCCCAGTTCACGACCCCTGAGCCAGCTGACCAAGGCGGTTCTGTGTCGTCCCAGACCTCTGAGAATGAATCGTCGACTCAAACCAACAACAAATACAGCCAAGAAAGCATACTCCCGACGCAAGCTTCGGCAGAAGGCGGCGGTGCTCCCCAAACTGTTTCGGCCACCAGTGCACATGCCCCCTTTGGCGACATCACGTCTCAGAAGGGCGGCTGTGTCGTTGGCAACCCCAATAGGTTCATCAGCACCGCCGACGTCAACGATCAGTGGGACCGACGCATGAGCAAGGACGTATCGCCGTTCCACAACCTCATCTTCGACCAGATCGTCAACAACAACGCGTCGCTCAGCTACTGCGTGCGCTGGGACAACAATGAGAAGCTCTCGAAGACTACGGCGTCCAAGTTCGAGGCCATGCTCAGCCGCCAGTTCAAGCTCTGGAACCACTGGCTCATCGGCTACGACTGCTGGCCGTACGAGAAGATCGACATCAAGATCGTGGGCTTTTTCGCTGTGCGGGACGCGTCGTTGCTGGACTGGAGCGACGACTCGCTGGGCAAGATCTACGAGGGCGTGCTGGATGACGACGAAATCCCCAAGTGCCCCGACGAGTGCTACAAGCACCAGGGCCAGCAGGCCAACGCCGACACAAGCGCGTGTGAGGGCCAACCCTTCGACATGTCGCTCTGGCCCTCGGAAGACGTGCCCGGCCAGAACGTGGACGGCACCGGCGGAGACTGGGGCCAGCGCGTGGAGGTGAAGGCCATGCTGGAGATCATGGACGACGAGCAGATGATGACGCTGGCGCACGAAATCGGCCACGGCTTTGGCCTGCCCGACTTCTATGGGCCCTTGGACAAGAGCTCGACGTTCCCCGCCGCTCTCATGGACCAGAGTGAGACGCTCACGCCTGCGGATGGTGGAAAACATCAAGTCTCGGTACAACTTTTAGTGCTGAGGGGGATGGGCTCTTACTTGAAATCGCCGAAAAGTTTGTCATTTGTGAAGTGAGCCGGGAAGTGTGGCAAACAGGTCGATGAATGAATCAGTAGTATCGTTACAAGGTGAACCCAGTGGGGAGGTATAAGCTGAAGCCGTTGCCGTAGTTGTGAACTTTGCATGTTTTCCACGTACCAGTATTTCTTTATTGCCCGGTCTTGGAATCGGCCATCGGGGGTCAGTTTATGAGCTGAGCGAACGTGGTTGCGAGTTGAAAGCAGCTATTTTTGCTTTACTACTGTCTGCTATAGCTTGGGTGTGTGCATGGATTCTCTGCAGCGATGAAGAAATGGGAGTGTTTCGTGTGCTGGAAGGTGAACGAGGACGTTGAAGATGGCGATAGCACAACTTGCTTATGTCGGTGCTGTGGTCGGCCGCGTGATTTCATCCCAACCAGCGCCATGGTCAACGACCGAGCCAATCCTCTAGTGCTGCACGGACTATCTGCAGCACAGCACGAGTTCCACCCGACGCTTCTACATTCACTACAGCAAGCTGGCTTGGATCTCACGGAGACGGACAGCGTACGTTTAGCAACAACTGGAGAATAAGAAGCAATCTAGCTCTGTACTCACTGCTACGTTTGGCCCTTCAGGCGGGTTGGACGGCGCTACATTGTGCTGCGATGCTCGGCGATGCCACCGCGGTGCGCTGTCTACTACAAGTGGACAGACACAACTCGAGTAAGCGTGGAAATCTCCTCGAAGCAGCTCGAAGTGGTGGATGGCGGGCACTTCATCTCGCAACTCGCGGCGGTCATCTTGCAGCCATCGAAGAGCTGCTACTAGCCAACGCGGACGTGGACGCTCGACTTGACGCTTCAGATGATGCACGGACGCCACTCCACATCACAGCGGAGCACGGTCACGCAGAGATACTGGACCTCTTGTTGCGGTGTGGAGCGGACCCGACGCTAGTCACTCACCATTTGCGACGATCCCCTCTCCACGTTGCAGTGTTTGCGGGCCATGAACGCTGTGTGCGATTGCTCCTGGCTCAGCCCAATGTCTTTGGGATCCTAGACCGTGACGGTCTCACTGCACTGCAACTGGCTCATTTGCTGCCTCCGTCCGATGGTGCACGCAGTCAAGCGCAAAGGGAAATTATTGTGCAGCTGGAAGCTCATCAGCCGTTCGGGTCTGCTCCACCGACGCAGATGCGGACACTACTCAGCTGAGACGGAGGACTCGTGTACCACGGCAAAGCTCTGGGAAATTTATAACATGCCGGTTTGTTATCAGTTGTCTGTGTCTGTGATTGCTTATATGTCCTTGACGATGGAGTTGGTGGCCTCGTCGATGCGGAAGCCCGCCTTGGTGAACGCTGCAGACTCATAGAACTCGCTGAGGTCGTAGATGCCAACCGACTTGGCCTTGGACAGCAGATCGTCTCGCAGCACAGTCAACGTCGTCTCCTTGTGGCTGCGGTGGCCGGCTTGCGCGTTCGTCTGCATGCGCAGCTGCTGGTACGCGTGCGCCGACTTGAACAGCTCGTGCAGCACGTGGAGCAGCAACACGTTGTTGTCCTGGCGGTACGTCAGGTACGGTCGGAACAGACGCCGCCACTGGCGCTTGAACGTGAACTTCTGCGCGTCACACAAACTCTCTGTGAGCACGCGGATGGCCAGCGCCAGGTCCTCGTCGCCCACGGTATCCCGCAGGTGAATTCGGGCGTGAGCCTCGGCCATACGAAAAAGCGACTCGAGGTGTCGAACAGCCACGGGGACAGCGCCCGTGTGCTGCGAGCCACGTCGGAGCTGCGCGTAGAAAGCCTCCACCTTTCCAGTGTCGAGTCCGCTTGCGAGCACGGGGTTCACGTAAGTTCGGGCGTAGAGGATATACTTTCGCAGCAGCTCCTGGTCCAGCGTCATACTCGCATCTCCGTCGCCGACCTGCATGGACTGAGTCATGGCGCTCAATTCGTCTTCCTCGACGGCGGTCTCTTCATCCTCTTCACCGGTTTTCTTCTTGGGGTTGCTGCGCATGTGGCTGGACACGACAAAGTCTGCGAGCCGTTCGTCATCAACGGGGTCCACCTTATCCTGCAAGACGCAGAGAAGGTCAAAACGCTGCAGAATGGGGTCTGTCAGCTCCACGTTCTCGGCAAAAGTCCGAGCAGCGTTGTACCGTCCACCAATAGGGTTTGCAGCCGCAATAACGGAGCATCGCGCTTGCAGAGACGTCACAATACCAGCCTTCGACACAGAAATACTTTGCTGCTCCATGGCCTCGTGAATACTCGTACGGTCCTGCTCGTTCATCTTGTCAAACTCGTCAATCAAGCACACACCTTTGTCTGCCAGCACCAGCGCACCACCTTGCAGCACCCACTCCTTCGTGAAAGGGTCACGAGACACACCAGCCGTAAGACCCACGGCAGAAGCACCTTTGCCCGTTGAATACACGGCACGCGGAGCCGTCTGCTTCGCGAACTTGAGGAACTGAGACTTGGCCGTACCGGGATCTCCCACCATGAGCACATTTAAGTCTCCACGCACGCGCGAGTTCTTGATAAACTTCGGCTTTCCGCCAAAGAGAGCAAGAGCTAACGCCGTCTTTACCTGCTGATGACCGTAGATGGACGGTGCAATGCTGTTGATAATCCTTTGAGCAATGTCAGGCTGCTTCGCAAGTCGAAGGATCTGCTTCTTATCTTCCGCAGTGAGGAGCTGGCTGCCCAGTACATCGGCACGGCGTTCAACGTGGTTTGCTTCGATCACAGTTCGGAAAACAGGGAATCCATCTCGCAAGTTAAGCGTCGGGTCTGGCGTGTTGGTGTAAATACCCGTGACAGCAATCTCATCACCCGGTCGAGCCTTATCAATGAGGTCACCAACCAGCACAACATCCTTGGAGCGCGGCACACGTCCAGGCGGCACGCTACCAGGCGATTCCTGGAGCGTGATCTTCTGGAAGTTGCGGTACACCGTCTGCTCACTATTGACAGGGAAATTGCCCCGGTACTGACACTCTGGGCAAGCATTCAGCTTCACTTCCTGCTGACTCTGCTGCGTAAATGGTCCTAGCACTGCTCCACATCCAGGACAGTTCACTTTCACAAGCAGAAGCTGCGGGAACACCGACGTACGCCTCGTCACCACACCCGAAACCTTGATAAGGAAGTTCAAGTGAGCTGTACGCAGATCACGCAGTCGCTCCGTACCCGGCAGATCCAGAATCCTCACGTAAATCTGCTGGTGGATCGTAGCGTAGTACGGGAACAGCGCCAGCACGACGTCCTGCGCCACCTCGTCCAGAATCGAGAGCATATCCTTGGGCGCTTCAACAAGCCACGCCGCCACCATCGACATGCTGTGGATCACATCGCCAATCTCAATCTCCAGCGACTGCTCGTTACGTTGCGCAAGCTGCACGATCTTCTCGTGATACACCAGTCTGCCCTTCCCATCTGCAAACGTATTCAGGAAATTCCGGAATCGCCTCTTGATCTCGTTGCGCGGCCTTTCAGTAGCGATCCACTCCCTCAGCGGCACGTCGAAGTGCTCCAGGTTGATGAGCTCTTCCTCGTCGTCCACGTTGCCGCCCATCTCGTCGTAGCCGTCCTCTCCCTCCTGCGGGCGTCTGAACCTCCGTCTATGGGCGTCGTCGTGCTCCATCTCCTGGTCCTCCTGGAACACCTGCGCGATGCGTCCTTCACGGGCGTCTCGTCGGTTCAACTCGTCCTCCACAGCGCGTCTCGTGTCCAGATCCATATCTTCGTACTGCCTGGCGTCCAGCATGGTCGTGTCATACCGATCCAGCGTCTCCATTCGGCGGTAGTCCCTACAACATAACGTCATAAATAACAATAAAAACATCAATAGCTCGCCCCCCACAGCGAGTTAGAAGCCGGCAAAGGCCGCGATCTGCAGCCCTCTCCCCTCCGTACATCTCTGCGTTCTCGTTCAGGTCCTCTCCGTCCACATCGTCGTCCAGCTCGTCATCGGAGAAGTACTGCCGCTCCCGCTCCTGGATGTCCAGCTCGTCCACAACCTCCTCGTCCAGCTCCTCCGCCTGCTCGCCGTAGTCGTCGTCGCCCTGGGCCGCCTCGCGCTCCATGTCCCCCACCACGAAGTCGTCCACGTCGTCGGCGTCACCCTCCGCCAGCTGGCTCAGCGTGGGGGACGCGGGCGCGTCATCCCCATCCCCATCCCCATTGGCGGCGCTGGCGTCGTCACCGCGGCGCAGGCGGCGGCGCTTGCGTCCTCGGGAGTCGTCGGCGTTGTCGTCCTCTTCCTCGCTGTCCTCGAGGCCGTTGCCGAGCTGCTGGGCACTGTCGGGTGCGCCGGACGCAGGCGCAGAAGATGAGGAGGGTGCGGCCGCTGGGGGGTCCCTGGAAGGCGAGCTAGAGCCCGGCGTAGCAGGAGGAGACCCGCCGCCAGTCGACGCCATGCTTGTCTGTCTACCAAAATGAAAAATGGGTAAAATGGGTCTCCCCGCCAATTTGTTTTTGGGTCGTTTGCGTTAAGTACGCAGTGTGTTATAAGGTTTGGTTGTGTGCTTTATAATGTGGATGACGGTAAAAAGGCAACTATCGCCTCCATTCACGGTGTGTGCATCCAGGAGGGCAAGTTGCTGTCTGCATGGCTCGAAGGCGACGTGGGCACGGGTAGAGCTGTCGGTTGAGTTGTAGGCTTCGGCTGCTGCACCGGCTGGATAATGGCCTGGAACGGGGCGGTCTCGTTGGGCAATGCGGTGCTCCGAGGTGCTGTAACTGGTAGCGCAGTCGCTGCTGGGGGCACGCGCACCGTCGGGATCGAGTCCTTGCTGCGCCGCGGGGCGCTGTTGTTGCCCAAGACGAAGATGGCGAGCGTCTGCATGACGGCCATGGCCAGCAGCGCCACGCCCTCGACAATCAGGATGACGTTGTCGCTGCAGTCGCACTGCTGGTCGCGGGTCTTGCCCAGCAGCGCCGTCATGACGCCGCTCACGGCGAAGATGCAGGCGCGGCCGAGGCGGTAGCGCATGAAGCCGAAGAAGAAGAAGAAGAGCTCCCACTTAGACTCGCCGAAGGTCAGCAGCAGGCCGAAGCACACGCCCAGGAAGCAGAGGCAGCCGAACTCGGCCTGGCTGTCGACTGAATAGACGGACAACTTCAACGTGTTGAAGCCCACGCACGCCACGATGAAGAGCATGAGCCCCACGGCGGCGCTAACGAGGCGGAGCAGCCCCTTCGGAGAGAGCAGCATGGCGTGACTTGAGCTGAGTTGAGGAGAGGGGTAGAGTGGGGTAGAAGGAGGTGGCGAGAGTCGAGGGTCGAGCAGAAGGCGCAACGCTGGAGTTCTAAAGTTGTCGAGAGTAACGAGCCTTCGGTCCGAGTCAAGTCACGGGGTGAGTGGGGGTCGTTTCCTACTGGTGAAACGCATTACGCATGAAGAATGAGCGTGCCACAAATTCAGAGACGGTCATCACGGGCACTTGCATCGGAACTTTTAAGGCTTGGTATCCAGTGGAAGCTTGTCCTCCGTCATCGCCTTGGCAGGAAAGGCTACGGCTCTGGAAGAGTCGAAGCGTTATCTGAACCACGCAGATCCGGCTCACTTGATTCACTAGTGGTCAACTGGGAGTCAGCAGCGCTTCGACCAGCAAGAAGGAAGCACGGCCAGCGCACGGTCGATCGCTACGGTTTTCTTCCCTCACTTCCCGATTAGCTAACCTCGGACAACATCAACTCCACTCCACTCCAAGTCTCGATGAAGCTTCTACCTCAACTCATCGTCACTGTAGTGGTGATACTGGCCGGGTCTCCAGTACTGGCGAAATCCCAACTGAATGGCTGGTACCCGTGTTCTGAGCTCACCTTCTCGGACGAGGGGAGTGCTGGAGACTTGGTGGCCGAGTGCGCCACGTACAACGCTCCGTTGTGCTACCCGGGAATTTGTGAGAGCTCGGACGCGTCTGAATCGACCGTCGACATCTTCGTCAAGCGCATGCTGGCGACGGCGGTGGATCCTGAGACTACGACCAACGTGTGGGTGTTACAAGGCGGGCCGGGTGATTCTTCTACTGCGATGGAGTCGTTGATGGTGGACCTGCACAACCAACTGGAGGGGGCGATCAACGTGTACACGATGGATCATCGCGGCACTGGGCGCAGCACGTTCCTCAATTGTGTAGCGGCTCAAGCGATGACCACCGGCTCACCTAAAGGGCAGAAAATCGACCCAGCGGAGGTCCCTGGTTGTGCGGAGGACCTGCAGTTCAAGTACGGAGACCTGTCGGCGTTCTCCGTGACGAGTGCAGCTACTGACATGGCGACTTTTATCGCCAAGTTCTCGAACGGAGCCAACACGACAGTGTATGGAGTGAGCTACGGTACGGCATTGGTGGAGCGGCTGATCCACTTGAACCCTCCGACGGTCACGGGGTACGTTCTCGATAGCGTCGCCACTTCGTCCGGAGCACCAGCAGATGAATTTGAGTACTTTTCGACCTGGAACGTTGACTTTGGCGAGGTGGCCGATGCCTTCTTGGCCCTCTGCGACGATGATGAGGACTGCTCTTCTCACTTTGATCCACGAGGTCTGGCGAACACGCTCCAGGATCTCATCGTGCAGTTCGACAACGCGCCGAACTCGACGTGTGCGGCTCTGATGAAGAACTTGACGACGGATGTGAAGGATGAACCGCCCTCGCTTATCCTCCGCAGTGCGTTGAGCTCGTTGCTCGAGCGTTCGACCCTCCGAAAGCTCATCCCTCCAGTCGTCTACCGCTTGAATCGCTGTGGAGCTGAAGACACAGACGTCCTGAGCCAATTCGTCACGGCTTTCAACGCAGACGCCGAAGAAACGAGTCAGGAGGACGCGTTCTACTCGCCGCTGCTCTACTACCTCATCATTTTCTCCGAGATGTGGGAGACCCCAACTCCTTCAGTCGCAGAAATGAGAGCACGCTTTACGAGCGCCGAGATCTCCGACCCTGAAGTTTACATGAACACTCCGCTGTACTGCGCGTTCTCGAAAGAAAAATCGGCTGTCTGCAATAGACTCAACGTTAGCGACTACTCCGGCAGCGGCATCCTCTACCAGCACGACCAGTACTGGAACACGAGCGCGGTTATTCCTGAGCATGCCAGCGTGTTGCTGCTCAATGGCAAACTCGACCCTCTCACTCCGCACAAGTACGCGCAGTATCTGCTGGAAGCTCTGGATGGGGACAATAAGGAGTTGATCTCCTTCAACTACTCGGTGCACGACACGGTGTCCTCGACCCCGCTGAGTGAAGACGGTGACAGGAGCAACACGTGCGGACTGCAGCTGCTGGCGTCGTACGTGAAGAATAACGGGAAGCTGGAGCTTCTGGACAGGTCGTGCATGGACGAAATGCCAGAGTTCGAACTCGCGGTGCAGATTGAGGACCAGTATCTGTACTTGGGCACCGACGATGCGTACGACGGCGTGTACAACTCCAGTCCGAGAGGCTCTACCGACAGCTATTAGTGCTTTCGCCACGAACTACACCCTTGCCTTGGAAGGGTAGATTTAGATGATGCACGACTTAGAAGTTCGTCGATAGAGGTAATAGTGCACGTGCGAAGCATCATAAGAATGCTTTCTTCTCTGGGAAACCACAGCCCACGCTCAAGTCAAAGAAACCCTAGCATATCATCGAACACAGCTACGGCTAATGTATCAACAAAACTACATGATTCCGAATTCGGCATTTTTTGTTTGAGGCGGGTAGATTTCAGTAAGTAGCTCATTCGAGATAGAAATTCAATGCGTGTGTGCTACGATTCCAATAGAAGGGGGTATCTTGAGGCTAACTTACATCTTGCTTGCGTATGGAATAGCTACGTAACGCTAGCTTCGTTGGCTACCTTCGTTGTTTCTTCGTATCATTATTCTTATCGAATGCCAAACGCATCATCGAACAACGAGTTCAGAATGCCGCTTCGATATGAGCCATCCCCCCTGAGAGTGATCTACCTTGAGGACCAGGTTGATGGTATCAAGATCCCGAGCTTCATTTACGAACTCGCCTCCAACCGACAAAATCGACACCAGCTTGAAATCAAGATGAAGCACTTCGGCCGTATCACATTGGCCACACTACTCACCCTACCGGCAGTACTCAGCAGCAAACGCCTTTTGAACGGCTGGTACCCGTGCTCGGAGTTCACCTTCTCGGACGAGGGCAGTGCTGGAGGCTTGATGGCGGAGTGCACCATGTACACTGCTCCAGTGTGCTACCCGGGGATTTGCGACAGCTCGGACGCGTCTGAATCGACAGTCGACATCTTTGTCAAGCGCATGCCAGCGACCGTGGGGGATCCTGAGACTTCGACCAACGTGTGGGTTCTACAAGGTGGGCCGGGCGATTCCTCTACTGGAATGGAGTCATCGATGGTGAACTTGCATAATCAACTTGGTGGTGCGATCAACGTGTACACGATGGACCATCGCGGCACCGGACGCAGCACGTTTCTCGACTGCGTGGGTTGCCGACGTTGAGTTGGTTGCACACAATCGAGTTCTCTTTCGAGAACGCACAATACAGCGGCAGATCTCGATACGAACTCCCAGTAGAGATCGAGGCGTTCGTAAACCTCGCTCGCATTTCTTCAGTCGACGGGGTTGGAGACTCCCAGAACTCGGAGAACTTGATCAGGTAGTAGAGCGCCATCGAAAAGAAACTCGAGCTCTGGTCAGGCTGGTTGAGGTCTTCGCTCAACGTCTTTATGAAGTGGTTTAGAGCCACAATATCTGCTGGTGCACAGCGGTTCAGACGATAAACGATGGGCGGGATCAGCTTGCGTATGACTGTGCGCCGCAGCATCGAAGCCAATGTCCGCCGCAGAGTAAATGACGGTGGGTCAAACCCAGTAGCTCCGTTGCTCAGCAGCTTGGCACAGGTCGAATTTGGTTCATTATCGAGCAGGAGGATGAGATTCTGGAGCGTGGCAGCCACCCCTTCCGGTTCAAAGTGAGAACTGCAGTCTTCGTCGCGATCACAAAGCTCCAAAAACGCGTCCCACTACAAGTACAGAGACCTCGCATCCTTCTCCATGACCAGCGCTGCGACCGACATTGCGACCTTCATCTCCAAGTTCACCAATGGAGCGAACACCACTGTGTACGACGTGAGCTACGGGACAGCGTTGGTAGAGCGACTAATCCATCTGAGCCCTCCGACGGTGACGCGATATGTCCTGGACAGCATATCATCAGCTTCCGGAGCGCCCGCCGACAAGTTCATGTACTTTTCGATGACGGACGCTCGGGCGATGGTATCGTGTACAAGCGTGACCAGTACTGGAACAGGAGCGCTGTCATTCCTAAGCAGGCCAGTGTGTTGCTGCTCAATGGCAAGCTGGACCTCTTTACACCCTCAAAATACGCCGAGAGTCTGCTGGCAGCTCTGGACGGAGACAAGAAAGAGCTATTCACTATCGACCACGCGGTGCACGACACTGTCGTTTTTTCGCAACTCGTCGAGGACCTCGCCAACGCTACAGATACATGCGGGTTCAAGTTGCTGGTGTCGTTTGTGGAGAATAATGGGGACTTGGAGCGCCTGGGCAGGTCTTGTGTGAGTAGGATGCCTGCGTTCAACATGACGACGTACGCCAAGTTTCACCACGTCTACCTGAGCACAGAGGACCCGTACGACGGCAATTACAACTCGAGCCTGCGTCAAAGATTGTCGGATCTTCTGTAGGAAACTGGCAAAAATGGTGTGATGAACGCTACTCCAAGGGTAAATCACATCTACAAGCCCAAACTTGTAATGAATCTGCCACGCCTCCACCCCCGATCTTACACATGAAGTCGTGTTAAAGGCTTGAATATAAGGCTATCCTCTTTAGATCGTCACTTCATCCCACTTGACCTCGTTCTCGGCCTCTTCAGATCGGCGGAAGTACACTTCTCTCAGCACAGGATCCGCGGCAAATGCGAAAATGTTTTTCACGACGTGGTTGAGTTGTCCAATGCCAGGTTTCCGTAATTCCTCCTGCGTCTTGGTCGCTTGTTGACGAGACAACACACTGATGAACGCCGCTTTGCCCTCCCTCGGAAGCGGCTTCAGTGCGCGGCCGATCGGCTGTCGGTGGTGCCTTCTGAATTCCGCGAAGTAGCCGTCATATTTGGGCTGCACGACTACCTCGAGGAACTCCAACGACTTGTTCCTCCGCAGCATCTGAAGTAGCGCTTTCGCTGCGGCTTTCAAGCGGCGCGCGCCGTCGATGAAGTTCAGGCGGACTCGCAAGCGGTGGACGCAGTTCGATAGCGGGTTGCTCGGGTCTTGAAGGTCACTCGCGAGAGCTGCGACGTCGTCCCAATAGCAATTCAACTCCGGGAATGGTTCGTTGCTTGCGCGATACCCGCAGAAATTGAGTCGAGCATCCACCAACCCCCCACAGGTCGACAGCTCTTCGATGTTGGGGCAGCTTTCGAGGATCCAGTTCTCGTCAATGTCCACTCGGGGCCCATTCAGCGTCAAGCGCTTCAAGGTAGACCCGACAGCTCGGAGAAACACTGGCAGACCGCTGGAAGTCCCCGCACAACACGCGCTGAATCCGAGTGTGAGCGACGTTAACTCTGTGGTTTGAGTACTTTGGTCTTGGTTGTCTTCTTGAAACTCTAAATCGCCACGCTGGACTTGGCATCGTCCATAGCCAGGGACCAGAACGTTCACCCAAGCGCTTTCTCCATCGTCGCTGAACGTCCGTACCGAGGGGATTGAACTATCAAGAACCATCGCACGCGCAGTCAAAGCAGCCTCGCCTTTGTCGTGGAACTGCCATCGAATCGGAGCACCACGCTTCAATGTTGCTTCCCTTCCTTCCACTGCACCGCGAGGGCAGTCGAAGAGCTCTTCTTCTGGATACTCGGAGGCCAAAATGGCTGCGAACTCCTTCATTTCAGCGATGCGCATGTTGTGGATCGAAAGCAGCGCGAGCGACTGCAGCGCTGAGCACGCGCGAGCTCGTTTAGAGAAGAGTGAGTACGCCAGCCACTTCCACCTATGCGTGTCCATCCACATGCCCAGCGACAAGTTCTTGGTCATTTGGTTAAGAGCAATCGCCGAGCACATGGCCTCGAAGTCGCCAGGTTTCAGCGCCGCATTGATGAACAGCCCCAACGCGCCGAGACTTCGCTCTCGACTGCGATTCCCCAGGTTGAGGACGCGAGTCATGAGCTTCCCCAGCGTTTTTCTCGATTGGAGCTCGTCCTTCTCGAGTTCAGGCCCCAGCTCGGCTGCAAGCGACAACTGGGAGAACCACACGTCACCCAGCGCCAGACTCTCCATCGCCTCCGTCGTCTTGGACGTGACCGCCCACTCGTCGAAGTCGGCTACCATTGGACTGAGCTCAAAGGTGCAGCGTAAGGCCCCAGGACTCAATACATCGTCGTCGCTGTACGCTTTCCACTGCTTTCGGATCGTCCGCTCGGCTGTCCGAATGTCCATGAGGACTTTCAAGTCCCCTCCAGCACACCTCGCGATATGTGCGAGACCGGGCGAGAAGATGATCCGTACAGGGATGTTGATGTCAACTCCCGGTTTATCCTTCCCCAGTCTGTCGTCTAAGGCCGCGATTCTCGCCAAAGTCTTCAGATACGCTGCACTGCGGTGCTCACGCTGGTACACCCCACAGAAGTGAACCAGGTTGGAGTTTGACGCTTTGTCCCTGTCCAGATCCGTGTAGAGCTCGAATCGAGCCGGCAACTCCGCTTCAAATTCCTCTTCTCCTTCTCTGCCCACGTCGAGATGGCAATGTTTCAGCAGTAGATACCCCCACGCAGCGTAGTCTACGTGTTTCACTGCCACTAGCAGAGCCAACGCCTCTTGGACGTACTGGAGAGCTGCCTTCAAGTCCACTTTACGCTTCGGGTCGTAGTGCAGCGTCATCTCCTCGGCCTTCATCTCCGACCGCGACGGGAGACCGACTTGGAGGTTGCATGGAAGCATGTCGCCGACTTGGAGCTCCGGGATCCCAATTGTCCCCGCGCACCCATGACGGCGATAGAAAATCCGCCCACTTAATACGTCGCACCACGGCACGAGGAAGCCCCAGCGTTGCTCCATGGGGTCAGGTAGTGTGTGCTGTTGGCTGTAGGTAGTTGCCCCTCTGGTCCGTTTTGCCGTCCGTCCGGGACAGGGCGAAAACGACCCAAAGTACCAGTTCGTACTGTGGCGCTGTTAGTCCAGCGCAACTGATACCGTCTTCCCAAAAAAACATGTCTTTACCGATGTACACGCAGTACACGCATCAGCAGTATGAAGGGCAAGCGACTGAGGACTGGAATGCCAGTTCCGGTGGATTGGAGGCAAGCGTATTGAGAAGCTGCGGCTTGAGGCGTGTTGTACACTAAATCTGCAGAGCAAAAAACATACTGAAGTAAGTACAGCGAAGCTCCTTGGGGCGACGACCCTGATGAGACTGAAATATCCACATACCTTCATCCAAGGGAAGTGCGCTTCCACATATTGTTCTTGTTCTTGTTCTGGGATTAGCGGCTCGTAATTTAGCATCCTTTAGTCGTGAAAGCCTTGAGCCACTTCAATACAATGAGTCGGCGCTGTTGTCTCTGAACAGCTAACACCAGGGCATTTACCCGTGCCACACTACACAGCTCAGCTTGAATGCATTTTCAAACATTTCCCTTTGTGCGGGCACAATTCGCTCTTCATTAGCCTTCTCTACTTGAACCGATGTGTCTCATCTTCCTCCTCCTCTTCGTCGCTGTCCTCGTCATCACTATCACTGTCCTCTCCTCCCTCCTCATAGTCGTACTCGTCCTCCTCCACCAGCTCCTGGCCCGGCTCCAGTCCGCGCGGGAGGTCCTCCAGCACCTCCTCGATCTCCGCGATCACCTCCTGCACCAGCGGCTCCGTGTCATTGGGGAACACGGCGCGCATGTCGCCTCGGTGGTCCACCAAGAACTTGTCGAAATTCCACGTCGGCGCCACGGACGCGCTGTACTTGTCTGCGATCTTCTTGAAGAACGGGTGGGCCTTATCTCCCGTCACGGGCGTCTTCTCCGCGATGGCGAACGTGGCTCCGAACGCCGCGTAGCGCTCCAGAATCTCACTGTTGTCGCCCGGTTCCTGTCCGGCGAAGTCGTTGGACGGCACGGCGACCACCACGAGACCCAGGTCGCTGTACTTCTCGTGCAACTGCTGCAGCTGCTTAAGTTGCGCCGAGTGGCTGCACTTGGACGCCGTGTTGACCACCAGCGCCGCCTTGAAGCGGAAGTCCGCGGGTGTCAGCCGTCCGTCCGCCGGCTGGATGGTGGTGAACGTGAGGAAGTTGGCGAACCCGCAAGGCTTGACTGTGGACGAGAACGACTGGCAGCGCGCGGTACGCGGGGCGATTAGGAGGCTGTGCACGCGACTTGCAAGCCTGGAGGAGCCCTGTACGCGGAGAACGCGACGCTGCAGCATCGACCCAGCAATGACCACCAGACAGGCTCAATTATTTATCGCCTGGGGACACAAGTGTATACAAGAATGATGTGGCGTACATAACTTGTGTATACATGAATGATGTGGTTCACCATAACTTGGGTAAATGGTGTACGACACATCATGGCTAAACTATTCTGGGTCTTGATTACTACCACCCACATCTAGACTACGGGCTTCACCGTGTGAGCAAGGTTCGGGCCTCCAGGGCCCCCGGACTCACGCTTTAAGCTCGTTACTGATCTCTACGTCGGGGGCGCTGCAAATAGTCGGGTCTTGGCCGCCCATGTGCGAGCTCTTCCGTGACGAACATCAGATTGCGGGCCGCATTCTCGTCGCGGTCCCATTACATCCTGCAGGTGCTGTTGGTACAGTGCAGGACGTTACGGGACCTTGTCGCGCGGGGATGCGCTGGAACGCCGCGTGCTTGAGGCGCTGGGGGCGGGGTCTCCTCTGCTTGGGCTGGAGGCTCCTCTTCTGGCTCGGGTCGCCGTCGCCTCCCAAACTCCGTCTCCGCTAGATCACCGTGGCATGCGAAGCACTTCTTGCTCGTGAAGTACTCGTCTATCAGGCGTACGGTAGCGCGTCTGGACAGCTCCTTGGCGAAGCCCTTCAGCGAGAGCACTGCGTTGCCGCGGAGGCCACTTGGGTTGTTAAACTCGCCGACACCGACGAGCGTAGAGTCGTCGGGCACAGGAACCACGCGAGCTGCCACGTATCCGAGCGCCTTGAATTTGTAGACGTAGTTTCGGAATCGCCACCGCCGAAACGCGTGAGTGGAGCTGAAGTCGATCAGGAAGTTCACGTGTTTCCAGAAGTAGGAGAGCCTCTTGCGTCGAGGCTCATCGGAAGGAGGGCATGTTCACGAGTAGTGCTGCGTACACCGACTCCCGTTTCTTCAGGTTCTCGAACCAGTACTGGCGCTGGTTAAACCCGGCTAGATGTCGGTAATCCTTCGTCGAGCATGACACCGACGTGATGTCATGCTGCCGTGCGCGTCCGTGTTGATGCTCGGGTCGCTGGTGGCGCCGGAACTCTTGACAGGTTTCTGGTCCGTGCAACGCCTGCCGCTTCAGCTTGAGACGGCGCTGGCGCTTCCTGCGGCGCCGCATGCGGAGCCTCCACTTGGGCGACGCCGTATTCTGAGTTCGCTTGATCGGTAAAAAAACGTGGGGGTGGGACGTCGCGTCAGTCCCCGTACGCCTTGATACCGTAGCACACATGTTGCGTATTCCAGGACCATCGTCGATGATACGCGTTGGCAGATAGCCCCGGGGAAGCTGAGGTTGAAAGTCCAGGCAACTTGAGAGCGGGAGGCCTTGTCTCGGGTTGAGCTCACGACGAGGTGGATGCACGCCTCGTAGCCGTTCGTCGAGATGTGGTGGGCAAACCGCTATCGCCCTGTTTCGAACTTGCGAGCGTTGACCAGGCACCGCCAGGCTTCGTCTTTGACTCGGACATCATGGGGTAGCGTAGACCGCCGCGCTCCGACTGCGCATGAAGCCCTTGAGGGGGTCCAGGTCGGGGCGTCCTCGCCTTTTCAGGTCTTCGCGCAGTCGATGCCAGGTGTCCAATAACACCGAAGTCGAGATGGCCATATGACCCGGTACAAACTCCGTGGTGAGCAGCAGTAGGGAAAACAGCCGAATGCCGCGCCGTCGCTCCTCCTTATCGTCAATGTGGGCCGCAGTATACTTCAGCATCTCATACTGACGCTCGAAGAAGTAGGCTTTCTCCTCCTGGATGTTTTTCGCGGTTGGCTGAATTTCCAGAAATTCGCGAAGGTGGGCGGCGGCCTCTCGAATCGGACCGGACACGTCAACGAACTCGTACGCCTCCTTGAATTACCAGTACATATCGCTGTTCGAGGCAATGTTGAAGCGAATCTTGCAGTATGACACCGTGCGTTTATAGTACTGCTCCTTCAGCATGACCTTCGCGTTGGTGAGCATCTCCTCGGCAGCGAATGCACGCTCCGCTCGATCTCGGCAACGAATTCAATGATGGCGGCCTTCGCGGCGTCGTTGGGAGGGTTCACGAGCACGGAAGCCAGCTTGCACTTGACTGTCGTCACTTCGGGGTCTTCGCAAAGGTGGGTCTCGCTCAGCAGGAGGCACACTTCCTCGTAGGCCGTCATGGTGGTCCATTGTCGCTTGTTAGGCCTTTGCCTCGACCTGGACTCGCCGCTTGCCCCGGGAGCGGGGCATGGATGGCCCATCCCCGTGATTCGTTCCGACGCGGCTGAGCGCTCAGCTGATACAAGATGCCTCGTCCCCCCAGAGTTTCACCCGGATCCGTGGAGTGCCGTTCTCGCACCCTGACGCCAGCTCTTGTACCCTGACGCAACCAGGTTGTCTGGTCTGACGCTATCACAGGCGCTTTCCATCTTCCTCCTTTTCTATGTCAGCATGTTCATGCATTCTCCAGCACACATTTAAACTATTCGACTGTGTTACTGATCTAGGTCACCCCCAGGCTGGGTCATCTTTTGCTCTCTGTCAGTCTTATCATCCTTGCCTTCAGCGTCGGTCTTTCACTAACTATCATCCTTCCCTCGTGTCATCCTTGTGGTCCTTTTCTATAGAATTCCTACGCGTCTAAATGTCATCCTTTCCTTGCGTCATCCTTGTCATCCTTCCCTCGTGTCATCCTTGTGGTCCTTCCCTCGCGTCATCCTGGTGGTCCTTTTCAAAGAGTTCTTTGCGTCTCCCTCCTGTCTCGGCATCCGCCTTCCTGTCATCCTCTCACCCGCCGGCTTCAGTTGGTGGCCTCTGATATCCTGCATTTCCTTTCGTCTTCCTTTCGCTATATCCTAGCCTAGCGTCACTCATTCAAGCCTATCGTCGCGCTGTGCATTCAGAAGTACGAGTGGTCATCCTTCTTGCCTGTCGGGGGTTGCCACCCTTGTTCCATTCCCGTCACACTTTACCACCTTTTCTCTGTTTGGGTCACGCTTGCCTTCCTTTCTGTCTTCTTTGCCCTGACGCCCACCTCCGTCATCCATATCCAGCTTCAGCTTTGGCTTTTGACATCCTTTTTCTATACCCGTTTACTGCCGCAGGGATGTCGGTCATCCTTCGTCCTTGTCATACTTGTCTTCCTTTTTTACCATCGTAGTAGTAGATGGGCCCTGAGTCACCCTTATCTCTTAATCCTCCTTATTTCTAAGTCATCCTTATTTCCAAGTCATCCCTTTTTATTATTTCCAAGTAATCCTCCTTTATTCGCCTTGTTTTTTAAGTCATGATTCTTCCTAAGTTCTAATGTAGTCCTTTTTTGTAGGTATAGCTCCTTCAAACGATCTGGTGTCTGTATCATGCTCATTTGTCGTTTCAGAATTTTCAGAAGAGGTTGGTAACACGGTTGAAACAATTAAAACATATATTGAAGTTAGAAAGGAACTCACAAAGCGCTACAGCAAACGTAAACATGCAAACCTACGCGAACTGGCTGAACCCGGAGCGTTCGATATCCGGGTTCAAGTCGAGCAAGCGCCTGCCCCCCCCCCCCGGCTGGATGCAGCCGGGGCACAGCACGTGTCCGTCGTCATCCAGCACCGCCGCGCCCCGGGCGTATGCCGCACCGCACATCCTGATCACACACTCCAGATGGAATGTGTGATCGCAGCTGCGGCCGGTGACACGCTCGTCGCGGGCGACGGGCAGCTGGCAGCCGTGGCAGGCAGGGTCGGACTGAACCAGCCGCGGAACCTGGCATGTCGGGCACCCTGGCCGTAGCTGCAGGCTGCGGACCCGGCAGTCCTGGCAGATCGCCAGCCCGCACTGGGCGGTCCGGGCGCTGGCCGGCTGGGCCCAGCAAATGTTGCAGAGCCCGGACTCGTCCCTGTCGTCGTCGACCGTGAGGTCGACGACGATGCGGTCCGCAACCTCCATGAGCCGTGCATGCGCCGGCGTAGGCAGTCTTGGCGCTAGGCCAGCTGGCTCGGGCAGCGCAGGTGCAGGCGCAGGCGGTGCCACAACTACATTGGGCGCGGGCTCATGAGCTGGTAGAGACCCAGCCCCACAAGCAGAGCCCCCACGCCTATCATCTGCATGGCGGCGGCCGCAGTTGGTGCCAGCGTTGCTGGGGCTGGGACGGCCGGTTGGGCTGGGACTGGGGTGCGGTGGACGGCGCCAGCCGTCCGCGCCGCCCGTCGAGTCGCCTGCTGTGCCGCACGTCGTCGACGCTGCGCGGCAGCATTCGCTTCGAGGCGGCGCTGCTCGTGGTCCTCCTCGTAGCCCTCTTGGGTCCAGCGCGCGCACAGCTGGGTGCGCTGGTGGGCTGCGAGCGCCGCTGCTCCAGCTGCCACCACAGGCCCGCCGCACCGAGGGCGCACCTGTGCCGGGGGCCCAGGGCACACGTGGCGCTCGAGGTAAGTGAGCCGTGTGTATCGGTGTAGACACACCGGTCTCGCTTGCGGTTTTGTTTTGGAATGGAATATGTCTGATCTACTGTGCTGTCGGTATGTACCTACCGGTGCTGGCACCGCGGCGCCACAGTGGGTGAGGAATGCTCGTACGGGCACGCCCGGGATGCTCAAGGGGCGTGGAGACACTGTGCGTCGAGGCAACGTGCTGCATCGGCACACACCGCCACGGCCAAGGTCAACGACTCCTTGAGGAAGTCCGGCGCCCGCGTGGAGAAGTTAGTGGGACGTTCAAGGATGGGGGACAAAGCGCCTCTCCGCCGCTATGAAGGTACGCTACACGGGCGGTCTCACCTGCTGCTGGCGACTGCAGGGTTGCTGTTCATTCCCATGTTGCTCCTCGTCTCGGAGAGCAGTGTATCCGGAGGCGACATGCTTTTCTACGTGTGCAACGAGGCTGGCTTCGAGCTCTACCTCAACCACATGCGGCGATTGTCGTTGACGGCCTTGCCGTCGCGCCGGCATAAGCAGCAGCAGCGCGCGAGCCTCCGCTCAGCGTGCGGCAAGTCCACGAGCAGCCTGCGCTCGACGTTCGGCAACTTCGGCATAATGTCGTCGCTCTCGGGTTCGCTGTCGTCGGGTTCGCTCACGTCGCTCTCGACCGCCTTATCGCCCGGGGCCCCGCCGGAGAGAGCATTAAACACTTCTCCTACGAGCGCGAGCGGACGAGCGACTGGATTGACGCACTGTACGTCACGGCGCAGCTCACGCAGTCCTACGAGCGCTCCGTGGCGGCCGAGCGGGAGGAGAAGGAGATGCCGCGCCGCGAGATCAAGGAGGTGTGAGAGCGTGTGGTACTGTGCGGGATGCTAAACGGTAGCACATCTTTCTGGAGATCTTCTGCACGACGCTGTCGCGCAGCATCGTAGCAACGCAGCTACCGGATCTACAGGCTCACTGCTATCTATACTACAAGTTGTATGCAGAGAAGTTTGCTGGTTGACAGCAACCGAGATGGTGCAGCACACCAACCTAGAGTTTGTATGTAGAACTTAGATCTAGTATACTAATGACAACTTTGCGGAACGGTGAACTTTGATGCAGGCAACTCTCTCGCTCACTACAGCTTTTGCAGCTCAGCGAGCACTGCACGAGCAAGAGAGTTTCCTACAGCAAAGTTTACTGGTCCTGTCGTGGTGTTTGCCCGGCACTCACGTGTTTGAGTCTTTCCTGTGTAATGATAAGTGCGGTGACGCAGCCTACGTCACCTCAGGAGGGGGGACAGGTGGACACGGGCACGCTTGTCATCTACAACAAGGAGCAGAAGAAGTCGCCGTGGACATCGCGGACCTACATACAGACTAGCTCCCCCCCAGATTTTCGGAAGCCATCACACTTAATCCCCTATTTCTGAGCTGTTTTTGAGCCGCCGGATGGACTTACCTATTTTTGACCCCCCCCCTCATATTTTGCCCCTGGCCATGGAATCAGGCCCTTGTGCGGCACAGCGGTGAACGCCGACATTCATGAATACAAAACGATGTGTTGCTCCCGATCTTAGCCGCTGCTTGATGGGCTACGCGATGGTTAGCGCAGTGAACGATTGAGCTTTGCATTTAGATTATTTTGCTGTCGACTGCCTCACCCTCCGCAGATCGACGAAATGTCAAAGCCCACAGAGAAGTCGTCCTCCTGTCTGGAGGCGATGGGTCTCGGCGTCGCGAGCTTGAGCAGCATGGGGAAGTGGTCGCGCGAGGTGAGCGCGACGGCCACTCCCTCGCGGTGGGTCTGCTCGGCCGCCTTCTGCTTCTTGCGGACCTCGACGAGCGTCTTCATGCCGCTGTCGCGGTCCCAGGAGCCCGTGAGCGTCTTGCGCAGCTCCTCGCCGTCGTGCTGGTCGTCCTGCAGCAGCTTCTCCTTGGTGTTGATGCGGTCGTGCTCCTTGGTGGAGCTGGTGCTTGAGCTGCTCTTTGACGCGGGTGGGATAGCGCTGGTCGTCGTAGCTCTGGCGCGTGTGCTCGCTCTCGGAGAAGAAGGTGCTGGCCTTGGGGTCCGTCGTGCGGCGCTCGTGCTTCTCGACGGCGCGTTGCTACATTTGCACGCCCAGGTGCCGCTGCAAGTCCTCGGCGCGTCTTGTGCTCCAGCGCCATCGTGTCCAAGTCGCGCCGTTGCTGCAGCTGCTGGTCGAACGCGTACTTGGCCTCGAGGTCCACGTCGTTGGCCAGCTTCGAGATGTGGTGCTTGAAGGCCGACTCCATCACGCGGTGCTTGGCCGAGCGATCGCTGATGGTTGAGTCCGGATAGAGCAGCGCATCGTACATCTGCAGCTCTTCTTCGATGCTGACATCGCCGCCGATGATGTTTTCGGGGTCGCTGCGGTTCGTGGGCAGCGCTTCCAGGTCGTCGGTCGGGAACGCGATGTTGGAGGCAGCAGCTCTTCTCGCGCCTTCGTTCTTGTCGGGAGGTGGGAACGCCTCGTTATAGCAGAAGACCAGGTCCTTTGTGAGGTTGCGACTGAACTTAACGGCGATATTGGTGAAGTTGGTGTCTGTCTTCCAGAGACGCCAAGTTGGCGCTGGGCAGCGGTGGCCGTCGCTGAGAGAGCCCGTAAGTTTTGTCGGACAGGAAGAAAATGGGGCGCGGCTTGGGCTGGTTGCGCGAGTTCGTGAAGGTCTCCCACGTGATGGTCGCGAATGTAGCGATGTGAACGCCCTTAACCAAACAAAGCAGCACATGCAAGGTGTCAATCTATAACACAATTTGAGCTGCTCGTACGAGGAAATCCACCGCACCTTGCCCTGGTTGAAGCGCGACTCGATCCAGTCGTTGAAGGCACGCCACACATCCTCCAGCGTCTCGCGCTTCCTGTCGGCGGCGCATTTTGTGCGCTACAGCCACGTACTGCAGTCGTTCAGCAAGTGCTAGAGCGTGTACAGCGACATCGCGTAACGACGCTCCTGCAGTGAAAAGCCTTCGGCTACTGCGTGGCGGTCGACCAGGACGGATTGATCAGGCTAGGCCCAAGCGTACTAGGGGCGGTTTAACACAACCTGACGCGAGTACTTGTAGCAGCTCCACAATCTATTCCAGTCCCAAGTGCAGCCTTCGGGTGGTCTCCAGTGGCAGCGATGGAGCCAGGAGGCCCGCCGAGGAAGTTTGGGTGGGGGGAGGACGACGTGGAGATCCCGCACTACTCGTCTCCGACGGACGCGATCCTCTTCAGTTCGACTCGAAACATTTCAGCGTCCGCCGACAATGGGCCGCAACTCGTCAAGTCGCGGTCAACTACCCGCAGTTTTGGCCAAAATTCACCCCGAGACAGTCACGAACCGACGGGACAGCAGAGCGAAGCGAGACGCGTTCAGACCTCCAAGGTGTGTCCGCTCCAAGCTCTTCTACCTTCAAGGGCTGTTCGCAGTAGTGGTGTTCGTGTGTCTTGTGTGGACGATCTGGCTCATTTTCCTCAATATCTGCCCAACTACACGGTGAACCGCGTCATGAAGACCGAGAACTTCGACGACGGCTCCTTCTTGTTGTTCGTGGACCCACCCCCTGCCACGCTCTACCTGGCAGTGATCGGTCTGTCGCTCGTCAGTCTTGGATACATTGTCGTCTTGCTCATGATGCTGCATCGGCCGAAGCGAGTAGTGCACTCTACCTCCCCGTCTCGCCAGACGTTGAAAGCCGGGATGGCAATGGTAGACTCTACCAAAGTGGCGAGTAGAACGACCTCGTCCGCTCTGAAGCTCATCAACTCGTTTACGCAGCCTGACAGCACGTCGAGACGTTTTGTTGTGAGTGACACGGTAGATGCATCAACTATTTGACATGCTAGCTAAATTTCTGATGATTTGGTTTACGGTACATGTTTAGAAACTGTGGATGAAGATCGGAGATCTGGTGTTCGAGACGATCCTCCTCGTCCAGATCCTGGAGGCCGGTTCCCCTGCCGTGATCGTCGGCATTTTTACTGTCGTTATTGCCTCGAATGCTCTCGTGTTTGCAGTACTGATGCTCCTCCCTCTCAATCGAATGGGACTGGTTGAGACCCTCGTCGATCTGCTGTCAGACCTCAAATTGTCTATCTACTGCGCCCAACACGGTTATTTAACGCATATTTCCCTGTTGTACTGCAGATTCGACCTGCTCATCGCTGTCGGGTGCCCCATGTTGATTCTCCTCTATTGCCTCACCAACTTTAACTTCCCTAGGGATAAATTCGCTATCAATCTCGAAGTTTTCCCACCTGGGTGGTTCGAACAGCAGGTCAGCGTCGTCGCTAACCCTGTACAGACTGCCGTCATCCACAAGAGTCTGAAGTCGCTGCGGATCACTTCAGTGTACGAATTCTTCGCGCGCATGGGCATCCACGTTACGCTGTTTATGCGTCTTCGTCAGCTCGTGATACTGCTACAAGAGCCAAAGTGGCAAAGGATCCGCGTCTACCCAACGTGTCATCGCGCAGCAGCGTTTTTCTTCGTAGTATTTGCCGGCTTGTTGTGCTTGTTCGTCGAAGAGAGTATGCGAACGTCGACTCTGGCGTGTAATCCGCACCCGGAGTGTGCCGTGAACGCTCATCGATGGACTCTCGTGGAGAATAGAGAAGTAATCTACTGCCCGTGCCTGATGATGATCGACCGAGATATCGCCCCTAGGACGTACGCGGAGTGGGAAATGCCCAAGAACCTGACAGAAAAAGTAGCGCAGTTAGCCTCAACTGGGGATCTGCAGACACTGCACCTCACGAACCGATACTTACCTGTTCTCCCTGAGGAACTTCGACGCTGCAAAGGGATGAGCCATCTGTACGTTGAATTGTGGGGATCATCCAGGTTGGAAGTTGTAAATGTATTGATCCAATGTATATGCTGCAGAACACTGGAATATACTCACACGCAAACGCTGCCCGGCTGGATCAAGGAGTTCACGAATCTCGAGTATTTGTACGTGTTTCATAATAATTTTGTCTCTCTCCAACCTTCACCCTCTAACCAACTTCTCTTTACCTCTAGCCACCTCGAGAGCAAATTCTCCAGTCCTGTATTCTCACTGCCCGACGACATGTTCGACGACATGTCTCTAACGTTCATTCACTTCGCCGTGTTTCTTCCACTGAAGCGACTTCCGTCCTTCAACGGACTTGTAAATCTCAAATCCCTAACGCTGGCCGTCTTCCTCTCCCTCGAGGAGCTCCCGCATCTCGACAGCCTCCACCGCCTCGAGAAGCTTCTGGTCACTTGCATCCCGTCCCTCAACGCACTCCCAGACCTCGCTCCAGTCAAGAATGTCAAGTCGCTGATACTGACGGATCGAGGCACGTGGTGCTGCAATGGGTTCCTGGGCGAGTGCAACCTGGACCACCCCATGTGTCAAGACCACCCGCTCTGGGGGACTCCAGCCGCTACGTGCCTGGCTTCAAGTGAGCCGAGAGCTACCCCCGAAACCCTCGCGCTCATCGCAAAGTATCCAGAGAACGTCTGCACTGGGTTGCTGCGCCCTGGATCACTGGAAGGCCCACCCACCCAGGCGTCTATGGACCCGGCAAGGGCACATTGTACCGACAGTGCGTAGACCCGAGTGGAGTGGAGTCGATGTGCTACAACGCTCGGTACATGGGCATCTCGTGTGATACGAACCCGTTCCCGATCAAGATGCGGCGCCTGCAGATCGCTCGGGGTGTCGGAGATCCGTGCGACCCGGAGTACGAAGCTTGGCTGGGCTGCAAGTTACGTGAACGATAGATAGATCGCATGGAATACGTAGGAGAAGATAACACTATTCAAGTTGTACAGTACTCGGTTTCTATGATTCTACATTAGACTATCACTTGCAGCCCAGCCAAGCTTCGTACTCCGGGTTGCATGGGTCTCCGACACCCTTTGCGATCTGTTGGCGTCGCATTTCGATCGGGAACGGGTTTGTATCACAGGCGATGCCCATGTACCGAGCGTTGTAGCACATCGACTCAGCTCCACTGGGGTCAGAGCACTGACGGTAGAGTGTGCCATTGCACGGAGCCATCGAAGCCTCCGTTGGCGGGCCTTCAAGTGAGCCAGGATGCAACAAGTTGTAGCACGTCGTGTCTGGAAATGTTGCTATGATCTCCCTCGTAGGTGAGGTTGCAACTTTGTCCGTTCGACTGGTTGCAAGGCACGTAGCGGCGGGAGTCCCCCACAGCGGGTGGACGCCGCACATCGGATCTTCCAAGTTGCATTCGTCTAGAAACCCGTTGCAGCACCACGTTCCTCGATCCGTGATAGTAAAAGACTGGATTGTGCTGCGAATCGGTCCTAGATCGGGTAAGCTGTCGAGCATCGGCGAGCATGTGATCAATAGCCGCTCGAGCTTTCCAAGACTGTCAAATGCTGGGAGCTCTTCAAGGGACAGGAACACAGCCAAGGTGAGCTATTTGAGGTTGGTCAGTCCTTGGAATGACGGGAGACGTCTCATCGGTACGAAGATGGCGAAGTATATCGTCGGGCAGCACAGCCACTGGACTTGAGAACTTGCTTTCGAAATGGCTGCCCAAACAACAGTAAAACACCAATCAGTAGAATTTTTACCAACGTTGACAGCGGTGGGATCGATCTTACAGGAACTCGAGGTTGGTGAACTCTTTGAACCAGTCCGGCAGTGTCTGTGTGTGAGTATACTCCAGCGTCCTGTATCGTAAAACGGAAGTTGTCAGTTGGACTTAGAGACTGTTTCCGAATATTCGTCTCAAAAAAAGTATTACGTACAAATGCCTCAATTCCTTGCACCCCCGCAGCTCACTCGGTAGAGCTGGTAAGTATCTATTCGTCAGCTTTACGGTCTGGAGAGTGCTTCTCGCGGCTAGCTGCACCAGCTTTTCAGTCACGTTTGTCGGCATTTCCCACTCCACGAACGATTTCGGAGTGTTGGGCGCAGTCAGAGCGCCATCACCAGACGACACTGCGCGCTAGCAGGATCCGATCCCGGTGCCTATCCAGGCACCGGTGCCGATGCCAATCTCGACGCTGAGCTCCTGGAGCAGAAGCCCAGCGAATGACCAAGCGAGGCGCGTGCATTGGAGGCAGCAGAGCAGCACTCGACAGCGGCAGTGGACGAGCGGTACGCGGCAGCAGCACCGAGGACTGGCAGGCGGCACGCAGCAGCACCGAGGACTGGCTGCCGGCAAGCAGCAGCAGCAGCAGCAGCTATTGGAGAAGCAGTCGCCCAGGAGTTGCTGCCCCAAGGAGGTCGCTGGTAGGAACGATGTTTGTCAGGATGAACTCTAACTCTCAATCTCACTTCGCAACTTTCCTTATGTGACGGGGCACACAGCACTTCTTAACAGAGGAAGCAGGAGTATACAAACTCCAAGTGAACAGCCGTTCACGTGTCCCTGGTCTGAAGGGGACGACTTGACTTGAAAAGCGGTAGATCTACACTCCACGACAAAAATATATGGACACCACCAAAAGTGGCTGTAACTTCGTCAAGTTTTATCGTTTTAAGGTGCGGTTTGGACTAGAGTTGCAGAACACGATGATAAAGATCTGCACGTTGCTAACACGCGCGCTTTTGCGCTTCTTCAGGTAGCTCACATACAAATCACTGGTTCTGCCCAGGTGACAAAACTTATGGACAGCTAATCCCCATACAAAATCCTATATTAACCAAAACCCTTACAAATGATACGACTTGGACTTTGTATGGGGCGACAAAGGAACCAGCCTCACGGCGATACTCGCGACGTTAGACAAAGATCTGATGGCATTATCGTGTACTAGAAGGTGTGTTTAGTAACCTGTAATAAATACATCGACCATCGCACAAAACGGAGCAAGTAGTAAGCGACTGAAATTTCGAGTGGTGGCTACCATGTATTATCTGATGATTTGCGAGGCACGTTCAGTTGCATCCTAGTTAGTGCCAATTTGTAGCTCTGTATGCTGCTATCTCTTGGATATACGATTGTCTTCTCCATTCTAAACTGTTGGTCGATGATATATGGCTCAGTACTAAGGTAGAGTGGAGAAATCATGGGTTCCTTTGTCGCCCCAAACAAAGTCCAAGTCGTATCATTTGTAAGGGGTCTTGGTTAATATAGGATTTTGTATGGGGATTAGCTGTCCATAAGTTTTGTCACCTGGGCAGAACCAGTGATTTGTATGTGAGCTACCTGAAGAAGCGCAAAAGCGCGCGTGTTAGCAACGTGCAGATCTTTATCATCGTGTTCTGCAACTCTAGTCCAAACCGCACCTTAAAACGATAAAACTTGACGAAGTTACAGCCACTTTTGGTGGTGTCCATATATTTTTGTCGTGGAGTGTAAGACTGAATGTATTTATAGGTTGGTACAGATTTGGCCTGCATACAAATCCTAAGTTCCCTATAGTTTGTGTCATACAAAATGTATCTGTTGGCTCTGAGGCCACTTGGGTCACTATCCAGGGGAGTGACCGATGTAGCCATCCCGGAATAGTGACAGAGTCACTATTCCATGTAACCCCGTTACATCCTCCCCCACTTAGATTCGATCTTATCGACCAATCAGAGCGAGGTTACGCCTGCGGCTCACATTTCACTCGCAAAATCGAAATCCATCGACAACGGCGCGAGCTCTGGCGCCTCGGCTCCCGGGCCTCATAGAGCAACTGGCGCATCACCGAGCAAGCCGCAGGGTCTCCACGTCGACCGGAAGCATGCCTCCAAAGCGCAGTGCGCGCAGTGCGAAATCACCTTCGAAACCGCGGGCCGTAGGGCCGAAGACCAGGGCGGCCAAGGCCAAGGACGAGTCGTCCGCGCTGATGGAGGCCACGAAGGCGGCCGAGGAGGCGGTGCGCTCCCGTAGCAGCACGCCGGAGGGCGGGTGCCGGTCTCGGAGTCGGAGCAAGACTCCCGAGGCCACGCCAAGTGGTGAGGGGAGCTCTCGGCCCCAGTCGGAGCAGGCCAAGCCGGCCTTCGACTGGTCGGCCAACATCAAGAACTGCACGCTGGTTGTGCAGCTCACCCGAGGGCAGCGACAACGCTGCCAAAGACGAAGCACTGGCGGCGAGCAGCGCGCCCAGCTCTCCGCCCTTCCCGAAGGCTCCGTCCGAGAAGGAGGCCGAGGACATCGAGTCCAGCGCCGGCGTCGGCGACAGCAAGCAGGCGGAAGAAGACGACGTCGTCATGGCCGACACGGAGGACATGGCCGAGAAGTCGTCGAGCGACGCGGGCTCCGAGCCCAAGGCGGTGTCGCCACCCAAGCATCTATCGCTGGCACAAGGTCGTGAGCGTGCCCAAGCGTCGAAGGCATCTGCCGCTGCGAAGACCGAAGAGGCCAGGGCGAAGAAGCGTCCCGTTTCCAGGTCGCCTCGCGGTTCCAGCTCCAAGCTGTTCAGCGACTCGGAATCTAAGGACGAGGAGGGTGCCGTCCATGAGCCCAAGGAGCTCTCCAACGACCTCGACGAGCAGCAGGAGCAGTACCACGCTGCTCGTTCGGGGGCACACGCCAGGCAGTCGGCTGCCGCGACTGCTGTCGAGTCTTCGTCAGGCGGTAGTGCCACGTATCCGCAGGGCTACTTTCCGCCCGAGCCTGGCACTGGTGCGCCGCACCCGGCTCCTCGTGGCCTTATCGGCGGGTACACCTCGAGGGGTTCCTATGAGCGTGCTCTCGTTGAGAAGGAGCCACTCTTTCTTGGCGACATAGAAGCCGCCCGGTGTGTGCTACTAGCACCACACAAGCTCACACTGAAGGAGTTCACCACGCCTCACAAGAAGCCGGAGGACAAGGGTGGACTCCATCCTGTGTGGGGTTACCACTGGGTCAAGCCGAATGAGAACATGACCTGGAACGAGGTGGAAGACCGCTTCTGGCGCTACGTCCAGCGCAAAGGGTATTCCGACCAAGAGTTCAAAGAACTCCGTGAGGATCGCACTCTGTCCGCTATCCTGGACTTGCGCGAGCTCCGCATCGAGTTCGCTCAACTCGTGAGCAAGCGCAAGCTCCACTCGAAGATGGACGAGCTGAAGCAAGAGGCGAGAGCCAAAGCTCGTGAAGAGCGTGGGCGTGGTGCGACTACGTCTGCTACCGTGCCCCGGGTACCGGCCAAGAAGCCAAGGACTACTTACGAAGCTGCCGCTGCTTCTCGTTCCATATCGCAACAGCCTTCTGGCAGTCTGCGTGGAGCTGCTCAACGGGCTCCCACGAGTTATCCGACTCAGGGTAACCCCTCCACTTCACGAGCAGCTGGCGCTTGCCATGGAGCCGCCGCTCCCGGACGACTCGTTCCACGTGGTAGTGGATCTGCCCATTACGATCAAGGAGGGCCGGCGGTGGCCTCGCACGGCCATGGCTACGAGCCTGAGGCGACGCAGCCGTATGCTGGGGCCCCGAGTTAGGTGGTGGCCCTGCAGCAAGAGGAGATTCGTCTTCTCCGGGACCGTGTGTACGTCCTCGAGATCGCGCTTGGCGTCGGCCTTGGTGGCGAGGCTACCACTCGTGCTGGTCAGCCTGGTGCCGTGGAGCGGCTCCGTGAGGATGTTGCCTCGCTCTATCAAGAAACTCGCAGTCTCCATGGCCGTGTGGATCGTCGAGCCGACCTGTCGTCTTACGATTCGCTGCGAAACCAGCTCGCTGGCCTTCGGGCCGAGCTTCTGGCCACGCGCCGTATCCGGAGCAGCAGCAGCCCCACTCGTATCAGGCCCAGTTTGGCCAGGGCTCGTACGGGGCCCCTGCGTATGCTGCTCCGATGTATGCCGCGCCATCTTACGACCAGCGCGGGTATCAGGCGCCTTACCGCGACTCGACGCAGCGCTTCGAGGAGCTGCGCTCTTCTCCACCGGGCCACCCACCGCTTCCTGCGGGGCAACCAGAGCCAGAGGGTCATGGTACCTCTTAAGACGACCCACGTAAAACGTCGGGTGAGTCGTCATCGACTTGGGCAAGTCTATGGTGTACGCCGCGCCATGCCGGCTGAGGACCGTTAAGGGTCCAATGAAGCGGTGCTTCAGCTTGTTGCTCTCGACCGAGCTAACAGTGTTTAGCGGTAGGTTTCTAGTATCTAGGAGAACTAAATCCCAACCTTAAACACGTTCATGTTTCCTCTTCCATTTCGGTCAGAGTACTCCTTCTGTTTATCTTGGGCTTGCGCCATGGTGTCTCGCACCCTACTGATTATGTTCAGCCTGTCTTCGGCAAACGAGGACAGTTGCTTCCGCAAGGTGGCTGGACTCACGTCCGAGACTTGGAAGGAAAAGGTGTTCCGAGCCTCTCCCCCACTTAGGACCGAAGCCCCGGTACTGCCTCGTAATGTGAGCGGCACCTGAGGGTGGCGCAACCCGTTCAGGTAAAAGAGCGTAAAGCCCGTCGATGCATGTACCGCATTGTTGAATGCGAACTCAACCATGGGCAAGCGATCAGCCCAAGAGCAAGGCATCTCCGCGCAGATACTGCGGAGCGTGTCTTCGAGCACGCGATTGACGCGCTCCGTCTGGCCATCCGTCTGCGGGTGGTCCGCCGTCGACATCGACAGTCGTGTGCCGAGAAGGCAAAACAGCGTCTGCCAGAACGTAGCGGTGAACCGCGGGTCTCGATCAGAGACAATGGTCTCGGGCAGACCGTGGTGTCGGAAGACACAGTCCATGAACAGGCGAGCGACCTCGTCGCCAGTGACGGTGTCACGAACTGGAGCAAAGTGGACCATCTTGCTCAGACGGCACACGAAGGCAACAACACCAGTGTTGCCACGGTCATCGGCCGGAAGTCCGAAGACAAAGTCGAGACTCATCGACTTCCAGCAGTCCGCTGGGACCGGCAGGCTCTGCAATGGTGCCGAGGCGTGACCGACAGGCTTCACGCGCTGGCACGTCTCGCACGTACGGACGTATGTGGCGACCCACTTGTACATGTGACGCCACCAAAACATCTGCGAGACAGGCGCGTACGTCTTCTCACGGCCGAGATGGCCACTGGATGGAGCGTCGTGCGCCTCCATCAGGATGTCGTACTTTGAGAACCTCGTCGTTGGGCGCGACAATACGGGGAGGATCCTCGGGCTCTACCATGTAGTGGAGCAAACCGTCAGCCCACTCATAGCGGCGCAGCCTTGCACGTTGTCGGGGCGTGAGCCACTCGGCCTTGGCTTCCGAGCCAGCGGCCAAGAACCGCACAAGAGGTTCGAGACTGGCATCGGATCTGTATGATCGCATCAGGCTCGGTACCCCAGCCTGATGCGATCATACCGATCCGTCGTGACCCGACTAATATGAGCAAGCTCGTAGTCGGGTCGGCGCGACAGCGCGTCGGCAAGCACGTTCAACTTGCCCGGCTTGTACTCGACACGGAAGTTGTATTCCGCGAAGAATGACAGCCAACGCGCCATCCGCTGTGAGAGATGCGGCGTGTTGACGGCAGTCCGCAATGACGCGTGGTCTGTATAAACGACAAAGGGCGTCGAGCCCAGGAGCGTACTTCATGGTTAGTAGCTCCTTGACGTGGACTGGATAGTTCCGTTCGGTTGCCTTGAGCTGCCTGGACTGGAACGAGATGACCCGTTCGCGGCCTTTATCGTCGGCCTGCAATAGCGCACAGCCAATTGCGTAGTCAGACGCATCACAGACTACGCTGAAAGGCTTCGTCTCGTCCGGTAATGCCAGGACTGGCGCGCGCTGTAACCTCGCTTTGATGTCGTTAAAAGCATCTTGATGGCGACGCTCCCAGCGCCAGTCGACATCCTTCTTCAGGAGATCCGACAAGGGCCTTACCAGCTCGGCGTAGCCTGCACTATACTTGTGCAGGTAGTTAGCGAGGCCAAACCACTGTCGTAGGTCCTTCTGCGACCGAGGTGGCGGCCAAGCCGCGATGGTTTTCACCTTCTCCGGGTCCGCCCGGACCCCGGCGCTGCTGACGAAGCAGCCCAGGACCTTGATCTCCTCAGCTGCGAACACACACCTGTCGATGTTGGCGTACAGCTTGTTCGCCCGCATGACTTCGAACACACGTCGAAGGTGCTGGAGATGCACCTCCATGGCCGTCTGGCCTGCCTCGGCACGGCTGTGGACGAAGATTTCGTCAAAGTACGTCTGTGTAAACGCATGCAAAGGTCGGAACAGTTGTGTGACCAAGCGATTGAACGTTGCCGGGGCGTTAGAAAGCCCCTGAGGCATGACCAGCCACTCCCAGAGCATACCGCTCGGCGTGCTCACAGCCGTGAGTGGGATGTCGCTCTAGCGCATCAGGATCTGGTAGTATCCGTCCATCAGGTCTAGCGCGCTATACAGCGTGCAGCCGGCCATGTTGTTGAGCAACACGTCCTTGCGCGGGATCGGTGTCTGCTCAGGCACTGTCGCGCTGTTCAGCTTGTGATAAGCATGAACCAGACGCCACGTTCCGTTCGGTTTGCGAACACAGAAGGTAGGCGTCGAGTGCGGGGACTTCGACTCCCGCACCATGCCTTCCTTCGCCTTGGCGGCAAAGAAGGCATCAATGACTTCACACTGCTCCCGGGGAAGAGGCCATTGCCTCGTGACACAGTACTTCGTGCCCGGCACGAGATCGATCTCGTGCCTGATTCCCCTGTCCGGAGGGAGATTGGACGGTGGATCCTTGGACACCACGTCCTCAAACTCCTTCAACAAGGGGTACACCGGGTCCCGGGGGTTCTTAAGAATCTCAGAGCCCATGCGCGACGCGCGCTGTCTCTGGAACTCCTCCAGGACTGCCTGGGCCATGACCGAGGACGAGTTCAACTCGGCTGACGTGGACTCCGGTCGGAGGAGAACCAACTCTGCGATCTCCCCGGCCTTTAGCTCGGCCAAGAAGTCCTCCATGGCGAGCTCCTCAAGGTTCAGCAACTCTGAAACCTCGGGCAGAGCTGTAAGCTCGACAGCTCCTGTCTTGACCCGACTACCGGTCACGCCGTCGAAGATGTGATAACACTCTTCGGCGGCTGGAGCCTTGGCTGGAGGCTCGGAGTCGCTGGAGACTGGCGTCGTCGGCCACACGACTAGGCCCGGCTTACGACGTGACCCTTGGGTGTCTTCGTCTCGTGGCGCCGCCTTGACGGCACCACCGATCTTCTCGATCTCGTGCGGAACTACGTTACCCGCCTTGTTCTTGAGCGGAACTTGGTTACCCGCCTTGCTGGGTGGAACTATGTTACCCACCTCGCCGTGTGGAACTTGGTTACCCACACCAGGAGCGCTTCCAGCGACTCCCGCATCAGTTATGGTCTGAGTGACCTCCTGTGGAACTATGTTTCCCACATCGGAAGCGCCTGCAGTGCCTTCCTCATCCGTTACGGTCTGAGTGACCTCGCGTGGAACTTGGTTACCCACGCCAACGCCAGCGGCGCCTTCTCCAGCAGCCCTTGCTGCCTGCGGTACTTCGTTACCCGCGTGCGGACCTACGTTACCCACCTGGTAGGTGCTGTCCGGCACCTCCACTCTCAGGCCTTGTCCGGCCCGGTCGGAGTCGTCGTCAGTCTCGACGGACCCCAATAACTCATTAGACGCTGCTGCGCCCTGGCGGCCCTCGCGGGCGCCCCAGCTGCTGCCAGAGGTGGGAACATGACTCACCAAAGCTCTGTCAGAGCGTGGGGGACGGCTGGCCCCGATGGCCTTGCCGCACCAGTCGACCTAAGGCTCGTGTTTCTCCAGCCACGGCATGCCAGGGATCAAGTCGTACTTGTCCATGTCTAGGACCAAGAACGGCTCCGTGCTGTCGAAGTCCTCGAACTTGACAGTGAGGTCCATGTGGACCCGAGGTACTTCTACCACCGTACCGTCGGCCAGTCTTACCGAGACCAGCCCGTTGCCTTTGCTGCCTCGTAGCGCATCGGCGTACTTGTCGCGATTGCGTGCGGCAGTCTGGCGGCGCGCAAAGTTCTTGGACGCCCCAGAGTCGATCAAGATTCTCAAGGGATGATCGTATCCCGGTACACTCGCGTGCACCACAAGCAGCCCACCGTTGCCCTTCTCCGCTTCGAGAGTACAGAGACTCTCAGGGGCTAAGTCCCCATGGCGTGCGCCACCCGCAAGCCCCTCATGAAGCCTTAGTGTTTCCCCAGTAGGGCGCCCCACCCCTACTGGTGTCCGGCGTTCCCCCAGGTTTCTGGGGCGCGGCTTCTGCCAGCGACCCCTAGAGCCAAACGGCTTCGAAGAGAACTTCTTCTTCAGTCCTCCCGCGGGACAAGCACGTTTCATGTGCCCAAGCTTGCCACAGCCGTAGCAGCGAATGTCGCTCAGCTCGGCCATGCCCAGATCCATGGGAACCGGCCCGTTGATCGCTCCATTGCCGGAGTTACCATTAGGCGCACCGCCAGAGGCAGGGTTGCTCTGCCATACCGTGGCGGGGGTGCGAGCCTGCTTGTGGCTGTACTCCTCCTGGAGGGCGATCTGAATCGCCTCCTCCATAGTGTTTGCTTGCACTCGGAAGAGTTGCGTGCGGGCAGGACCGACACGCAGACCGTCCATGAACACGGTCACTTTGATGTGTTCAGGCAGGGGGTTCCCCACCAAAGAGGCAGTGAGCACTCGTATCTCCTGGATGTACTCATGCAGCTCGCGCCTTCCTTGTTTGCAGGCGAGGAAGCGCGAACGCTGGCGGTACTCGTAGTTCGCCGGAAGAAACGCGGCCCGCAGCTGCTCGCACAGCTGGGACCATGATGCGAAGCATCCAGGCGTCGTCGCTTCGCGCGTATACGCCCAACTCTTAGCGCGACCACTAAGGTTGGAGAGCGCAAAGGCGACACGGAGTCGCTCGTCCGAGACAAGAGCCGCGTCCATCGCGAGCTCAACCTCTCAAACCCAGAAGTGAAGGTTTTCTCCTTCCTTCCCTTCGAAGGGGTGAACCTTCAGCCGCAGGGGCTTCGGTTGCACCGGCTTCGGCGCGGTCGCAGTGGCCTGCAGCCCTTGAACGTGGGCGATGAGTCCTCGCTCGTAGGTGTCGAACGCGTTGATACGCTCAACCTGCTCAGCCGGCGTCGCCGCCGCTAAGCTACGCAGGGCATCTGTCCCAAAGATGCCTGCCATCTTACGAACGGACTCGTACTGCGAGTCGTTCAGATGGGGAAACTCCGTACGATCCATCTTGGCTCACTCGATGAGACCACAGAGGATTCAGGTAGTCCAATCTACCCGCGTAGGCGTAGGATTGACTACAAGTGCTACCAAGTGTGACGGGGCACACAGCACTTCTTAACAGAGGAAGCAGGAGTATACAAACTCCAAGTGAACAGCCGTTCACGTGTCCCTGGTCTGAAGGGGACGACTTGACTTGAAAAGCGGTAGATCTAAGACTGAATGTATGTATAGGTTGGTACAGATTTCGCCTGCATACAAATCCTAAGTTCCCTATAGTTTGTGTCATACAAAATGTATCTGTTGGCTCTGAGGCCCTGGTGAAGTTCATGCGCGATCCTCGGCAGTATGAAGAACGGATCTGGGAGCGATGTCTGGCGACAGGCGAAGCACACGAAAACGTGGTCGTCAGCATTAAGAGCTCCATGGAACCAAGACTCCTGGAGCACCTTGCGCACTACGAGTTCCGCTCCACTGTGGAGGCGGTGACGGAAACGCGCTTGCAGGAGGAAATCAAGCGCCGGGCTGGCAGCCTGATGAATGACCACGTCCCAGATGTGGCCAAACTCTTCGACGACAATCTGAAGATGGACATGAAGGTGCAGGACATTGGCGCCCGCATCGCGAAGTATTTCATGGACTTCGACCGCATTGTCGACGTGCATGGACTGGGTACCTGGGTGGGTCGAGGAGCTGTGACTGACGCGGCTGGGCGTCAGCGCGTGAAGACCCGCTGCAAGCTGCTGATGACCAACTTGTTCCCAGCCGTGTTGCGTGTAGACATCGAGCGACTTGTTGCCGTCACGCACCAGCAGGCGAAACATGATGATGTAGCTTTGTATGAGCTGATCGTTTGCAGGGCGAAGAGTCAGCAGCATTATCACTCCATGTAGTCCGAGTTGAAGCGGGGCGCTGCCCCAAAGAGCAAGCCGGCTGGGCAAAACAAGACGGGCGGTACGCGGCAACAGCAGCCGACTGGTGCTGGCGCTCGCAATGATAGTCCGAAGGTGTCGAAGGCGGTTTCGGCACCACCCCGGTCGGGCTGCCTTATCTGCAAGGGCGCCCACTGGGCCAAGGACTGTCCCGATGCGACGGATGCGCAGAAGCAACAGGTCCAGCGTGAACTACTGGCGAAGAAGGCACGCGAAGAGGAGCGCGCCAAGGCTATGGGGAACGTGAGAACGGGCGAAGGGCGGCACGTGTGCATCAATAGTGTCCTCGACGTCCCGTTCTGCCCGATACTGGTGCCGACAGTAACATCATCTCTCGAGCGCTCGTGGAAGAGCTCCGCGATGTTGGTGACGTCGTGCTGCAGCCCATGGCTCCGCCAACTCGTGTGTAGGTGGCAGGTGGTGCTAGGATGCTGTGTCGAGACTCGGCGACGCCAGACTTGCAGATCGAGACCGCAGCTGGACCGCTGCACCTCGCGAGCGTATCCTGTTTGGTCATGGACGGCAATGAGGAGGAATTCTTGCTTGGCCGCAAGACTATGCAGGACATCGGCATTGACATCGACCGATTGTTGGAGCAATTGGCAGGTGGTAACCAGGTTGGCGATGCTGATGAAGACGATGTGTCAAGTGAAACTCCGCAGTTGGCATTTACGGTGGATAAGGAGGAGATCGAGCGGCACCTGACCAGGATGCTCGACGACGCGAAAGATGCAGGGTTTGACCCTGCGCTGTTGGGCAAGCTAAGGACGCTTGTGTTCGAGCTTGCCGACGACGAGTGGCGCATCAACATTGGCGCCGACCCTTCCGCTGATGTCGAGCCATTGAAGGTGCAACTTCGTGCTGACGCTCAGCCCTATCGCAGCGGTACTCGCAAGTATCCCGAGTTGCAGCGCAAGTTCCTTCGCGACTTTGTGCGTGAGCTGGAGCGACATGGGCTGGTACGTCGCAACAACGCGAGTCATTGGGCGTGCCCAGCACTTCCGGTCAAGAAGCCACATAGCAATGAGTATCGCTGCACGACCGACACAGTGCCGTTGGCAGGAGCGACGCCGAATCTGTCGACAGCGACGCAGAGTGTCAAGGGGGCCTACGGCTTTGGTTTGTACGACCTCTTTAAGGGCTTTTGGCAGTTGCCTTTAGACCCGGAGAGCCAGGAGCTGTTTAGTTTCGTGACTGAAGATGGCGTGTTCACGCCGACGAGAGTGCCGCAGGGTGCCAGCGACTCGGCCATGCACTTCCAGCTTCAAATGCAAGATTGCTTTCGTGACATGCTGTACCGCAACCTACTGGTATGGATTGACGACTTGCTTCTGTTTGCGGGGAGCGCCGAGGAGTACATTGGCAAGCTGCGCGAGTTCTTTATCGTGTTGCGCGCCCGGCGCCTCAAGTTGAACGCGAAGAAGTGTGTTCTTTTCGAGAACAAGGTGGTATGGTGCGGAAAGGTGATTGACGGCACTGGTATTCAGCATTCACAGGAGCGATTGCAGGCGCTGACCAGCATGCATTTGCCGCCTACTGCGGCCGCGTTACAGCAGTTCCTATGTGCAGCGAATTGGCTGCGGGAATCCATGGTGGATTATGCGCGTGTGGTAGCCCCGCTTCAGGCGAAGCTTGAACTTGCGATGGCACGCCGTGGTAGGCGTAAGTCTCAGCTCACCGGCGTGGAGATCAACTGGCCGCAGGAGGATAAGGACGCATTCGCGGCCGTTGTGGAGCTACTGACCACTTCAGCGAAACAGTACTTTGCGGATGCTGAGGCAACGGTGTGCATGTTCAGTGACGCATCGCTCACGGGCTGGTCCGTCGTGTTGAGCCAAGTGCATGAGTGGGTTGATGGCCTTCCAGTTGCAGAGCAGGCTCATGAACTGCTTGTCTGTCGAGGAGGCCTCTTCACGGGTTCGCAGACGAACTGGTCCATCGTTGAAAAGGAAGCCTATCCGGTGGTACGCGCTTGTAGCGACCTGGCTTACCTACTCGAGTGGGAGAAGGGAGTCCACATCTTCTGTGACCATGCGAATCTAATCCACATCTTCGCCCCGGACAACACGATCAAACCGCACTTGCGCGGTAAGCTGCAGCGTTGGACACTACAAATGGTGGCTGTACGTTACACTATTGAGTACATCAAGGGCGAGAGCAATGTGTGGGCCGATCTCGCGATGGGGCCAGAGTGGGGCCCATGCATCGGACTCTGAGTTGGCCGTGAAGCGAGCAGCTAGTGGCGATGGTCGTGATGAAGGGGATGAAGACCGCGAGCCAAAGGGCAGTGACAAGTTGGTGGAGTCATCGGCCGGGTTGTTCACGCGAATCGACCTGTCCGATGCATACATGCAGGTGCCAATGACACCAGAGTCGACGAAGTACTGGACGCTGGTGAAGCGCGTGACGACCCCCGGCATGAACACGGTGTCGACACTGCGATCTTTGCAGGATGCGAATTTCACTTGGCCAACTCTCGAGGCCGTAGGCACCCAGCAGCGGCTAGAGCAGGCAAATGCTCCGTATGCTGCTGATGAAGATGGATTCATTTGGGTCGAGGGCAAGCTGTGGATTACTCGACAGTCCCGAGAGTTGCTGCAGCGGCTTTTGATTGTGGCACATTGCGGGCCCCAGGGCCATCGTGGTAGCGATGTCATGATCGCTGCTCTTGCGGAGCGGTTTTCGATCATCAACCTGAAGCCGCTCGTTGCTCGTTTCCTACGGGACTGTCTGCTTTGTAAGCATGTGAAAGGGGGCAAGATCGTCATGCGTCCGTGGGGTCCTACCTCTACTGCTACGAAGCGCAATGAGTGCGTACTTGTATCTCGGTGACTCCTATGGAAAATGCCAGTATGTCTTGGTGCTCAAGGACGAGCTCACGCACTACTGCGAGCTCGTAGCCGCCGACTCGCCGACCAGCGCCACTGCTGTTGAGGCAGTGCTGGATTGGCACAAGCGCTTTGGCCTGCCTGAAATGTGGGTTTCCGACAATGGATCTCATTTTAAGGCAGCGGTAATGGCTGAGCTAGTGCGGCGCTTGGGGGCTACGCACAAGTTTGTCCCGGTCTATACTCCGTGGATCAATGGCACTGTCGAAAGGGTCAATCGTGACATTTTACAGGTGTTACGCGTGCTGCTGCTCGAGCTCAACCTAGATGCCCGCAACTGGGTCTACCTGCTACCAGTGGTTCAAGGGAACCTCAATCACACTCCAGTGGCATCGCTTGGTGGGCATGCCCCCGTTGAACTATTCACGGGCCTGCCGGCACCGTCGCTACTTGACACGGTGGTCGTACCTGTTGGAGACCGCTCTCGCTTGCGGACGGTTGACTTGTCGACTGTAGCACCACAGTTGGACGCGCTGCGTGCGCACATGGGCGAGTTACACCGCGAGGTGGTCCGCCGCAAAGAGCAGCGTCGAGCCTATGAGGTCGGGCGTGGGAACGGCCAAGGTTGTGACTTCGCCGAAGGCGACTACGTACTATGGTCACGCGTGGACACCCGGCTGCGGGGCGCAAAGCTCCAAGTCCGTTGGGTTGGTCCCTTCCGCGTGGTCCGTGCATCTCGCACTCGTTCATGGTATCCCTTCTGATCACGGGTGACGAGTACGAGGTGCACGGCTCACGCCTGAAGCATTACTGCGACGCCGAGTTGGGAACCACGGCCGAGATACGCGCGCACGTGGCCACACAGGGCATTGTGTTGGGTGTGCGCGCCATTGTTGACCATCGCTACGACCCCGCTGGTCAAGAGTGGCAGCTATTGGTGGCCTGGCGTGGTCTCGAGGACGCTGAGAACTCGTGGGAGCCTTTTACGGCTATGCACCACGATGTTCCGACTCTTGTTGCTCAGTACGCGGAGTCAGCGGGGGTTTCCGACCTTGCAGCTTTGCTGTAGCTACCTGATGGTGCAACTTGAACGTCAACCAGGTCAAGTTCACTAGTCGCGACGCGATTAGACAGGACATTTCGGTGTGGCGCACTTTCCAGAACTTTCCAGTTTTCAAGTTTCCAGTTTTCATATTCCAATTTCATTTTTCAAGTTTCAAGTTTTCATCGAGCAGTGTTCGTCTTGGGGGGCTGTGTTGGGCGCGGTCAGAGCGCCATCACCAGACGACACTTAGCAGGATCCGATCCCGGTGCCTATCCAGGCACCGGTGCCGATGCCAATCTCGACGCTGAGCTCCTGGAGCAGAAGCCCAGCGAATGACCAAGCGAGGCGCGTGCATTGGAGACAGCAGAGCAGCACTCGACAGCGGCAGTGGACGAGCGGCACGCAGCAGCACCGAGGACTGGCTGCCAGCAAGCAGCAGCAGCAGCAGCTATTGGAGAAGCAGTAGCCCAGGAGTTGCTGCCCCAAGGAGGTCGCTGGTAGGAACGATGTTTGTCTAACTCTCAATCTCACTTCGCAACTTTCCTTACGAGCTCAACTTACCATACGGAGCGATGTCACGGTCGATCATTATCAAGCACGGACACTGGTCTAAAGCTCCATCCCCCAACTGTGTCCATCGGTGAGCATTCATAACACACTCGGGGTGCGGATTGCAGGCGTTGATCGATGTTCGCACGCTCTCCTCAGCGAAACTAACAGGAGAACTGCAAATATCACCAATAGGACTGCCGCCGGGCGGCTTTGCCTTGGATACACTTGTTGCTTCTACTTGGATGGGTGCTTTAGGAGCTCTACGACTTGGCGGAGACGGAGAAACAGTGTCGCGGGTACCCCCATCCGAGCGAAAAACTCGAACACGGAGGTGATGCGCAGCGACTTGAGGCTCTTGTAGATGACAGCGGTCTGGACGGGGTCGGCGATGACGCTGGCTTGCTGTTCGAACCAGCCGCTGGGGAAAACTTGACGGTTAATCGCGAGTTTGTCCCGAGGAAAAGTGAACGCGTTGAGGCAGTAGACAAGAACGAGCATGGGGCACCCAACAGCCACGACCACGTCGAATCTGAAGAGGTAAAGCGAACGTGTGTTAGTTAGTACTTCGTAGTAGTAGTAGTAGTATACTTCGAAGTAGAAAATTGTATTCAAGTATCAGTCCGTACAGCAGATCAGCGAGAGTTTGTACCAGCCGGGGTCTATCCATGCGAACAAACATAATTAGAGTGCACGCCAGTGCATTAAAGACCACCACAGCCGTGAAGATGACGACGATAACCACTGGGGCTCCAGACTCTAGAATCTGAATGAGGAGGACTGTTTTGAAGACTAGATCGCTCACCTTCAGCAACATCTTCTGTCGTAAACAAATAAATACATCGCACATATCCATATCTTGCACTTGCTCGTACCGCAAGCTGTCGAGACCTGGTGTCGGTCTTTTCGAATAAGTGAAGATTTGTTTCTTACGAACTCCATCGCCCCGTGCCTTGACACGCCCTTAGTCTTTAAGCGTGATGGACCGAGTTTTGTCGACGATAACAACATCTCGCTACTGGAGTTTACAGGGATCTTCGTCGCTAGTTCTGGAGCCACTTGAATCGGGCGGATAATCATTTTCGCGAGCACAACCACGTACCCAAGTGCAACAGCAGACAAACCACAGACTGCCAGCATGAGGACGGATGGGGACGGGACCACAAACAGCCAGAACGATCCATCGTCGAAGGTTTCCGTGCGCATGACGAGGTTTACAGTGTGATTCGGGGCCAGGTTGAGCGTGATGAGCAGAAGAGTCCACAGTAAACAAATCATTACGACGAAAGCGAAGAAAACCTGCATGTAAACCGACATTGTTTGCGCCATGGGGAGAACCGCAGCTGTGAAAACTTTGGCATGGCTTCATCTCCAGATCGTAAGCCTCCACGGATGAACTTTAGCTCGAGACGGGGACTCTGGAACACCTCTAGGCGGCACGTAGTAACATTCAACTTCGTTGGTGTCTTCACAGCTCCTTAGAAGACGCGGCTTCATCGTCGTTAGTGTGCTAACTACGACTGACTCAGTCAGAGACGCACTTCGCTAAGCATAGCGGTGGGCACTTCCAAAATGGCCCAGCTTGGCATTTCTTCGTCGTGACTTCTCGCCGCGTCACCATCCACGTCTGCTAAAGCTTTACGCTCCTCATTAAGCTGGACATCATCTGAATATTCACATTCCTGGTGGGAACGTATCCACTTTGCGTTAAAAGTACCCCCAGGGCACATTAATGCAACCATTGACCGGATTTCAATTCGATGTCGGTTGCTGTACTTGGTATAAGGAGGCCTCGCTCCGTTTGCAATAGCTCGTGCCGTTTGCAGCGTCACGATGGCTGCTTTGTTGTCGCACAGTTGGGTGCCAGAGTAGCAAGCCCTGCGATAAGCGCATGACATTCACAACGCGTTGACGTGATGTCGGCCCAATTAGGTTGTAGGCGTCCTAACCGCCGCGTTGCGCCGGTCCGCAGCCCCCAACCTCCTCTGGCTGCTCGGGTTCCTCCATCGTGTACACTACCGCCCCAGGCCGGGATTGGATGTGGACGCGATGGAAACTCACTGAAACGAACCCATAGCTCCCGCGACGCAGGTGTTATCGCTGCCTCGCAAGTCCTGCAATTCAAGTGGTGCCATTCGTTGCAAATCACACATAGTTGTGATTCTTTACGTCGGTGGCACTCACAGCACGCTCGGTTTATCACTTGGACCCCTCCAGTCTCCATTACGTGTTGGTGGCGGTGTACAGATCGATTAAACGACTCCAGTATGAACCCCCGGTCCATCAGACCAGTCACTCCCCCGACGTACGTATCTGTCCAAATAATCACTCTGTGCTGCGTTATACGTCTTCTACCGCTTGGAAGGCTTACCACTTCAACCGGGATAAAGATATCGGCATACTCTGTGACCTCACCGTCCGGCCGAGGAGTCCAAATTCCACTGTCTGGGTTGCGCTCGTGCCACCACTGCACCCGGATCTCGTCACCATATCCTAGTGGCTTCTCAATTACCCCGTCGCCAATTCGTACCCGCGTAGCAGAAGACCCTCGTCACTCTCTTCAAACTGGTTGACGATAAAAAATGATCTGGGGCGATATCTAGTCTAGGCATGTCGAGATGTCTCGTGTCGATTACAGTGCATCCTGTCGGTGCGATTAGATTTCTGTAATTGGGGTGGCACAGCTCGCTACCAGGTCATCTTCTAACATGGAGAAGTCTCGTAGTTGCTTGCGTGTCCAGTGATGTATCCGGTCCAGCTTTGACCCCAGTACTAGTTGTTTTCCATTGTTGCTCGCGATATCCCCGACATACCTCACTTTGTGTGCGTACTTGATGTTGTATTTCAGCAACCGCCCGCGTAATTCTTCCGATAGTTCTTGCCAAATTGGTCTATCATTCGGTCGTTTGGGCATACATTCATCTGGATTCACCCATTTGACGTCTACCCTTGTGCCAATGGACACGGCCGCCCGCAGCGTCTGGTGGATCCACTGTTGGAGATGACTCGGGGGATTTATTAGGATCTCTAGTAGATGAGATGTGAGTCCAGCTTGTACTTAGTATCTCTCAAAAGCCTCCACCAGTAGGTGATAAGCTGGTAAGTGTTGTGAGTTTAGAACTCTCATTACCAACTCAATTCTAGCGACATTGCTCATGTCCTCAAAACTAGCGAGACCAAGGCCTTGGTTGTGGTCATGGAAGACGGCTTTTGGGGTATTGTGAAGCAGTCTCAGGACCTGTTCAGCGGTTCTTCTTACTAAAATGTCGATGTGCTTGGCAACTTTATGCGAGACGTTTAGCTGCGTTCGGTATTGGACGCGAGGTAGCCAACCGTGGTTCACGATGTACTGGAGCTGACGATGGGACAGCTGCAATCGACTAATCCTCTCCGCTTCCGACTTCAATGTGCTCCAGACAGGTGCAATTGTCGAGCTCCATATATCACCAGTACTTTGGAATATTCCGAGGTGCTTGAATCCTTCTGACGGGCTGACAACAGTCACCGCCATCGGTGTACCAATGCCATTCTGCAGGCACACAGTATTTTCAGCAATACTTTGGGGGTTGCACTGAAGCAGGAACGATTTCGCGGCGCCGAATACTCCTCCAGTGTCATTTATTCCTGTGAACACGTTAGATACGGCCACTCGATGTTGAATTCCAGCACGCGTCGTCGCAACATCGATAACATCATCAACCAAAACTGTTGCAGTGATATTAACAGCCCAGAAGCCGACATGTTCAGGACGGGTGAACCTGATGAATAGTGCCTTGCACCGGTTTTCGACCGACGGTCGTTTGTGGACGATATCTGCTTCGGTGGGCGGACATTCGACGATTGCTTGGGAACGCTTGACCGATTGCTGCAACACTTCACTGAATGCCGCATCAGCGTCAGCTTCCCGAAAAGCATCTTCGCCCAGCCTAAAGTCGACTTCCTGTCACATGGGGTGACCTCGGCTGGAATCCAAGCCGACCAGAAAAAGAAGCTGGCGATAGCCGGGCTGCCGTTCCCGACGACGAAGAAGGGGATGCAAGCATTCTTAGGAGCGCTGAACTACTACGACCGGTTCATCCACAACCGGGCTGTATATGGGGCGGTCCTCTATCAGCTGAAGGACGAAGACTTTGGACCCGGCGGTGATCTGACGGCCGCAAAAGCGGCGTTCGCCGAGCTAAAACAGAAGGTGGTCGACGCACCCATAGTCCGCCACATCAACTCGTCTGAGGACGTCCACGTTATGCTATTCGCCAATGAGTGGGCTCTGAGTAGCACGCCGATGCAGCTCCACGACGGGAAGCTCCATCCAGTGCGTTTCTGCGGCCGAGTTCTCAAGGATAATGAACTCGGCTACCATCCCGCCGAGAAAGAAGTGCTCGCCTTGCTGCAACTCATCAAAGTGTGCCACACGCCGCTCGCCGGGAAGACCATCCGTGTTTACACCCGCTACTCGACTCTCGAATGGGTGTTCTAGTCGAAGTCGCTCTACGGCAGACCTGTCAGCTTTGCAGTGTTGCTATCACCGTTCCATCTCAGGGTTAAGCGGGTCCGTGAACGAGAAACGGACTTTGTCCAGTTGCTCCAAGCGTCCATCACGCCAGCAGAAGGACTGGACCAGCTACTAACGCATGTCGCTCCGCCGTCCAAGAACTCGGCTGTGGTCCGCATGGACCCAGAGTTGCTGTATGAGCATGTGCCCCGAAACTTCAAGGGGCACGTACTGTCATTTGACGGATCGGCGAAGACCGCTAAACACGGCGGGTTTGGGAGTTGCTCTTGGATCCTGTGACGTTTGCCAGACTGGAGCATTGAGATCGCTGCGAGCGCGCACCTCCCATCGCCCACGATGAATATAGCCGAGTACACCGGCATGAACAATGGGGTGACCTCGGCCATTGAGCGCGGGGTGTCGGCTTGCGATCCAGCAATGGGGGTGATCGCGTGTAAGAAGGAGGCATTGCAAGTCGAGTTGGCACGCCACAAGAAATTGGCCAGCAAGCTGAATTCAGTTCGCTACCTCCATGTAGTGCGTCTCTACAACTCGGCGGCTGACTCTTAAGCGTCTGAAGCACTGGAAACCAAAGCAGGAAAGGTCGTGCTACGCGCCGGACGGAAAGTCGAGTTGAAGACCCTAAACAGGATCTCTGAGGTCCTGTACGTGGACACGGACTCGGCTACAGCTGAACGTAATGACTGAACGAGATAGCTGACCTCCTCCCGCTAGACAGCGGGTGACGGGAGACTGGTAGCCGAGCTCGGAGAAGCCCGGGAGCCCAACGCCATGGACATCGATCCGGTAGTGGTCCAAGCTGAGCGCCGTCTACGAATAGCAAGAGCTCAGGACGAGGAACAAAGATAGGCCGACTTGAAGACCTACCTGAGAGGGGATTATGCGCAGCTCACACATCACCGAGCTCACAACGCGGGTAAGGTTGCCGACGAGTTTGAGCTCAGCGAAGACGGGCTACTGTACAAACAAGGCAAGGCCAGACGACCTGGCGAACTCGGCGAACTGGGCTTATCCCTTCGGCCGGTGGTCCCGACGACCATGATAGACGAGATCCTGCAGAACTGCCACCATTCCATCGAGGGAGGCCACCAAGGGATCGTGCGGACATCCCACAGGGCCAGAGCCGACTACTACTGGATTGGGTTGTACGCAGACGTTGTCAAACATGTCCAAGCGTGCGAAGACTGCAGTACCAGTAAGAGCAAACCGCACCTGAAGGGCTATTCACCCGACAACGTGGTGTCTGAGCGACCGTTTCACGTGGTATCGATGTTTTCGTCATTTTTTCGAGATTAGTTGATGCATACACAAAATATTCTTAATTCCTTGCTTAATCTGCCCCCCCCTCCGCACAAGTTTCTTACTTTTAACTAAGGAGGTCTGCCATGCACATCGTCCTACTTGGTGTCGCGAGTCGCTTTGTCGGACCGGTTTGGGGCCGGCCGCCGCTGTATTGGAGTTGTAAGTGCTGCCTGTGCTTATAGGTTTATGGGGCACAAATAGCAAGGAGATCACTAAGCAAAATGCAATAAGTGTTCCTTACGACCTGTGTGGTCCTTTTAAGCAAAATTCACGACTGACCTTCCTTCTACTCCTAACTCTTCCTCTCTACCTCTGCAGATCCTTGCGTTTCAGTGCCTTCGGGTGACTCCGTTCCCGCTCACCCCTCCCAAAGACTTGATCCGTTCACCTTGACGGTCCTCAAAGCCGCCCAACATGCCATCCGTCCCCGAAGTCCCCCCACGACACTGCGAGGCACATCATCCCTCCCAGACACCTCTGGGTAGCGGCCCACGGGTCTCCACCTTCGAGACAACCCGGCCAACGGCCCACTACTTCTCGCCCGCGGCCACAGCAGGTGGGCGACCTCAGTCACTCATCGTCGCCCACGCAGAGTTGGAACGGTCCGAGCCGTTCCGACTCGGGACATCCTCCCCGACTGCGTCTCGGCGTCCTCGCCGAGTGCACGCAGCTTGATTCACTTCGCTCCATACTTGCCAGGCCCTCCGTTCGGTCTGCAATCCACTTCGCGTCCGCACCTGCACTCTCGGCGCATTGCCCCCCGCCGTCCATCCTCCAAAATGCCTCACTTAGACGCTCAGCCTGCTCCTGATCCTCGAGAGCCGCGTACCACGCAGCGTAGCCCTCCGTGGCCATAGTCAGCGGCGAACGCTCGCCCGCCGACGCCTCGTACAACCTCCACAACTTACTGGTTATGCATACCAGCGCAACCCAAACATTCACCACCAGCAACCAGTAGTTAGTCACTATTGCATGATCGCCCTCCTCGGAGGCGAACCAGCACGACTACAGCGAACACGCCGGCCACGCCCTGGTAGATCCACTCGACGACTTCGTAGGTGAACAGCACGGCGTAGAACGCCGAGAACAAGATCAGGGACGTCAGCGTCCATACTACCTTGGCGACAAGCTTGGCACGGGCGACCGAACGGCCAGACTCCAGACTCGCGCCCGTGCAGTACTTGGAGCACGCCTTCGTCCCGACGCCCAAGTCTCAGGCAAGAAGACGCACCACCACTCGTGCAAATCGTCAAGCCACTTGTAGAGCAACCTCCCCAGCCCGTCTTCATGCTCGCCCTTAGACTCCAGCACAACCAACGGGGTGGCCAGCAGGGCCTCGTAACACTTCCATACGCGAGTTCAGAGCGGCTGCATTTGCACGGCAGGCCCACGGACATACCTGCAGTAGCGTATGACGCATAACTTGGCCAGCACGCTCCACTTCAGGGCGAAGTCGACGAACGTAGCGGCGATCCGTGAGCCGATGCTTCACAGGGGGCCCGTAACCGTCCACGACACTGTTCCAGCAGTGAGCCACGCCAGCTCCCAGCGACGCTCCACTGCAACTTGACAAGCTGCCTCAGCAGCGACCACCACTATTACCGCCAGGCCGTTCACCACGTCCGTCGCCCACTCCATCGTTCCAGCAGCACTAATTCATAATGAAGGCCACTTCAATGCCGTCCGGACCGTCCGCGCGCGCCACTAGCGGCAGCCCTTGGCGGTCACCATCGACCTGCAGAGGCGCAGGGCAGCCAAGGCCCCGTTACTGCCAGTTGGTCACCAGCGTCGCTCGCGGGTTCTTCGAAAGTGACCAGCCAGTTGGGCGTCTCTCTCAGACGGTCGCAGCCATCCACAAGGTCAGTCACATTTCGTCAATTCACTTGAAGTCACGTGGTAATCAGAAGTTGCCGTAGCCGCCCCACTGAAAGTTGCCCCATTTCGCAATTTTCGCCGGGCCGCGCACTTCGCAGTCACCAAGCATCTCTCCGCTCTCTCCCAGGCCTCGCCTCGCGTCCGTCATGGTCAAGAAGACCAACTCCGATGTCACCGACTTCGACAACCAGGTGGGCAGCCTGGACATGGCCCTCGAGCTCGACGACGAGGGGGACGTCTTCATCACGCAGCGCGAGTTTTGGGCGCGCCTCCGGACCCGTCTCTCTGTCAACAATGCGTCCCAGGGGCTAGACGTCCTGGACGCCATGGCCATGGTCGTCCTGTCGGGTGGCGACGCACGCCGCCTGAACCAGATCCTCTTGGTCCTGCCGCACGCCGGCCAGATGCAGGCCGGCGAGCCTGCCGAGCACTCCGTCCTGTCGATCCCGCTGCCGCCGTTGGTGCCCACGCCAGAGTCGACGTCACCGCCACCGCGTCCATCGATAGGGACCAGATCGTCGCCACGGACGTCTTCCAAGACGAGACCGCCATCGAAGAAGAAACAGAAGGCCGCGGCCAAGAAGAAGGCCGAGGCCTACGACTTCCGGTTGCCGACGACGGCGCCCGCGCGACTGAAGATCGACCTGGCCGCACTTGCGCAGCGCGCCTTCAGCAAGGGCCTCGCTCCGTTCCGCTTGGCGTACCCCTGGCGCAAACAGCGGTGCTGGTACCCGCCATCCGAGTATCCCGAGTTGCACCTCGTCCACTACCGTGCCAACTTGCGCTTCCGCGAGCTGTTTTTCCTGTGGGCGCTGTACGCGCCTTGTCTGAATGCCGACCAGCGGCGCAAGGAGAAAATGAATGCGTGCCGAGCGGGGAACGAGCTCATTAGCTACAACATCGAGGAGCGAGTGTACTTCGGCTTTCTCGACGACTTCGAGAACGGTGCTCATGACACGCTCATGTGGTTGGAAGGCAGAGCGGCCAAGCACTCTGCCGGCGCGGCTAAGAGCAAGGGCGCGGCGCACGAGGACCTCGGCGTTGTCTTCGCAAAGGAAAAGATTCTCTACGAGCGGGCCATCGAGCGAGCTCTCGACCCCAAGATCGTCAACGAACACGGCTACGCCTCGATTCCGGAGCTCCTCGAGGAGGCGGAGCTCATCGACCCCACGCGAGCGCCACACCTGCGACACTCCGACAAGGCCCTCGCTCGCATCAAGCTCGACGTCATCAGCGGGCCACCCCCCGTGCCTTCTTGGGTGGGCAACCGAACCCGCGGCCCGTGAAAGGGCCTCTTGTCGGACGCGTCGCTCAAAGATACCATCGAGGAGGTGGTCGAGCTCCTGGATTTGGAATGAAGGTGGCCAGAAGCCCTTCAACCCCGACGAGCAGGGCTACGATGACTCGGACTTCGATGACGAGGACGGAGCCTTCACGGCGTTGCCTCCGACGCCCCCCGTGCAGTACCGGTCTCCCGCCGTCAAACAGGGAGCTACCACTCCGTCCAAGCCAGGTGTTCCGGTTTCTCGCTCCAGCAAGTCAGGCGAGTCTGAAGATTCCAGCGACGACAAGAAGAAGCCGGCGGTCAAGGACGACAGCGACAAGGACAACAAGGCCCAACCCAAGACCACCAAGGCCCCCGTCGCGTCCAAAGAGACGCTGCCGGGCGACGAAGCAGACGACGACGGCGAGGTAGCGAGCGAGCCTCCGACCAAGAAGCTCAAGTCGCGTTCCGCAAGCGTCGACAAGGCCAAGTGAGTCATGCGCACACCTCGGATCTCCGTTTATCTTCTTCATTTCGTTGTAGTCGAGTCTAGTGCAGCCGCAGCACTAATTTTGCAGGTAAAACCAAATAAAAACATGAAGTTGACATGCATATCCACCATTCTTGAGCTGCTCGTAAATCCATATCCACAATCACAGGTTCTTCAGCTCAAGAACATCACCAACTACGCCAGCAGCAAAAAGTCATCATCGACTTGGGCGTTAGCATCCGCCAAACGCGCACTTCGACGTAGCTCCGGCAACCCCTTCTTCCTCCTATCCGCTTGCTCAAAAGCGGTCACCAACGACGCATACTCGGGCATCACAGCCTCCCTGGGCAGCCAGAACACCTCATACGAGCTGGCCATCGTCAGGTACTTCACGCCCTGACCGTCCTTCATCTTCGCCACTATTTCCACGATGGGGGCTTCCACGCCCACAATAACAGTGTCCTCATTTCCTAGTGTCAACCGTTCCGCGCAGCTCGACGCAGGGAGGTCGGCCTCTTCCAACGGCCCCTCTTCTTCGTTTTCATCACTAGTGCCCAGACCCTAGGGCACTTCATCCATATATGGCCGGGTCCACTTGCCACGATACCTTTTGAGCCTATTCACGTTCACGGTCACCGTTTTGGCTGGTAGTGCATTTTTTTAACACATCAGTGCTGAAAGCACAATTTGGAATATACTTGCACGCATCGGCGTTGAATGTGGTTGAGTGCTTGTCGTAGTAACTGGTCACTAAGCCACTTGTGTCTTAAATAAATTGCGAGTACAATACGCCGACTACGCATTACTGGAAAAAGAAACTAACGAAACTATACGCAGATGCTGTGACTGGCAACAGCGACCACCGGCCATGCTGATCGTTATGTTCATGAGGCGCACCACAGACGCAGCGGTTTTTCACGATGATGGCATTCTGGACTGGCGGCCTTCGAGAGCCGACACCACCCCTCCGAAACCTCCAGCACCAATAGCACCACGAGAAGCACCCACTCCGTGCCGAACTGGTCGTTGATCACCTCGTACAGGACGCGTTTCACACCACGGGCGCCGAGCCATCGTACTCCTTGTGGTTCCCGCCAAGCATGTAAATGGGCGTGGGGTCCTACGGTGGCTCCGAGTTCACCGCCCTCGAAGTGGGCGTGAACCTTTTCCGTCGTCGTGAAGGCGCCCGTCGACTCGCACACATACGTGGAGCCTGCGTTGTCCCACGGGCGAAGGGCTGCGCGCCGAACACGTGGATTACCTCATTGTTCACCACTCGACTGTCGTACTTGAACGGGTTGTTGGTAGCACCTTGTTCTCAATGGCGCGTTGATACCAATGGCGACTTGCGAAGCGTAATGAGTCGGCATAATCTTTCTGATAAGAAATCGATCTATTTCCTCATACAGTCCGAAAACTTTCTTTGTGTCAGTTCATATCGAGTGATTTTGACTACAATAGATGGTTCCAAACGGGTGAGCGATTAGACTACGGACCTTTCCTTTGGGATTTTTTGCACAGTGATTTGGACTAGGTACGATGATCCGCAGAAAATTTCTGTGAGAGATCTAGACTACGGATCCTTCTATGAAGAAAACGACCACAACCTAAAAGAGCTAGTCTCGTCCTCAGTTTAGCAGTTTCGGTCGTCTCAGCAGCCCCCCCCCCGCGCCCACGATAAAAAAACTCCGCTGCTGTGGCGCCGAACTAGCTGGACTCACACCGCATCGGAACCATCACCACCTATATATCGCCGCGCTACCTACCGAGTCTCGCTTAATCATCTCGCTATCGTTCATGCTATCGTAGGCGCTTAGTGCTGAATGTGTATCAGACTTTAGCATTATTCTACTTAAGTATCTTGGTAGCAGCGCGCCGAACATTCTCCGCGCTGTTGTAGATAGATCAATTATCGCTGCACAAACCACTTGCATAGCAACTAGAAAACCGGACTGCCCGCTACTGGCAAATACCTTCCTCGGAGGAGTCTTCCTTCATCCAAATATTTCAAATCTGGCATCGTCGTACTTAACGTGTACCCTTAATCTCTTATCCTACTCAACTAGTTTGCCACTCCACCGACAAAACCTCTACTTTTCCGTGAATTTCAAGAAACCATGCGATTTCTGAGATTATTAAATGAACTTGCTTGATTTCAGTATACTTTTACTTTATGTGCGCCACATATCAGGTGCTCCTGGTTGGGCTGTCCATACTTCGTAACCGAAGCACTACCAGGAAAAACACACAAAAATTATCGGCTTACCGGCCAGTATTCCGGCTTAACTTGCTGGCCCCTGTGTGGACCAAATGGGAGCGTTCATGCTGGAAGCAATACGTAATCGTTGTGGAATTCTCCGTGCTATCAGAGTTCTTACGGCGAAGCATTTACATTTCAGTGCTAGTATAACTCATTGGTGGCCGAGCTCTTCTCACAGCCTTAGATCGTCTTTAGGATACTGTTGTTGTCCTCATGAACTTGATTGTATCCGGGGTTCCCCCTTTCGCTGACTCACTGTGGTCGCGACCCGCCAGGATGTGCAGTACACGGAGATGGACCACTTCGAATGTTGGTTCAGCACCATAGTATTCGCAGTAAACCACGCAATCAAATTTAAAGTAACACCGTGACGAGCTCGTGCTACACTTTCACAGCCATTGATCAATCAAACCTTATTGCGCTTTTGTAACGGGGTTACACGGAGGTAACCCTTGTGGTTACCCTTTTGGTGTGCGATACACCAAGGGTTACTCCCTGGGCCACTGGCCAGTCATTGAGAATGAACTAGAGTTAGTTATGTCGATAGTAAGTGCAGGTATTTGCACCGTAGGCGGCGGAGCCGCAGATAAGAGAATGAATACAGTTTGTCTTTTGCAAGAAGTCTCTGACTTGTTTTCGTGGGTCCTCGGATAGGACCCTGTTGGACCCTTTGAGTCGTAAAGTCTTCCTCTACGCAAGGAGCTACGGCAGCCCCGCTGCAGCTTTGCCTCACAGGCCACATCAACGCTAAAACAAAGTATGGCCACTCAAGAGGGAGCCTGATAATGACAGCAAGCATAACGGCAAGTCTCCAGTATCCAACCTCGACGAAGTTTAGTCTTCAGATTTCAGATTCCTCAGAGAATAGTAATCTCAAGCTACGAACTACAGTAGTAAGTGTAGCATCTTCAGCCGAGCGTGAGGGTAGATAGATGCTCGCACGACGACGAACCTAAAACCCAAACTGGGGTCCTACTGAATCTCGCCCTTACGAGGAATTGTACTTGTGAACTCCGTAGATGAGCCCACCAGCAACCGTGACGCCGAGCGCAGCCACGAGAAGCTTCTTCATTGTGGACCACTTCTTGGGGTCTTTCTTGGCCACTTCCGCAAACGTCATCGACAGCTTGTCCTTCTGCGCCTGGGTGAGCCTGGAGATCGGCGCAGCCCACTCCCTCAGAATGCCAGCCTTTACCGTCTTCCCAGCTTCCTCCAGCTTGTCAGCCTTGGTCAGTATTGCTTTGTTGCGCAGCGTCTGAAAGAAGTAGGCGGCGTTGTCGTTACGCTTGGCAGCCGACGCGATGAGGTCGTCGGCCTTGGCAAGACCACCTTGCTCAGCTCGAAGGTTGCGTCCCTGGTCAACAAGAGGAGCGCTGTCGGCGCTGCTGAAGCTGACGCAAGCAGCGAAGGTGGCGATGACCAGAACTAGGAAGGTCGTGAACCGCATTGTTGTTGCTCTTGTACTACTGGCCGGCAAAAGAAATTTGAGAATTAAGGACGGTGAGATAATGTTGTGTAGCGTAGATTTGACGAGAGCCGGCCCTCACATACGGTACGAACATGCTCTACCCGGAAAGCCCATCTGATAGGCGATCCCAGTCTTGCTGCGCGTGCCAACGGCCGCGTTATGTATCCCAACTTAGGATACATGTACCGTAATAAGGTAAATAATATCGTCGAGGGCGTATGAATTTGCATACCGCAATAAATGCATCACGCGACTGAAATGATGGTGCGGATGCACTAAGATGCACTTTGTGAGTATGCTGAATGCAATTTGTTTAGAGTAAATCCGAAATGCAGTCTTTCTTCAAATCCCCCTGGCCCAAACCTCATCTCCACGCCAGCTGACGTGCTCTAGCGCGCATGAATAGCCTACATGTACAGGCGTCCCCGGGCTAGTCCCGGCTGTATATTTTAATGTACCTCGCACAGGAAGTACAACAAGCACTCGAGATTTGCGCGCTACTTCTGCAAATATATTGATTTAGATGAGTGTACAGCGAGACCTACTGCGACAAGTGGCACGTTGCGGGAATACCTCCACCGTATTCTTGAGCTAAGCTTGTAGTAAGTCACTACATACTCATTTATGTTCAGACCGCGTGAATCTTGTTGATTCGCAAACATCATAAGTACCACTGTGGCGAATAGGCCGGGGACACCTGTACATATATACTTCGAAGTATATGCAGAATAGGGCGGGGTCAAGGAAGCGCTCCCCCTTATCACATATGGTACATCTGTATGTTACAAATCATAACTTGAATCACAAATGTACATGTCACTGACATACATGGTAAAAGTAGAATACCGGTACTGTACACTACTGTACTGTATTTCCAGGCAAAATGTTTTTTTTGTTTTTCACCAAAGTGGTGAGGAAGGTTTTCCACATCATTATACTAAAAGTAGGTACCGGGACAGAACTCCCCTGCTTACCCTCGCCTGCATAAAGTTTGGTACCTCGCACAGATAGTACAAATCACTGTTGTCAGCATTTCCATGCACATCCGTGCATAAATTCACCATATGCTGACTTAACTGAAAAAGGGAGGGAAAGTGTCCAGTGCGGGAAGCTTACACAATAGCTATCCGCCGCAAGGTTGCAATAAATCAGTATGTTTAGCCTCCTTTGCAATTCTCTTAACCTTGCAAGATTTATTGGTCCCACCTTTTTGGCTAAGGCGGGGAGTTCTGTACTGTACACTACTGTACTGTATTTCCAGGCAATATGGTTGTTGTTGTTTTTTTCCACCAAAGTGGTGAGGAAGGTTTTGCACATCATAATACTGCGACAAAAGGTACGCTTTTCAACCAAAGTAGTTTGTACAGTCTTGGTAAAGCAAAATCGCTTGCCCAACCATATGGGGCCAAACAGACCAGTCCAGATCTTGAGCAGGGTCTATGAGAATCGAAAGTTGCTATTTTTCGACGTAAAAAAACATAGATGGAATGCCCACGTCACCTAGATCACGATAGACCCTCAAAAAGACCCACTCGCCATTTTATTTGACTGCTTTTTGATTGAAAATGGCTTTAGATTCTGGATGATGTGAAACCACTTTGCTTGGGAACGATTTACGACAGAACCACTGTGGTTGAAAATACCTGGCAAAGGTGATATGCCGATTTTGGCTGAAAAAGAAACCATTCAGCTGGGTAAATGGGGTACAGACATGCGCATTGTAGCACTGAGCGAGCCTGTTTTCATTTGGCAGCAATCCTGTATACATGTACCCCTCCCAATGCACCTCGTTGTCTATACCCTGTCATATCTGGTGATCACGGTAACCCATCGGCAGAACCTCCCCCAGTAATCCAGTGTGCGCTACAGTACATACATACACTGCTGTAACACTGTCAAGTCATGTCGCTGACGAGCCTTGTCACGCTGCGCCTAGTTCGCGGGGATTGGTAGCAGAAATAAGTAATAGCAAACATGCTGAAGGTAATTTCCCTGGAACCTTAAAAAAGTTCCAGATTACAGGCTCTAAGCATTTGCTGAAGAGGCCAACACCTTCAAGCCGGCAAGTGCAGCAGGTGGCGCACATCTTGCTGCAAAAAGCCAAACAGCTACATGTACATGTAGCTAGTTTCACGTACGATCAGGACACTTTTTTCTTTCTTGGGTCTTCTCTGCGTGCGCCTTCTTGTCAACTTATTCGGGCCGGAGGCACGACTTTGTTGTAGGAATAAGACGTCTTATTGCTGTTGTGTGCAGTGAATCTGGCTAACATGTTCGTTGAGTAACTCAACTTGAGTTAGACAGTTGTGAACACTTCATCTTGAAGCTCTTTTTAGTTACCGAAAGCTGACTCGTACGCGAACTTCTTCTCCTCTATACACCAACCAATGATATCCTCATACCAGATTATCTCGGGCTACTGCGTGGTGTGAATTCGACGACCAGTACTCATTCGCTTCAGGAACCACTAATTTGAATGCTAGTGACAGAGCAGCAAACATACAAACACGTTTGCAAGCAGAGTTAGTGTCTTCTGAAAACCACTTTACATGTTTGCGGAGTACTATAGTAGTAGCTCGTATGTCGAGGTAACTTCCGATACAGAATTGTAGAGAACGAACTATTACTATGTCATGTACAGGAAAGTTGACGCAAGCCGTGCACTTTGGCAACAGTGTATCAAATAGAACAGCACCTTTATCGAAGCATGAGGGGGTGGACAGCTCCCAACGGATTAATTGGACGCGTAAGCGTAACCTGGCGCAACCTTCGTGCTACACCAGCCAGAAGGATGTCGACCGAACAGGTTCAACGGCAACTACAGACTGAGGCAGGAAATGCACGTTAACAGACCCATGCACCAGCTTCAGAAAGTGAACTGCGGCACGCGCGATATTCATGGGTGTGGCCCCGCAGGGGCCACGCCCTTGAATCACGCGGGCCACAGTTCTCCCTTATCATGGCAATTAGCACCGGTACCATCACCAGCGTTTATACCACTGGTGTTCCCAGCCAAGTCGAAGAAGTACTCGCATAATGCAGCGCCCGCACTAAACACTCGTCTCCAGCTACCGGATGGAGTGTCACCGTGCAACTGCTTTTACTCCGCCACGAGCGAGCCGAACGGGTACTCGCCCGTCGCCAGCGTGAACGTTGCGCACAACGGGTTGGCGGCAGCAGTTTCGTTGTACACGTCGCAGTCCGTCTCGGGCTTGATAGCGATCACGTAGTCGGCGTCCTCCGCCACGAGCTTGAGGCCCTCGCCGATCTGCGGGTAGTACACGCTCCAGTCGGCCGCTGTCAGCTCGAACTCGACCGTCTGCGACGCACCCGCGTCCAGGCTGATCTTGGAGAACTTCTTGAGCTGCTTCACTTCAGGCACCGAGATGGAGCGGTACGGCTGAGTCAGGAAGAGCATGACCGTCTCCTTGCCGGCCACGCTGCCCGAGTTGGTCACGGTCACCGAGACGTTCACCGAGTACGAGCTGGAGGTCACGTTGGTCGTGCTGATGCGCATGTCCGAGTACGTGAAGTTGGTGTAGCTCAGACCGTGGCCGAAGTCCCACTGCGGGACGCAGTAGTCGCCCGAAGCGCACTGGGTGCTCACACGGTGACGGTACGGGATCATGACGTTACCAGTGTACTTAGGGTACGTGATCGGCATGCGGCCGCTGGGGTTCGTCTCACCATAGATGATCTCGGCCACAGCCTGGCCGCCCTGCTCACACGCCAGCATGCCGTTGATCACAGCGTACACGTTCTCGGGCAGGTCATTCAGGATACGCGGGCGGCCCTCGAATAGCACCAAAATGACCTTGGTTCCGGTAGCAGCAAGCGCGTTGACGTACTCGATCTGGCCCAGAGGCAGCGTCAGGTCGTCGATGTCGCCCGTCTTCTCCTCGTAGCTGTGCTCGCCGATGACCGCGATGGTGTAGTCGGCCTTGCTCGCGTACTCCTTGGCAGTCGCGAGGTCCGCTTCCGTGTAGTCACCGTTCACGTTCAACCCGTTGAAGTAGGTGAAGGAGCCGTTGCCAACGACGTTCTCGAGGCCGTCCTTGACGCTCACGCCGTGCGCGAACATGTCGTTGCCCGACATACCAGTGCCCTGCTGAGTCCAGCCACCGCACTGGTAGCCGACGTTGTGAGCGCTATGGCCCGTCAGGAACACCGACGCGTCCTTGGGCAGGGGCAGCGAGCTGTCGTTGTTCTGAAGCAGCACGATGGACTCGCGCGCCGACGCCAGCGCGGCAGCCACGTCGTCGTCGTTGCCCACCATGCTCAAGTACTCCTCACCGGGCAGCGGGTTGTCGTACAGGCCCAGTTTGAGCTTGGTCTTGATGATACGGCGCACCGACTCCTTGATGCGGTCGACGATCTCCGGGTCCTCCTCGAGCAGCGCCAGCGTCTCGTTGAAGAACGACATACTCGACGAGCTTGAGGTCAGCAGCGACGAAGCCGAGGACGACATGTCCGCGGGCACCATGCTCATGTCGATGGACGTGCGCTCCAGAGAAAACTTGACGGCTTCGTTGATGTTACGCGCGGTCTTGTGGAAGTCCGGCACGTGGTTGATCTCGGCGTAGTCCGTCACCATCAGGCCTTCGAACTTGAGGTCGTCACGCAGCAGCTTCTTCAGGTACTTGTTGCTCTCCACCATCGGCACGCCGTTCACGGAGATGTAGTTCTCCATGCCCGTCAGCAGACCAGCGTCCACAGCAGCCTTGTACGGAGGGAAGTACGAGTTCATCATGTCGAAATCGCTCATAGTGACGCCGTCCTTGTCGTGGCCTGTAAACAACATCGTAGAATACTGTTAGTCAGCATAATTCAGCAATGCCAAATGCACGTCCAATACGGAAAACCAACCTGTGGGGGTCCAGCCGTAGCCGATCCAGTGCTTCATGCAGGCCGCGGACTCGTTGTAGCTCTGCATGCCTCGGACGATAGCAGCGCCCATGACCGACGTCAGGTACGGGTCCTCGCCGAACGTCTCGTACACGCGCGGCCACAGCGGGTTGTGCATGTTGTCGAGCACGGGGTCGAAGATCCACGAGATACCGGACGCGAGGGTGTCTCTGGCCGTGATTCTTCCTTGCTCGTAGACCAGGTCCGGGTTGAACGTGGCGGCGGCGTTGATCTGCTGACCGAAGTAGACCGTGTCGATCATCAGCGCGTTGCCGTGGGCAGCGTCCGTGCCGTAGATCATCGGGTGGCCACCGTTCAGCTCCATGGCGATCTCCTGGATGCGGCCCACGAAGTCGCGCATCTCGGCGGTCGTCCAGCCCCAGCGGCCGTCGATCTCGCCGTACGCCGACATGGGCGGGCTCAGGTACGAGCCGACGTGGTACTTGGCGTAGCCGCGGAGCTTGTCCTCGTCCAGCTGGTACGTCGAGTTGACCAGGCCGTACGCGGGGATCTGCGTCATCTGGCCGGCGAGGTCCGTGTTGGTGAAGGTAGCCATGATCTCGTCCACGCGGGCGTCCCATTCGTCGGCGCTGGCCACGCCGCTGTTCAAGACGGCGAAGCTCAAGGCCGTGTAGCACACAGCGGACATCCACGACTTGAGCATCTTGGAGCTTGGTCGGTTGGATGGGGTCGTAATTGGGTGCTTGGATGAAGGCGAATTGATAAGTGAGCTGAGAGGGCTAGCTAGCACTTGCCTCTGGGCCCCCAAGCAGACGTGCGACCCAAGCGGACCTGGGGCGTGCGTGGGCCGCTGAGCCGCGCGTCTTTACCTTTGGTTTTAGTCCATGATCGGCAGGATCAGAGAGTTTCAACTGCAACCACAGCGCGATTTGTGCCGGGAAGGAAGCAGGACATTATGTGACAGGGAGGCCGTTACATGTAATTGATTCAAGCCCGTGGCCGTCGTCTGGACCTGGACGTCAAGTGGAGTGGTTGCCATGGCGTGGGCAGGTCGTCAAGGAGAGACGACGGAATGCAGCGGGATTAGGAATGAATGAACGGGTCTCTTGAAGTGGACCACGTAAAAGTTACTTCAGAAGTGTTATTTCGAGACTCGAACTGAAGTTGAAGTCCTCAAACGCGCTCTTTTTATTTTTCGAACCGCATAGACCTAACGGCAAGGGCCGCTCACGCCAGGAAGATTGCCCTCGCAAATCGCTGCCTTGATTCAAGAGGCCTTGAACCTTGAACACCCGCCGCCCTCCTGTCACGACGTGAGTCAGGACTCCCCTCGGCTGTTGTGAGAGAGACGAGAGAGTCTTGGTCTCAGCCTCGTGAACGTGCTGACAGACATCAACTGCGTGAACTTGCTACGGCGGCTGCAGACTCCTAGCACAACCTCCCGCGACGGTGTTAACTTCGTTCGGTTCACCCAGATTAGCTTGGATGAGTTCCGCAAACGCGTATTGTAGCTGATACGCGAACGTAGCTGTGCTGCTAGCGAAGGCTACGCCGCAGTCCCGAGAAAAGCTATCTAGCCTCACTACCAGCGGCAGTACGGAGCATTTGTTAGCACTTAAGCAATGTTAGGCGAAACACTGGGCAAAATGGTTCGGTTGTCGGAAGGCGCGCGTAAAAATATGTGGATTTTCTGAGCAGCCATAACTCTTGTCGTGATCGCAAGCGCAACAGAAAGCCAAAGGGCCTAGCTTTCCGATGGTGTGCGCACGGCTTCATAACTCCCAATTTTCGTAACACAACAACAAAATTTGTGGATTTGGGTGGCAAATTGGTGCCCTGTACCCTTATAGGACTGTTTCCCAATACCAAACCGGTCATTGCCACTTCTGGTGCTTCGCGGTCGTTTAAATTGACGATTGTACTGTAAAGTCAATGGCTCCACGACCATTGGTGTCCCGATGCTTCGTCGGCGACCAGAAGCGCTGGCCACCAGATTGATCTACATGAAAAGGACAAGCGTGAAGCTAGCTTGTACAGAAATTTATGATACGTGAAGCCGCGCTCGAAAGCTGAGGCTATCCTGGGCCTCATCATCGCGAGGGCTCGAGAAGGAGGCTTGCTCATTCTGGCGGACCGAGGCGTACGATCGCGGTTATGGAACATAAGCCTATCGAGAGGAAAAAATTCTCCAATGAAAATATTTTTGCTGCTCTGAGTTATCAGTACTTCGTTATGGGATTTTGCCGTATTGGTGTAATATAGTTATCCGGGCTATAAGCCTTACTGTATTGGTGCCTCCGGTAAATTATCCTTCTCTTTGTCAGTTTTGGCCAGCGTCGTTTCTGTAGTCGATACCGTGATCTGACCGACCATTTAACCGGCCAAGCTTCCGATCACCGATCGATAGAGAAAGATACAGGATTGCTTGCTGTTGATCCAAAGGCATCCTATCCTACACGCGCCTTTGACGGCCTGGCCGAAGCAAAACATTCATTCTAAAGAGACCCCAACAACCGCAATCGTCGTGTTGATGTGCGCATGCCGTCGTACAGCACACTGCATATACATGTAATGGACGCCTACCAGATATACATTAACGGGCTGTCATACCTGCAGCCGATACGACAGGGTTTACAAAGATATATGTTGACATAGCGCTCAAAGTCTCCACCGCAATTGTTGTACATGCGTCACTTGTGTCCGCTTGATATCGCCCTGAATCAGGCGGTATGATAGACGCTTGCTGGGGGTTAAGAATGTACCCGTCATTTCGTTCCGGACACCGCCGACGCCACATCCCTTCTAAATTTCACCAGTTTCAAATTTGGCGCGCGTCGGACACAAGCGCCGGAGCGATGTCCGCAGAGGACGTCGATGCGATGCTGGAGCTGGCTAGCGCCTTCGTCGAGCAGGAGGAGACGCTGCACGAGGTGCGCAGGGAGGTGTACGACAAGCTCGTGGAAGAGGCGTGGAGGATCGCCATGCGGACCAGGCACTACCTGACCACCCAGTGCCTAGACAAGCCCTGCGACTCCGTGTGGATGATGTTGTACACGCGCGGAAGCGACATCAACCTCAACGCGACGAGCTTGACCAGGTGCGACCCTACTTACTATCTGAAGTTGCTGCGCTATATCTAATTCATGCATACTTTCAGGTCGGATTTCCACCAACTACTGCGGCGCTTCAGCCGCTTTTACTACATCCCACGCAGCACGGCACGAGGGCGGCCCTCGAAGCTCCGACACTACCACCAGATCCTGGGCCTGGTGCTGTGCTTCTACGTCGGGTCGATGGAGCAGAGCTCCCTGTGTATGATGTTTGGGGCTCCGCCGAGCACCATATCGAGGACGCTACGCCGCGCCGAGGAAGCGCTATCGCTGTCGCTAAAAGGCTACGCTCCTGCCAGAATCTCTTGGCCCTCGCCTGCTCGCCAAGCCGAACTCGCAAAGCTTGTGGATGCCCGCGAGCCGCTTCTCAAACACACATTCGGCTTCATTGATGGGAAGAACTTCAGGGTGAGTTGTAGTTTGCGAAATATTACTTGCTACGAGAAAATGCTAACATCGATGATATTGTAGGTTCAGCAGCCGTCGAATGCGGACTTGCAGAACGCCATGTATAACGGGTGGTTGCACACCGTTTTCGTGACTGGCACAATCTGCTTCGCAGCCGACAGCTGTATCATTTGGTGTAAGCACAATTGCCCCGGGTCGTGGAACGACTCCGACACCTCCTTGGGCTTCCGTTCCAAGTTGCTCGACCCTACCCTCTGCCCGGACACACGTATGAACGTGGTGTCGGACTCGGCCTTCCTGTGTTCGACCAGCATGGACGGTCGCATCCTGACTTCTCTCAAAGATGGCGATCTCGAGAGGATTCTCCCGTCGCTGAGAAGCTCCGCGCGGACGCTTCATAATGCCATCACGTCCGTGAGGCCGGCGGCGGAGGGGGGCATGGGGAGCATGCAAAAGGTGTACAGCCGCCTGAACCTCCCCCTGCCGTACGACCCCGAGCTTCGTGAGCACCGAATCAACAACATCTTCAGAATGGCTAACTATCGCGTCCGCACGGTCGGCATCTCGCAGATACGCACGACGTTTTCAGGCGGGATGGAGCGTATTGTGAACATATGAATTGCATTGAGATAACCTATGGCTGTGCGGTTGTTGATGGTGGTTGCCGTGAGTGCAAAGTAGCTGCAGGCTCGCAACAGGCTGGGAAGCATGAAAAACTGGCGCCAAGTTTCGCGCCAAACGACGGGTTGATGGGCTCATCTTCGTTCGAAGTTTTCACGTACACTGACTTGCTATTTGCGCGCGCAGATTTCGCGCGCGCAGCGTTGAAGTTGTGAGCTACTATCATCCTTTCAAGATCGATGCGAACTGGTGGCGGCGAAGGCATCGCCCTGGCAAGCTACCGCCGCCTCGCCCCCGCCCACCACTCCCGGTGCGCCGCGCCAACGCGGTCCAACGTGGCAATGAGAAGCGTGGCTGACTTTTTATTGATTCGTATGTGTGTAGATGCCCAAGCACTCTGGAACCACCGACTACTCGACGGCCGATGTCGACCGCCTCCTCACGCTCGTCGAGAAGATGCTGCCGCTCGGCAGGGACGAGTGAGAACGCCTCGCTATGACGTACAACGCCAACAGGCCTCGAGGCTTCGAGAGCTTACGGCGTAAGTTCAAGGTGCTTCACAGCACCCGGAAGCCGACCGACGTGCAGGAGATCCCCCCGCTCATCAAGAAAGCCAAGGAGGTCAGGCGTGCCATCGACGACAAGGCCAACGTCGTGGAGATGGACGACGAGGCCGACAACGACCAGCCCGACTTCTGCTTTGAAGTCGACCCGGACGACAGCTTCTACGAGGACGGCGACGGCGAGGGCGAAGGTTTGGGAGTGCCCACTGCCGCCACTGTGGGTGTGGTGAGTCGCCGGGCTCCGACGAGCCGGCCGAGGACGAGTCGACGGCTTCCAGCCGCTCATCGAGCCGAGGCGCGTTCCAAGACTTGCTCTCGTCGCCGCCGACCACCGATGATCTGGACGAGCTTGCACGCACGCCGCGTCCTGCTCCTGTCCGAGCAGCGCCAAGTACACATCGTGCTGACTCGGGAGGACTACCACCACCACGTAAGACGGCTGTTACTGCCCCCAGTAGTGATGCTTCACAGCAGCCATCGACTCAAGGTGCCGCCGCTGCCACCAACCGCGATGCCGCCGAAGCGGCCAAGTACCCCAAGCTCCACAAGACGTCGAACCGTCTCGGAGGTGTGGACTTGGCCGGCTTTCGCGACATGGTGGGCGCCAAAGCGCTCATGAAGAAGACAAAGACACGGCGAAAGCTAGCTACGCCAAAGCTAAGCGCATCCGTAGGCATCCTCGATACGTTTCTGCTGCTCCGCGAAGAGAGCGAGCGGAAGGCTGACGCCCGTCGCGCCGAGGAAGATCAGCGCCGTCGCGACGAAAAGGCGGTTAACGAGGCCCGCCTTCTGGAAGCCAAGGCTGAAGCTGAGGCGCGCCGCCGTGAGAAAAAGCTGGAGAGAGATGGCCGTGCGCGCAGTGAGTGCGAAGATGCGCGCGCCCGCACTCAAGAGATGCTCATATTGATCGGCGCACTGACTCAGAAGGCATGAGTGGAAGGCGCGCATGCTCTTCGAAGCGAGGCTATCATTCACGTTCTAGTTAATATATACTTGTCACTTACCACTAAGCTTCAAATCAAACATGTTGTTCATGATCTGCTAGCGTGTCCGTCATGAGTTATGTGATCTTATAGCGCCTTCATCATCACATGTACTTCTCGTGCTGCGTACACATCTTTGTGAAGTCAAGTGCAAGACGCACGAGTCTCGAGTTCGGCTTTCCGTCGCAAAACGTTTGCAGCAGGCTGCTGCCAGCAACATCGAGATAATGAAGCAGCTCAATTCAACGACAAAGAAAAATGTATTGTTGTATGCAGTACAAACACGGCTAGTTCGACACCCTACTCGCTGGATAGCTTACCTACACAACTACACCTCCTTTACTTCGCTTCCTCCTCCTTATCGCTGGTCTCTCTCTTCGCCTTGCTTACTCTCTCGTCCAGCTCACTCTTTGGCCCTCTCACGGGTCTTAAGCGTCTTGAATGTTGCGGTGGCGACAGACGTCCAGCCCACAGCGGCAAACAAACCACATGTCGTCGCCATAGTCGACTGTCACCTCCTCGCCGCGGTGGATGTCTTGCATCGACGCCACGACCACGGTGGTACGGCGGCCGTTGGCCACTTCCACGAACTTCGCCACCTGTTGGCACGAGTGCTTTACGAAGCGCATCAGCCCCCCCATGTTCTCGGCGCTGATCGCCATGCAGACTGGCAACATCGGTCGCTCTGGCCGCTGCCTCATCACCAAGCGGTAGCCACTATTGCGCGGTCGGGTCGTGCGCGAAACACTCAAATGCTCCATCTCGCCGAGGTATTGCCCCAGCACTTCGCCCGCTTCGATGTCCTCGCCAGCGACCACGCCCAACGACCTCGTGCGCACGTTCCTCCCTATATACACCTTGCTCGACTCGGCCAGCGCGTTGCCACAGAGCCCCCCCCCCCCGTACGGGCAGCAGTTGATATTGCAGTAGAGATGCATTAGCGAATTGCGGCAGGAGTCCACACGGCACGGCGATGGGCAGTCGCACCACCCAAAGTGAGGCACCGACGGAAATACCATCGCGAGCGGGTTGAACCGTTCGCGAAGGTGAATCACGCGGTGCGGCCACTGCGCTGGAATGAACCGATCCCGTGACCGCGGCCCCCGTAGTTGCGTCCGAGGCGATTCGTCCGCAGTGACTCGCATCGCCCCGCGTGGGTTGATGACGGGTCGGGCATCGCGCTGAGGCGCCGACTGCCAGCGAGCGTAAGGCGCGGCAGCTTCACGACACGCACGACGGCCCTCGTGGCGAGGCTGAAACGCCGCTGGGGATCTCGGCGACGTCTCCAGGAGCACCGGCGACGACGTGGTGGGGTTGACGTACGGGCGGCTGGACACCGGCGGCGACACGGGCGCAGACGTCGACTCCTGGCTTGGCGGCGGGTTCGTTGCCAACTTGGACTTCTCTCTGGCGGCAGCCACGGAGGCGTTGCCGTGCCCGTAGCGCTGGCGGACTCGCTGGCGTCTTCGATGCGGCGCTTGCTGCCGCGGTCGTACTGGTGGCTGGGCTGGATGTTCGGCGGCGTGTTCTCTTCGTCCTCGCTGGACGTGGCATTGATGCACCGACGCCGCCAGTGAACGGCGGAGTGGGTTAAGCGCACCATTGTCCCTGCAATCAAACACGAGGTGAGCCCTCTCATAAAGAAGTGCATACAAAGCCATCAACCACGCTCACCTTTTGAAGTGTTGGCTGCTGTCGACTTCGTGCCGCCGGCGGCAAATTCGCAACTGAGCGTCTTTTCGATATATATGATCATCGATATGCCCGTAGAGTGAAGGATACATATGCTAGAATGACGGTCAGCATACAGAATACTAACAACAAGACAAAACTTTATGATGGCTACACGGCATATATCTAGGGGTAGGGCAGTGTATAAGGGTCAGGATTGGCAAATGGTACAAATAATATCGCCACTTGAGAGCCCCCGAAATGATTAAACCATTTCCAAAATATCACCCCGGTCAGATATGAAATGACCGGTCATTTTTTGAATAGCTTGTCCGTGCAAGGCTGCAGCTTGCTGCGCGTGCCTTGTGGCTCGGGCAGCAAGCTGCAGCCGATGGGCGCCTCTGCGACAGCAGCGCTGCGTAGAGGACGCACGTAGGAACGCAAGAGCGTTAGCTGCCCGTTATCTGTCTGCCACGCATGGCCCAGAGGGCGCGGCAGACCGCGGGGCCAGGAAGGTGGCATGGCCCGTTGTGGCGCTGTGGCAGCAGGCCATGGCGCCATGCAGCACCACGTAACACGCGCGTGAGCTTGGGCTAGCTCCAGGCCGCGATGACCGCGGTGCAGGAGCGTCCAGAAGAGCGCCGCCGCCGGCTCGCTCCGCGCGGCCGGGTTTATACGATATGTTGGGGCCGACAGGCCCCGACATATCCGACACCGAACTCCGAACTCCGATACTCCGCCGCATATTAGTTTATAAGTTCAGTTTAGAATTGAGCAGAAACGATGGAGGATGTTGGCGACGGAGAGCCGCGGCAAGCAGAGCTACGCCTGGAGCAGCGTGAGGTCAAGCGACTCATCCATGAGGCTCTGAGCAAAAAGAGCTTCCCTCCTGTAGTTCAGCACCCCGAAGCCATCCGAGGCGACGTGTTGCTCTCTTCCCTGTTTCAATGGCCTGTAGTCGTCTGGGTTCCTGAGTACCCAAAAGCCGTACTGCATCATGCCAGGCTGCTCATGCACACCTAGGGTGAAGGAGTACAAGCAAAGAACAGTTGAGGACGTCGATAGCAAGAGCCACCCCCTGTATATCAAGTATCAGTGTGCCGGCGACCACAAGAGCTGTTTTTCTACGGTGACAGCAAGCTACATCCAGCGCGAAGCCCGCCTACTCATGCATTTCCCCTATGTGATAACAAGTTTGGAATTTCGAAGCGACTAATGGAACTGGTGCACGAGGGGATGACGTCGCCTCATGGATTATCGCGCACGGTGGAGAATATACAACGGCGACGTGAAAAGCGGTACTATAAACTCCTATGCCTCTTTGCTGACCGTGTTGTGCAGCTGCGGCTGGTCAATCCCACGTATTTGGCGCCGACTCCGCCGACGGTCGCTCAGTACTGCTCGCAGCAAACGCCTGTCGGTGCTGAGACCTTATCCGCAGCGTGGATGCAGTCTACCAATATCTACAGCGCTCTTTGCGAGCAGATTATGAGCAGCCTCGACGTGAAACGGGTGCTTCGGATCGACCACTCAGTCAAATTCTGTAAGAGACTCAAGGTATGGCCCGGTGCGACTGGCAAGAGAGAGAGTATGACGGACGCAAAAATGTTGCTGCTGCTCCAGAATGAGATTGGCCAAATTGTTGGCCGGCGTTTGACTCGCTCAGACAATCACGATGAGACGCGTCAATTGCTAGAGCATGTCAAGGGCGCGGTGAATACCGAGGACGAGTGATTTCTCATTAGCGACAACGCGAATGCTATTCGGAGCTTGGCTGCATCGGTGTTTGGTTCGTCGGCAAAAGTTCGTCAAGATCCTTTTCATGTTGTTCAGCGTTTCACAGAGAAAGTGAAAGGCAAGGCAGAAAAAAGGTTTTGTCGAAGAAATTACATGAGGCAATGTACAGTGTTGATGGGGAGCTGCGCCCGCCAGAAGAGATGGAGGCGAGGTTTGTTACAGCACTTCAAGACGTAGCCCTTACTGATATCAGCTGCAGCGAGCAAGAATGGCAAGGCAGCGTGGACAGCAACTTGAAGCAGGTCAAGCGCGGTGATTTGTACGTGGAGAACAACGTGTTCAGTGAGGGAGGCGGCAAGGACGTTCGTATCGTGTCAACCAGCCAGCTTGAAGGCATACACTCCGCGCTGAAAAAACTTCTTCTGCTCGATCTGTGTCTGCTGAGGTCGGACTATGTATCTTGGATTTGTACATTTTGCAGCATAATCTCAAAGTTGGATCGAGCTATGGCCGGAACCCGCCTCTGCAGCACGCCGACATCTTGACGTTAGCCCAGACAGCAATGCTATGCCGTGGAGTCGTTGCAGACTCACCGCAGCTTGAGTATGTCAGCAGGCTCGTGTCGAAACCCTTGCAGCAGCCCGCGTATCGCTCAGCAACAGCCCTTGACTTTGGATTCGATCAGTGGCAGCAAATGTTTGAGGGTACAAATATTGACGCTCAAGCTCTGGAAAGCAGCCTTCAACGATCCCACCAGCACAGCACCACGATCCGAGAGCTCTTGGCAAAGCAAATCACCTTCACCGAGAGCGGCAAGTTGCCTCGCGTCGCTTTTTTCAACTCGTTGTGCCTCAATGAGCTCGATTATGAAGCTGCTGCTGGGTTCTCTAGTGAGGAGCACGCGCTTCCGAGGCAGGTGTTGGTGGAACAAAAGGCCGCGGGGCAGAGCTGGTCAGGTTGCGCCATGGTGACAACCATCATGTACAATATTGTGGTGTCTTCGAACTCCAATCACAAGTTACGGCTGAAGCGACGCAGCTTTATCACTTTGTCCGCAAAGATCGATGGGTTCACAGCGAAATCGCGGCCGGAACCTTCAACAATCCGCGATCGGAAACTATTCCGCTTCGTGCGATCTGCTCCGTGTGACGCCAATACTGCACGGGAGAAGGAGCTGCAGGCACAACTGTTCACCGCGCTTCGAAAATTGTCCGATATCCGCAAAAAGAGACAAGTCTTCGTGATGGTGTACGACTTTGCGTGCTGTGTATGCGCTGGCATTCACCCAAAATCACAGCCATTCCTGCTATCGCGATGGGATAATCTGAAGCAGCAGGAGAATTACGGTGCCAACTTGAAAATCAAGCTGAAGCTGACCCCTGAAATCCTGGCCAGCATTCGCTCCACCACTTCTCACCGAGATAAATCCCAGCCTGTACTCGCTGAACAACCTTCCGGTGCTGCTCAACAGGCTCCACAGGGGACCGCCGAAGAGCTTCTTCAATCTTCAGACTCTACATCTCTGCCAGCACCACCAACTTTTGCCACAGCGGACGGGACTCCGGACGTCTCGCTATCGTACAGAGATTCAGCTGGAAACACCTTGCCCAAATGCAGCGACACTGCGAGGATCCCGCAGCACGACGGCGAGGAGTCAGCCGCCCAAGCTACAACAGCACCACCCCTGCAGCACGCAACGATAACACCAGACCACATCAAAATGCTGCGTGAACTTGCAAATTCAATTCCGAACTCAAATGGGAAGTGGGAATACATCCACACAGTCTATACGAAGTACTATCCTCACCTGCCGCTGTCGAGCAATGCGCTGCGCTGCCGCTTGAAGGATAAGAACCCCCCACCCAAGTTATCGACGAACAGCAACGCACCACTCATTTCGTCGCGCAAGCGCAGAGAGACCTCGTGCAGCAGCTGCCGTCAGCGAAAGAAGTGCGGAGACCTCACTCGAAATCCCTACTGCACACAACCAAAGAGCAACCAGGACAGTCAAGCAGAATCGATTAGATTAGATCATTACTTCACACAGGTTTAATCCATCAAAACACTACCTTTTGTTCTTCTTGTGAGCTGCACCAATCTGGCTAGCATTTCAGCCACAGCGTGATGTGCTTCCCAATTAGCAATCTCGAACGCAGCGCAGTCCTCGCAGAACGCTGAGCGTTCAATTGCCGTACGTCTTCCGCTTGCGTTGCTCGCCATCGAGCGCTACGCCAGCGCCAAGCCCTTCGTGGACGAGCTGTTAGGTCTCCGGTTCTTCTCGAACATCGTGGCCGTCGTGGTCGTGGACACGAACTTGATGTAGCTGATCAGCAGGAATTGCCTCACGCTCTGGCCGCTGCTGTAGAACGTCGGCATGTTGGTACTCAGCGCTCCGTAGTCCGTGTACGCCGGCGAGTCCAGTCCCGTGTACATAATGGTGCCCGTGGCCGCCTCGGACGAGCTGCTGTAGTTGCCCCCGGTACCGAAGATCGAGTCCAGGTTGGCGATGAACACGAGCGAGGGCGACAGCAGCAGCTCAAACACGGAGGACACGGGCTTGCGGCATCTGATGACGAGGATCTTCCTGATCAGGTTGGACACTTGTCACTGGGCAGCGACCATCGCAACGTTTACTTGCTGCTGCTCGTCAGCACTCAAACCGAAGACGGCGGGCCACTTTCGCCCCCGCAGTCAGACACGTCACCTGCGCCGCCCGCCGAGCCCAGCCCGTCGTCAGTTTGATCAGGCCCGACGAAGCGGCCGTGCTGTTTGCGCCCACGCCGCCATCCGGAGTGTGCATCAGCACATTGCCGCTCGTGAAGCTATTGCTCGCGCCGCTGGACACGCCCACGTCGCCGCCCACGCCGCCGCCCTTAGCCGTATCGCCACTGCCCACGGACAGCTTGATGTTGCCTACTCGGCCGCCGCACCCGTCGATAGACGCACAGACCCGCTCGACGAGGACGATGATGCACCGCTAGCCAGAGACAGAGACCCACTCATGCCGGACGCAGCGCTCCACAGTGACGTCGCCGCGATAGAACGCCGGGCTCTCGGCAGTCGTATCCGTAGGATAGACAGCTGTAGCGTGGCCTCGAGGTGGCCGTCCGCACCCTCTTCGACTTCGTGCTGGGTGAGCGCGTTTCTTCTTTAGGGCGTGCTTGCTCTACTCAGACGGAATACCGGGGGAATCATTCGGGTCCAAAAAAGGTGAGAAGTGGTCAAATCCGGTCGGATATGGTCCCGATAGATTCCCCGGAATAACGTATGACCCCCCCCCCCCCCCCGTGCTCGGCATTTGTGTATATCGACGTGTTTACATTTAGCAAGATAAACAGAGTGAAGGTCACCAGAAGTCGAAAAATGGTCGGCCATTTCGGGAAATGTTTGACCATTTCAGAAATGGTTCGGCCAAACAGGTGAACCATTTCGCGAAATGGATATGTGGGCTGGCCATATTTTTTATGGTGACCATTTCGGCCGAAAAATGTCGGCGATAAAGCTAATTCTGACCCCCCTATTGAGACGATATCTGCGTCCCGCGAGATCTATGCGCGTATATGACGCGGCATATCTGCTGCAGGTATGACAGCTCGTTAATGAATATCTGGTAGGCGTCCAACGTGTTGACCATCCTTCTTAATTAAGGTCAAGACGCATAAAATCCTCGCAACGTTACATGACCCACTCTGATACGAAAACGGTGCCCCAGCGGCGTGCGCACAGGTTAACCGTGGCGCCACAAACTCAGGGGCTTGCCGGTTGGGGCGTCGAAGGTGAACTTAGCTTGCCGATCGCATCTCCTTCATGAAGAGTACGCCATTCGCAATGCTCTTGTCGATACCGACGCAGGGCCACAGGTGTGGGTGGAGTAGTGGGCCCGATTCATTGGCAGTAGAGAGGCATCGTCCGTCCACTGACTGTCATAATGCTCTCGAAGAAGAAGCCGTTGGTGCACCCCAAATGACGATGCTGAAAGATCTGGGAAGTCTTGCGTCCGCCGAGGTCGGATGAGGAGTGAAAGGACTGTTGCGGGCTCAGTGCGAACCAGACAACGAGTGGGTAGACGACTACTGCGGAAAGAGCGCAGCAAACCTCAGACAGGGCGCGAAGACGCGGAGATCTAGCATCTTGAAGAGCTCGTTGAAGCGTGGTTGTTTATATCAGCTGATACACGTGGCAAATTGGTTCCCTCGGCAAATTGGTGCCCTGTACCCTTAACTCTTGTGAAAAAAGTACGCGATGGCGGCCTTCTCGAGTGGAGTCCATAGGTTCAATTATGTTGGGTTCTGGTCGGGGTGAGATGCTTCTTGCATATTTTAAGCCTGGCAGGGCGAAGCCAAACGCGTACTATTTCCACTACTTGGCAAGAATCAATGGAAGTCCCACGCGAAGCGAACGAAGCAGAGCGCTCGCCCCCTTTAACTCAAGCATCCCCGTGTGCATCGTCATGGAGGCGGCTTCAGCAGTGGTGGAGCGAAATTCAAGTTGGCCACCAGGGATCCTACTCCATCGAGCGTCTCGAACTTCTACAAGAATATTGCAAAAACACGCCGACCACGAGAGCAATGACGGTGTGTCTTCTTACTCCAGTTCCTACACTGGTAATAGCGGTGTTACTCGAGCTGCCACTGCGCGCCCCGTCGGATGGGTGGAGCGCCAACTGGATGTACTGGATTCGATCCGGCCTGACGGGACTCATTATAGTCGGGGTCGGATCTTGGCAAATGAATCTCTTCGTTCCAGGTCATAATTACTCCATTTATCAGCAGTTCGGCACAGCCTTGCTGGTGTGCGCTGCCCAAATGGCGACATACATTGTGGAAGCAGTGCTTGTGGGGTTCCCCGTGCCGTTAATGTGACAGTTTGCGTTTTTTTCGATGGGCATTTACATTCCTGTGTTTTCAAGGCTCATTTACGGCCCAGCGCTGTTTACCAAGGGTTCAATTCTTCAGCAACGCTTCGAGGACTTCCAGAAGACCGTGCTCATGAACTTGATAGTGACTGGAGTATTCCCTTTCTGCCGAGGCTTGTACGATCTGCTGCATCCGGGATATCGCGGCGCAGTAATTATCGTGCTGCCGATCTGGGAATTTGGAGTAAAATTGTTCGCCGTGTGCATGTGTCGCCAGGTGGAGGACTTCATGCCCGAGCTCGTGGCGTTCTCGGTCGATTTCTTCGGGTCGCTGTTTAGCTCGGTCTGCATGTCGACCTCGGGGTCCTTTTACCTGACCGCTCTATACGTAGGGATCGATCTGGTGCACTTACTCGAGAAGTTTCACGAGATTTCAGCACAGGAGAAGAGTATCAAAATGCTTCGAGGCCGCAACCGCACTGAGAAATCTGAAAGCAAGCCCAAACACTCCAAGAGCTGATAACCACACTTGTCGAGGCGATTCGTGATCCCAGCGTGACGTCACTGAATCGGGTACGGCTTCGGGTAAACCCTCCTCACACTATTCCTGAGCAGCTGAGTGAAGTCTTACAAAAGTCGGAGACGTCAGGCAAGTTTGGTGCGGGGAACCAGCATGGAGCGGTTCGTCCGATACACCAACTCGTCCTTTAACGTCCTGGATGTTTCGTGCACCAACTCACATCGTTCCTCCATCAGAGCAGGCACTCAGCTTCCGAGACGACAGATCTGGCAAATTGGTTTTGATTGGCTTACAGCTACTGTTTCACTGCGAGTATCTCGTGCTGGTCGAGTACGTCGAATGCGTCGTACCGTTCGTCTACCTGGCGTATAAATTCGTACTGGAGCAGTTGCCGAACGTGGTGTACTACCCTGGTGGCGTGGGCAACTGGGGCACGAGCGCAGTAACTAATCTGCTTGGGTATGGGATGCTGGAAGTCGGTTCGCTCGTTCTTGTCAACGCTTTCTTGCGGCACAAGTTTGGGTTCTCGCCGCTGCACCAGCTAGCGTTCGTGTTGGAGACCCAGTTCTACGCTGTACAAACAACGCTGTTTTCACTCATGCTTTTTGCGCTTCAGTACCAGCTCGCGCAGCTAGGTAACTAACTCTACCTCCTCTGTTCGAGCACCATCGAGTTCCGACTAACCATCGCCGTGTTTTGCAGGTGTTGACTTCACCTTTCGCTTCGAGTGGCTTCGATGAGAGCTTTTATGACTTTCCCACTTTCTATTGAACACCAATCTCCCACCCAGATACTAGGCACATATTTGTCAATGGTATCCTATGCATGCTTGATATTGCCTCCAATACCCTTCGATCGGAGTTATCGACAATAGGTTAAGATTTCGTAGCTGCAGAAGACTAACGTGACGCTAAACAGCCGTATACATTTGCGTGCATAGTTTCCCCAGCTGCAGAACTCGAAGCCAGTCAAACCGAAATGTAAAATCAGCACCTGAACGACCGCAAGAGTGAGTACCAGAAAAACTCCCAATTGGAAAAGTAACTGAATCAGCAGGTGAAATTGGCCACTGACCTAGATGCGCGAGCCGGTACTGAAGTACGAACACTGTCAGTGAGAAAAGCGTCGCTTGTACAGCATAAAGTTGTGTCTCTAGAACAAACGCGAGTTGATGCAGCGGCGAGAATGCAAACTTGCGCAGCAAGAAAACGTGGACAAGCACGAGCGAGCCAACTTCCAGCACCGCAAATACGAGCAGATTAGTCGCTGCGGTCGCCCTCCAATTGCCCGCGCCGCCCGGATAGAACTTTACATTCGGCAGCAGCTCGAGCACAGACTTAAACACTAGGTAGACGAATGGCACGACGCACTCAACGTACTCAACCAGAACCTGGTATTCGAAGTAAAATAGGAGTTGTAAGCCGTGCGGAGGGTTGGCCCAAGCCGTATCCCGTCCAAACGGTGCGCTCTTGGATTGCGAATCACCTCGATAATCATCGTGACCAGCTCGCCGGAGTGCGCGCTCTGAGATAATTTTTCGGAATGATTTCCATTTTGTTGTCGATGTTGAAGCATTCGAAGGATCGTAATCTCATTGGAGGAGATCTCACGGAACTTTACCAGCAGATGCACCAGGTCTACTCCGATAAAGAGAGCCGTCAAGTAGAACGAGCTGGAGCACGACATGCAGACTGAAATGAAGAGTGAGCCGAAGAAATCGACTGAAAACGCCACGAGTTCGGGGATAAAGTCTTCCACTTGGTGTGTCATACGCACAGCAAAGCGCTTCGCTCCAAATTTCCAGATCGACAGCAAAATAATCACAAAACCTTGGTATTCTTTGAGGCAAGAAATCATTCAAGACCTGGCTGAAAGGGTATACTCCAGTCAGTGCCAAATTCACGCGAAACTATCCTGGAAGTTTTTGTGATACGGTATAAGAGCGGCTGGCATCGTACCCACGACGATATACATCACAACCGGGACGAAAATTCCCATCGAAATAGTCCCGAACTGCCTCATGAACGGCACTGGAAACCCGACAAGTATGGCTTCAGCAATGTACGTCCCCAATTGTGCCAAACAACCCCCCAAAGTTGCGATGAACAGGCTCTTTAATGTGTAATTGTGCTGCGGCACGAATAAATCGATTTGGCACGTTCCTGCGCCGCTGATCACGAATATCATAACGCCCACGCGAACCCAGAAGACCCAATTCGCAGCCCACCCTTCGGATGGAGGCCTCAATGGGAGGCACTCTCGCAGCACAGCGGCTAATAGTGCAGGAACAGGAGTAAGACAAACCAGGAGAGCTCAGCTCGTGTGAACGACGTCGTTTGGCAGTATTCGTGCGGGAGTTCGAGCCGCTCGACGGAGTAGGAACCCTGATGACCGACTTCAATTTGACTCCATTTCTTCTCCAGACGATTCCAGAGCGCTGGTCGTGGAGACGCTGGGATGTCGTCAATACTGGGACCCTTAGCTTCTATCGAGCTGCGCAAGATTTCCTGATGATGGAGCTGGGATGTTGTGGTACGTGTACTGTAGTACTCAGCCAACTCCTGTATTCTGGGGAGGCTTTAAAAATACTCAAGATGAAAATGTACATCCTTGTTTAGCTTGCCTCTGCAATGGATTTGTGGTGATGAAATGAACATCTTGTTTCTCGTTGGGGAAAGGTGACAAAGGTCTTGTGATATATGGGCCTCGGTGTTAGGTTATCGATAATTCGTAGCTTTAGAACGCTCCGCAGCGACCCACTTCAGACCTGGGCTGCAAGAGATGATCGACATGCCCCACTCATCTTTGGGAAGAGTGAGCGATCAGTTAAAAATTGTTCGTGAAGCTAATATATGTCACTTGATACTCATATCATTTGTCAAGATTCACACACAGACACTACACTGTACATGTACCACATAAACTACGAAGGGATCAGCCGTCTCTTTTTCTTGTGTCAGACGCATTGCGTCACTCGGTAGCTGGTTAACTTGCGATATTTGATCACCTTCCTGGCGATCAGGGCGTTGTTGGGGGTGTTAGCGTCCGAGACCTCTTTGACCAGCAGCAAGATCTTTTCGCGCGTGCGGCGCTGGAAATCTTCGTCCTGGAAGACGACGCCCGACCCCTTTCTGGCGAATCGTTCGGGCTTGAGCGAGCTCATCGAGGCGCTTCTCCCGTTCGGCGGGCTCGGAGTACGAGGGACCTGCTCAGTAGTGTCTTGCTGTGCCATGGATCCTGGCTTGAATGCAGACGTGCGCTTTCGACGGAGACTTGAAGAGTGAGTGAGTGACTAGTCATCCAACGCACCTATGGAATATCTTCGTGTGACTCCGTATCAGCCGAACGGTGAGTGTCCCGAAGAGTCCGTATTGGGGAAGGACATTTACGTTGATCGCTATGCGAACAGCATCCCGCTTGGGATCTCTCTCCGTAGAGGAGGAAGGCTTGGCTTCACCACCTCGACCGCGATTCGTCGACTGCCAAGCCAGCACACATAATCAACGAGCAGTTCCATCGAATTCAACGCGCTCATGGAAAGATTGCGGGTGGGGTGGGAGGGGGTTCCAAGCCAGTATCCTTTACTCACCGCCAAGAAGGAGGAGCTTCGTCTTAAGATCCGTGCTGTCGTGTCTTGTCATGGGCCACAACAGTCCTCTCTGTATGCGCAGCGAACAATGGTGGCTTGCGTGCTAGAAGTGACCATCGACGGGGGGTTGATACGCTAAAATTGGGGGTAAACTACGCTGGGACTTAGAACGCGTGATGATCACGAGGTGTGGACACCTCCACAACTAACTTTGGCTTGGATAATGGGGGCGAGTTGGGCGAAGTTCTGAGCAGGAGCTGACAATATTCACAGTCTATTTAGGTGGTCGGCCACGGAACTGCATTTATCGGTTCTTGTCCGATGGAGGACCATGCATCTCCCACTTTGGAAAAGGACCGGGTCAGTCCACAAGCTTCATCACGCTGAAGATGAAGTGGTCTCCATTAACGCGCATCAAGGAGTGGCTCGAGCAGCTACATGACATCAAGACGGAGCACCAATACCTCGGTCGCTACTCGATCGAGAAGCTGTGCGCGTTCCACGAGTACCAGCAGAAGACCAGCGTCTACCGCGTGATCGCCGTCATCGTCTTCACTCCGTTGCCCACCATCCTGACACTATGGGGGCTCGACTGTCTTCCGCTGCGAGACCCGCGTGGCGGGGCCAAGCACCACGCCACGACGTTCCTCCGCTCCATGCTCTCGCACACCATCATGACGTACATGTTCCTCATGGCCGGGAAACAAGCGCTGGGACTCAATAACAAGAACTCCAACTACACACACAAGACGGCGGCCAAGATTTCGGTGTGCGTGGCTTTTACGCTCGAGATCTACTGCGTCATTTGGGCCTTCGCGTGGCGCTTCCCCACTCCGTTTCGAGAGTTCACGGGCGTGACGCCCTGGGGGATTTTGACGGTCATTTTCAACTATTTGTTCGCCAAGAAGGACCTCAGCCGCGTGGTTGGGCGGCTCAAGAGATACATCCCGGTCGTTGGAACGCAGTTGATGCTGTTCTACTTCCTGCTGTTTCTCTCTGTGGGGTTTGCTGCTGTGCCGCTGTATGGCCAAATAGTGATGATCCTCATCTTCCCAGTGATCAAGCTCTCGATCAAGCGAGCGCTGTGGAAGTACGCTCGCAACTTGGACGACATCAGCGCCGACGTCACCATTTGTATGGTGGAGATCTCGGGCTCGCTCTACCAGACGGTCTGTATGCAGTACGTGCAGAACAACGTCTTGGCGTTGGCCATCATGGTCATGGACTTCTTGCAAGCGGCGTTCGAGGCCAGAACCTACCTGAACCAGGACTACATGGGTGACTCGAAGAATACGCTACAGACAGCCGTCAAGATCGTTGAGAGCGCGCTGTTTACCGGGACCGTGGAGAAGAGCATTGAGTCCTCAATTTACCATGAGCGGAGCGGAGAGGGCAACTCCGTTCGGAGTTTGCATAGCACGTCAGCAGCTCAATCCAACACTGTCAAGTCCGGCAGTGTTGGTCCGCCGAAAATCCGTCCGTTTATCAACAAGGCGAAACCCGTTCAGCCAGACATGTCATTCGAGGTGGATGAGTCGTTCAAGGACGTCTTGGCCAGACTATTGAGGAAGGGAAGGTCCTGGGCTCGTAAGAGACGTCGTCGTCGCGAGCGAAAGTACTCAACAAGTGACGAGAACGAGGAGCAAACAATAAAGGAGAAGAAGAAGAGGAAAGGGAAAGAGAGCATCAAGCGAAGAGGTTCAGGCTCTGCCCACGCGGGGAACGTTACACCTCGACGCAAATTAACCCGACGCACGAGCGCAGAGAACCCCAAAGGAATTGCACACGGTGGAGTGAACATCTCGCGAGAGGCGGCGACGTCCGTGTACATCAACGCGAGGGTGATCCGCAGGGACAAAGCTAAAGCTCACCGCCTGCTCGACTTTGGTCAAGTAAGTGCTGACCAGCACCAGCTTGCTAATGCTAACCTCCAGCACGAGCTTCCCACGGCTCCACCTACAACCTATACTCCTCATACACAGCGAGATATAGCTCCTGGCTTGCCGCACCGTGGATCTGTCGGAGAGTCCAGCCGCGTCTTCGTACAAATGCACGCTGATCAGCAGAATGTCGCTAATGCTGAGCGCCAGTCTGAACTTCCAATGGCTCCTCCTACGATTTTTACGCCTCAAGCGCAGCGAGGTGCAACTGCCGGCTTAACGCATCGCGGATCCATTACGTTAACGCACCGCGGATCCATCGGAGAGACCAACCGCGGGTCCATCGGAGAGACATATCGCGTCTCGGCTGTCGACTCCAACGACCCGACAGAATCTCAAAGCCAACGCGGCTCGATCTCCCAACCGCATCGTGCGTTGGTCACTGACAAGCAGTTCGTTGACGTCGGCGAAGGATTAACTGCCAGGCCGATCATCCGTCGCAAGAGCTCGACCAACTCTCAGCTGCTCAAGCGAAAATCGAGTCGATCGATCGTGCCAGGGCTCGGTGGTTTAACTCGACGATCGAGCCAAACCGGTAGCACAGCTCTCTCCGACGCGCTAACCCCGCGGACCAGTCGACTTGTGACTACTGACGCCGACGACACCTTCTTCGGGCACCGAGGGATCGAAATGCGCGGCGGGGACGGCGTCGCCATCGATGACATCGTGATCAAGCGCAAGGACCAGGCTCGGATCCTGGAGCAGACCCTGCAGCTGTTGTTCTCTGCCGAGGTGCTGCTGTTTGTCGAGTATATGGAGGTGTTTCTACCTCTGCTGTACGCTGCGTGCATCGGCGGCCTGTGGCACCTCCCGAACGCCAAATACAGCGTCGTGCTCATGAACATGTCGTACAACAGCATGGTGCTCGAAGTCGGCACGTCGATGCTGTACGCCATGTTGGAGCTCGTGTCGTTCACGTCCGTGTACTTTTTCATCAAGAAACGCTACGGAATCTCGGCGCTGTACCAACTCGCATTTTTGCTGGAGACGTACGCGATGACACTGCAGGGCAAACTGATTGGCTGCTTTATTACGCTCCTGAACTCGTCCACCCTGCACCAGGGGATTGACATCACCTTCAAATTCGACATGGACGCAATACTCAAGACCCCGAATCCATACACAACGTAGCTCGTACAATACTGCAGTTGCGTGTTTGGAGGCATCTGACTTGAACAAAGTAAACACGTTTACTTTACAAATTAAAAATACCTATCAGTTATAACTGGTACGAACCCTCTAGCAGAACACCTCCCTGTCCAAGAACAGAGACCGCAATCCAAGGCGTCATTGAAGAAGAGCCGCAGCCTCATGAGCCTCGACCCGCGCTGCGTGGCCTTCGAGGGGCGCCTGCACGCCGACCGCCGCACCGCCGAGTACGTGGGGCGCGCCAGCCACGACAACGACGCCGCGTGCTTCCGCTCCAGCCGCGCGGCAGCCGCCGGTGCGCGCGCGCAGAAGCTGCGCGTCTTCTACTTCGAGACCCAAATTTTAGCGACGGCGACCGACGAATTAGCGGCTAATCCATCACCTGCGAGAATTGATACTTCTAATTCGTCGGTGGCAGTCCGTCGCCACGCAGCGCAGGACCGCGATGCCGCGGCCACCACAGCTAGAGACTGGAGACGACGCGCCGAACTGCAGGCTATGGACCTGGAGGACGTGCAGATCCCGAGTATCTCGGTCAATGGATCCTCTGGCGGAGTACCTGTGAATTTTAATTTTTCGTTAAACTCGCGAACCATGCAGCAGATGCGCTCCCGCATCGACCGACGCCGCATTCGTCGCAGCAACGAGAGGATGAAGTTTAACCACAAAATCGCAGTTGGGTTCCTGGTGGACGACGCCGAGCAGAAAGTTGCAGCTTCGGACAAGATTTCCACGTCTTTTTCGTTGTTTTCGAGGTCCAGCGGCTTCATGGAGGCCAGAATGTCGCGTCGGGCGGTGAAGCAGTTGATGCAGAGGATCCTGCCAGATGTGACGGCGGGTGGGGAGTCGGGATCGTCATCAGAGGAGGAGGAAGAGGAAAATGAAGGAGCGCAGAAGAGGAGCAGGACGTACCCTGCAACTTTGCACTCAGATCTGGGGGAGACTGTGAACTCGCTGGCTTATGTGGGTAAAACAGGGCGCGTGGTCTCTCATGGAAGAGTGTTCTTACAGTGTGAGCGATACGGAGCGGGAGATGTGGTCGGGTGTGGAGTGTTGCTAGACAGCAATACGTTCTTTTTCACGTTGAATCGGAAGCTGATGGGCATGCTGGCGGCTAGAGATGTGTTCGACCTGGACGATTTTGGAGAAGTTGAAGTGGTGTCAGATGATGAAGAGAGCGATGACGAGGAGGATGAAGAAGAGAGTAAAGATGAAGACGGTGAAGACGGCGTGTCAGTAGAGGAAGACGATGTACGGCTAGACCGGGTTGACGACGCCGAGATGGAAGATATTGATGGTCGCCACGAGGATGAGAAGGCGCTGTATGCGTCTGTGAGCCTTCACGGGGCGGGCGAATGTGTGCATGCAGTATTTGAGCCTGACGAGTTCCAGTTTGATTTAGCGGAGTTCGAGCTACAGATCCAGAAGGACCGACAGTGCTCGCTGATTGTCGAGCGCGCGAAACGCAGCGAGAACCTGACGTCTAGTGAGATGGAACAATCCGACTGCAAGGACGAGGCTGCAATGAACGAGTTGGTTCAAGATTTCTTCTTGCATTACGGCTATGAGAGTGCGTACAAGGCGTTCGAGGCAGCTCTGGCGCCAACAAAGCGGCCACGACTATCATCGGACGCGATGGATATGGACGATGGTGAGGAAGCTGAAGCAAGTACTGTGACCCTGGGTGTGAGCAGCGTCGAAGATATGGAGGACGAATCTAAGAGCGATGATGTGGATTTTGGTGAAGTGCAACTAAGTTTGTATCCTCCGCAAAAACAGCAGATGCGCGAGTCTTTAAGTCTACGCCACGAGGTTCGTGAGCACATTCGCTGCTTCAGGACGGCACAGGCGTTGGTGGCTCTGGAACAACATGCAGCAACACTCACAACCAATGTGGCAGCATATCGGTCCCGACTCTTTCGAAAGCTTATGCTGCACTGTCAAATCCTCTGCGTTATTGATATTTTGACCCACGATACTGACGTCAAATCGGGTCCTATGCTGGCAGCCAGTGGTGCACTTACGGCACGAAGCGGATGGGATCCGGAGTCGGCAATTGAGATCGCCCGGCAAATTTTTGGACCTTCTTCCGAGATCGCAGCGAATGGGAAGCGGAAGCGACAGCGCGACAGTCAAAACAAGCGTGACAGCACTGACGACGTTGCACTTGCCATGAGTCTTCTGCTGTACGATCAGCACGAGAGCATACCGGAGTCGAGTCGTGCGCGTAAATTCCTGACGTCCGAATTTCGGGAGTCGGTCGCTGACCAGCTGAACAGCTTGTTACTTACGAGCGAGGATTCTGCGAAGACGCCACCGCGAGTATCAGCTCTCGAAGCGTTTATGAAGGACCTGGAAAGTCTGCAGAAGGAGTGTTTGCATCAAGGATGCCGAGTATACCCAGAAAGTGTTGCAGCTGCAACTAATGACAGAAGCAAAACCTCGTCACGTCGGCGGCGAGCTTCTGTATCTTCAAGTTCGGACGATTCGTCTTCACAGTCGCAAAGTGAAGATGACAACAGATTTGATGACGACGATGGTGACGAGGAGTGACGAAATAAGCTTCACATTCTAGTGGAGCGTGGTGGACTGGAAGCGGCCTAGACTGGATAAGGTATACTTAATTAGTACGCGTTAAACCAACGAATTGCTAAGCTTTTGTAGTTGGTTTGGCCATAGTGACGGGCTGATGAGATCGGATGCTGACAAATCGCCTTCGCTGCCTTGAACGAGCATGTCGTCAAGATCTTAAAGAGCGCTGGCTCAGGTCTTATCTCGGCGAGGTGCCTCAGGTCTAGCAACATCCCAAGAGTTACTCAACCTGCGTGTACTACATGTACGTAGTGGCTCTGCTGCAGAGTTCCATTTATGAATTTTCTCGATCTGGTACACGGCTCAAGAGGATAATTTCCCGTCTTTTTTGCAGAGATATGTGCTTGGTGAGGCTGGCAATGTGAATTACGGAGAGGGCGGCAAGATGGTAGCGACACCCTGTCGAATATCGACGTGACACGCGACATACTTGGCGGACCTCAGCATGCTGAAGCTTCTGCTCTGTCCGAGGGCTGGGGCGATGTGGCGGAAATACTCACGGCTGAGGTGATAGCGTGAATGCAATACTACATGTATCAATCCTGTTTTTTAATGTTGGCCTTGTGAGTCACAAATCACAAGTTGTGACGCTAGAATGCTAGAACCGACAGGTCGAAGCCTTTTGGTAGACTAACTGTAAAGTAAAATTGTGAATACGGAGTGTGTTTTCGCATTGATCACAAGCCGGTGAAACTGTTGGAATTGGGGCCATACTAGGATTCGCTAGACATTATTCACGCCGTTGAGCTCGAAGTTCGCTCCCCTGTGGACATGCGAATATCTGCCGAGCAACACGAAACTACCAGGCGATGAAAATACAAGCTAGAGCTGTTTGTAAAAAAATATACAAAAATGTGATTTGTTTCCTTCGTTTCTTGAGCTTTGCTCTCGGACTCCATTTGCAAGTATACATGTAGTATAAGCTTATTGCGAGCGGTGCACTGCTCTGCTATCGGCATCTTAGAGAGAAGGCCCCAGGTACTTGACCTGGTGGCGTAGCCTGCTAGAAGCTGGCACTTTGATGTCTAAGCGAGTTCCCCTAAACTATTCCTAGTTGATCGATTTCCCTTCCTGAGGTCATGCTGAGGCGGTTTGAGGGGATGCAGTTGCAGAGGTTAATCGGGAGTTCCATACGGGGGGGGGGGGGGGTATAGTGATGGAGGTAGTCGGGGGTCGGAAATAGACTTATATCGGAATCAATCCGGGCTTGATCTTCGTCACTGCTTAGGCTGAAAGCACTGCTCTGCTATCGTGACATACTTTCACTGTACATTGTTGAAGGTGATACGGATTCCATGTCAGCAGCTGTAAAAGCGTTGTCGCGCAATCAAGGTGTGGCTAAACGACACTTCTGTGGTACTGTACAGTACTGTATGTTCAGGTATTAATAATACTTCGTAGATGTACCAGCGTTTTTCGGCGCTAGTGCAAGTGCTCTCGGTAAGGCTGCAACACACGAGAACCAACTGCAAGAGGCTGTGGCTAGACGGACAGAACACGATTGGTGTTCTGTCCAAATGTTCTGTCATAGCCGGACAGAACATTGGACAGAACATTTTGTCTGAAGACGGATGATATGGACGTAGGTACGGTTATTAGTGTTCTTCGTGTGAATTCTATCACACGCTGAGCCCAAGGCGACTATTAGGAAGTAATGTTATGTCAGTCGAATCCGTATTGTGGTATGCTAGACGCATCCACCACGCATTCTTGTCACGGAAGCGATATGTGTATGACCACTTATCATACCCAGGATTGCTTCAAATGTATTAACTACTGGTACAAATGCCCCTTAGCAAAAGTTGTGTAGTTCTTGTGTACTTGGATGTAACGGGGTACAATCAAGTGTACCCATTACATGAAGAGTGACGGGTGTCACTCTCCCGAGTACATGGTACATGGTACCAGTAGCTCCGCAAGCCAACCATTTGAGTTTGCGTGGGCTTTTGTATAGTTAACTTGTAGTTTGTATTACGACCAAGTTAACCTCTACCAAAATACAGTCAGTCTTATAACCTACTCCTTTGTAGCAAACCGTTCCCTTTGATGCCGGGAACAGGTGAACTGCTGTTCACCTGGATAGTAATATCCGCACGCACTTCCTCTGTGCATTGTGCTGTGTGACCCCGTCACACTTGGTAGCACTTGTAGTCAATCCTACGCCTACGCGGGTAGATTGGTCTACCTGAATCCTCGGTGGCTCAGGTCTGTGAGCCACGATGGACCGAAGTGAGTTTCCTCACTTGACTGACTCGCAGTTCGAGTCGGTGCGGAAGATGGCGGGCATCTTCGGAAGAGATGCCCTCCGGAGCTTGGTCGCGGCGGCGCCAGCCGAGCAGGTCGACCGTGTGAGCGCGTTTGACGAGTACGAACGCGGGCTCATCGCTCATGTGCAGGGAAACCTGCTGGCTCAGATGAGTGAGCCCAAACGGGTGCAGCCTAAGCCTCTACGGCTAGCTCTGCCTCCGTTCGAAGGGAAGGAAGGTGAGAACCTTCACTTCTGGATCCGGGAGACCGAGATCGCAATGAGCGCAGGTCTCATCTCGGCCGAGAACCTTCGAGTCGCCTTCGCGCTCTCCAATCTTGGTGGACGTGCCAGGACTTGGGCGTATACGCGCAAAGCGATGTCGCCTGGATGTTTCACATCCTGGGTTCAGCTGTGTGAGCAGCTTCGAGCCGCTTTTCTCCCGGCGAACAACGAGTTCCGCCAGCGCTCGCGCTTCCTTGCCTGCAAACAAGGGGAGCGCGAGCTGTACGCGTACGTACAGGAGATGCGCACGTTGGGAACCTCGCTGGTGGGGAACCCACTGTCGGAAGACGTCGAGATGACAGTCTTCGTGGACGGCCTGAAGGTCGGTCCTGCGCGCACGCAGTTGTTCCGCGTGCGCACCGCCACTATAGAGGAGGCGATCCAAGTCGCCCACCAGGAAGAGTACAGCCACAAGCAGGCTGGTGCTCTGGCTGTTGTACAGCCTGTGGTCGCTGACAGCGAACTAGAACCAATGGAACTGAGTTCGGCTGAGCAGTACTCAGCCCGCTGCTACGGCTGCGGCGGACTAGGACACTATCAACGTGTCTGCCCATCGCCTGGGTCTGAGAAGAAGACCTACCCGAAGACCAGAGGGTCAAGGGGGCGCCGACGCCATGCACCGTCAGGTGCTCAAGGGGGACACAACCACCAGTATGGACGAGGGCCTTGCTGGGGTTGGCCCGAGTCTTTGTGATGGGTGTACGGAAGGCGTACACCACAGAAACCCGGGGTCCCTTGCGAGCACTGACGCTCGCATTGGTGAAGGACAACGGTGGGTTGTCGGTAGTACACGTGAGTGTGCGGGGGTAATGGTATCCCGAGACATGATTGAGTCTGGGACGTCGCGTGGATGTTCGCACGTCGCCAGATGTGTCGGTTGGAATAACGACACAAGTGCCGAGACTCTGTGAGAGAGTCTAAGCACAAGGTCAGGTCTCATTGACTGAGGCTGGGCCGAAGAAGAACCTTGGGGTCCGCTGTGACCCTGGCTGCCGCGCTCGAGGGCGCTGACAGCAATGGAACAGCACATGGTCCCGGACATGGAACCGTACATCGTCCCGGACATCGTGCCGAAGCCGGCCCTGGGCATGAAACCGTATATGCCCTCGGCTTGAGCAAGTATGACTTGGCCCTGAGTGCGCCGTGCAAGCTGCACAGGCTCTCGGTCGAGTAGCGCGACAACGCCTTGAGGCTAAGTCGGCCCTCTGTGTCTGACAGACCATTGGTGAGTCATGTTCCCACCTCTGGACAGACACAAGGGCGTCCGATGGGACCGCCAGGGCGCTGGATGCGTCCGACAAGACGAAGAAGAAGAAGGGAGGAATCATTGACATGCTGCTGGTAACTTAGTTCCACGCACGGTCTGTATGACCAAGACTAGTGATCAGGTCACTTGGGTCTCCTCGCGTGTGGTGGATGACCACATGGAGTTTAAGAGGCTCGTGACACCGTCACGATGTCATAGCCGCACGGTCCTCTTGAAGGCGCCGCGCGGCTTTGATTTTAAGCGGGGTAGGAGTGCGCGCAAGCACTTCCTTCCTCCAAGGGCTTGGCACCCGGTCATCATGGATGACGTTCGACTGGGTGTCGACCAGCGCAGCTGTGGCCATGCGCACAGAAGACGTGGCTTGGGTACACGACGTACCTGCGGCGATGCATGTTGCGTCGCCGCCGACTCGGCGAGCATGGTCGATCACGACTGGAACGTGTCTGCCGGAGGGCGACACCTCAATGACCACATGCAGGAGCATGCTCGGTCTGAAGGCAAAGGCCGCTGCATGGCAGGGATCGTTGGTACGGTCTGTCGCGCCTATCACTGTGCGGTGTTGGGACAACAAGTGTCCATGAGTATGCGTGCATGCCATGCAGCTACTCTGAATGCAGGACAAGCCGTACGCTGTCATGGGTGTCATTGCCCGAAGACGTGGGTAACAGAGTAACACGTCAAGTCACGCAGACTCAAACTGCATCCAGGCTGGTAGATGCCAAGCCCTCGTCGACGATGTTGACCCAGAGCCAAAGAAGGGTAGCTACCCGTGCCACCGGAGTCTGCTGGCACGGTGACTCGGTGCTGCAGGGCGGCGCGAGGTTAGGTGGCCGGCTGGCGCCTGACCCGCCGGGGCTCAAATCGTAACTGGGGGAGGGGATCGGAAGTGCCCTTCCTCCCGAGGTCTCTTGCATAAAACGTAGAAGCCAGTGTAGTGGCTACATGGTGTATCCACTCACGAAGTATTTCACGAAGGTGCTGGACCTGATGCATCGCTGCTCAGGTCCCATGGTCATGGTGACCGATGGCCAGCAACCTTGGCAGCGGCTACTGTCACTGCTGGGCCGAAGATGGCGCGCGCATTCGCTGCTGGAAGGCTGCCTCTGTCAGGCAAAGACATGGCAGCCAGTCTGCGGCTTGGTCCGCGGACGATGGCATGTGTAC